GCCCCGGTCGCAGTAGTCATTGCAGTGCTGGTCCTGACGGTTATCGAGTCAGCTACAGCCGCCGCCTTCTTCCTCCCAGCCCGTTTTCTCGTCGTCATAGTCGGATATCAATTAAAGAGGCGGCAGCTGATGCAATCCATCGCATACGAGGTCTTCAGAGAGAATAGGCCAGCCTAGACGGGCCTGGGGTCTGCAGAGATATATAAATCATCTTCAGGCCGGGCCGGCCTTCCAGCGCCTTCCAGCGCCAGATCAGCAGGACCGGGGCACCCCAGGTGCCCCGGAGGCTCTGGAGGGCGCTGGAGGCCCCTGGAGCTCCCTGAAGTTATAGGGGCCGATCAGCGAGGGAGCATGGATATTCGCGAATATCCACGGTCATCCGGGTGGCCAGCGCGGGGGGCCCGATGTGGATATACCGGGATACCATTGGCCGGGCGCCGCAGGCGCGCGGGGGGCCTGGATCAGCCGGTGGGCGCCACGCCTCGCCGCGGCGCCGCTGTGGGATCAGCGACGGCTCCGCGGCGCTGTGGATACCATCATCTATTTGGCCCTTCATCGCGTTAACCGAAAGGAAAAGATGGAGCGTCAAACAAATCATCAATTCGATCCATTCCATCCAAAGTACGATGATTCCGATGGTGACGATGCCGATCTTGGTAATATTGATTGGGACGACCCAGCCAGCTTTATGGCAGCCATGGGCGGGCCTATTCCAACCTCTCTCTCTCCCGCTGCGGTCCGTCGAGAGGCAACACAAAGGTTAAGAAACCTTTTTTCCAGTTACGAAATTTTGGTTAAGATACTCGCGCGTCACGAAGAGACCATTCAAAAGCGATGGACCAAGAAGACCCGACAACAGAGACTTCGGATTCTCCTCAAAGCCTGGCCAGATATGCCAACCTCGCACCGCCCTGATTTCGAGGCTTTCACCAAAGAGTCACCAGAGCAGCGAGAAAGAGGCACTCAGCATGCTGATAGTTTTATGTGGCCCTACATCAATCAGGAAGATCTTTCACAGACAAGACTACTACTATTGTTACTCAACGCTAGAGGTCATAACCCTCCCTCCGCTTTCGCCGGCGCCGACAACGACGCAATGCACCTAGGCAAGGTGTCCAGAGCCATAGTTCCGATATTTCTCAATGAACACATCATGGTCCTCAACGGTGCGGACTCCGCAGAAGAATACGGCAAGCTATTGGCATGGGAGGATCATGAGGATGCCTTCGAGTGGATGCATACCCGAAAGCAATATATTCCGGGTGAGGGTCTCGTAGTTTTACAGGCCCAAGAACGACTCTTGGGGTTTCTTGTCGAGTGCTGCCAGGAGCTGCTCCACGATATCCCGGCTGATATCATGACGAGCGACTCATTTCCCATTCAACCAGCGCCGCCAATGAAGTCAGAAAGCGAGTCGCTTAGGTTTGAGTCCCTAGCAGTAATAGCGGCAGAAGCACCATACCGGCTTCCGGCACAGCTCGACCTTAGCCGAATTGAATCGCTTCTTGGGGCCAGAGCGTCAGCTGCAGAGGATCATCTGTGGACTCTCCGGGAAGATCCGTCATACTTCGCTCAGCAGCTTCTGGAGACGAGGGACCATCGACAAGAGATGATGAAGGATACCTTGGGCCACCCCCACCCTACTACCAGAAGAAATTGTGACACCATCCTTTGGGCACGCGTCATCGGAAATGTCCTCACAGATGCTTATCTGGCACTTGAACTCTTCTCTGAACTGCATCGACAGACACGAGAACTACAATTGCTTCAGCAAAAGTATGCGACGACAATATCTCCCTCAAAAGACTTGCCAAAGGATTATCTACTTGCCCTGCTCAAGTTCCGCTACTACCTCAACCAGGGTGCAAAGGGGCCTCTCAATCTCCTGAAAGTCGTCGTCGTAGCCTCGCCGCCGATGCGCAAGTTCTACGTGCGCGAACCTAGCGATGACATCAATTCGACAAAAATTGCAATCAAATCCAAGCCCGGGCAAAAGATGACTAAAGTCGAGGGTCGCCTTATCTGGCTCCTTCGTACATTGTGGGAAGATGATAAAGACCTCTTCTTCGCCGGCCTGCCGTTGGTAGTAGACGAGCTAGAGCGACTGCTTCGAGCAGAGCCACCAGCGCAAGAGCTTGTGTCTGGCTACGTCATGCGAGTGATTGGTGACATTTCCATCATCGCTCAATGCTTGAGGCAACTGAACCTCTATCAGCCATGGGCTCAAAACTTTGAAAACGCCGCTGTAGACTGGGAGGATGATATTGAGAACAGCTTTACCCAGGCAACCAAGCCCTGGGGACAGATCCTTGCTGCGCTAAGGGAACAAAATCTGATCATCGTCGCGAAATTGGGTGAGCCGTCTCCAGGGAAGTTCACTTATCCCATTAGCAAGCGCCGAACGAGGGAAAATGTGGACGCCCTGCGACTAGCCGAGCTCAATCTAGACAAGGTCTGGATCCAAGCTGATCGAGTCATGTATGCTGCTGAAATCAACTTGGACGGCTCATCCATCCAACGCCTCCTTTCACAGCCCCGCATGTTGCGGAGAACCCCAGAGTGGATTGAACCGACAGTGAAGGTCAAAGAGGAACAAGTCTCAGATCCCGATTCAGATGCGCTGATTGAGCCATTCTCTACTCTGTTTTCCGGTCTTTCACAGGTCAGTGCTGGAAAAATCACGAGGAGTCACCTCTCTCCTCCCATTGAGCCTAAAGTGAAAGTAAAGACAAGAGGAACGACATCCAAACCACAGATCGATTCCACTGAAGCTTCGACAACGACTGGACATAGCCCTGGCGACACCCAAAGCAGCTTCCCGGTTGACTCCCGTGCACTAAAGGTTTTTCGTACCCTCTTTTTCAACCCGACGATGACATCAACGCCTGCTGAAGTCCCATGGAAAGATTTTCTTCACGCGATGATCTCGGCCGGTTTCAAGGTTGAGAAGTTATATGGGTCTGTTTGGCAGTTCTCCCCGACGAATTTAGATGTTGAGCGAAGTATTCACTTCCATGAACCCCATCCTAAGGGAAAGTTGGCCTTTGAGGTTGCAAGACGGTATGGACGGAGGCTTGGCCGGGCGTATGGATGGTTTGGGGGCATGTTCGTCTTGAAAGAAAAATAGCCAAAAAATAGATGGAGGGCGGCCTCCAAGGTGGTACAAACTCCATTGGTGACGCCGACATCGACGATCTGCTTGCTCGGCAGTGTGACATAGAAATTCCCATTCCGATACAACATGAATACCCGGTCACACAAAATCCTCGGATGTTTGTTGAGGTTGGTCCCACTAGAGGATTCGTAGAGCTAGGACTTCTTGCCGCCTCCAGCTATTCGCTCAACGATCTGCAGAGCATGGCACTACAACTTGTGTGCCGCTTCTTGGACAAGTATATCGCCAACCCTGACTCCGCCGGCCAACATCTTCAGTATGTCGGAGGTCCAGGTGGTACTGGAAAATCGAGGATTGTCGATGCCTTGCGGGACGTGTTCACTGCCAGAGGTCACCCGCATCACCTCCATATTACCGGTACATCAGGCAGTGCTGCCGCCCAGATCGGCGGCACCACACTTCACTCCGCCTTAGGACTAGACACCCACCGTTCTTACAACAAAAAATAGCCTCCAACATTCTCGGAAGCAAAGAAATGGATGTGGAAGCAGAAGTTGGCTCTCGTGATCGACGAAGTGAGCATGCTCGGGGGGGCCACTCTGTTTAATGCTAGCTGCCATCTTCAGGCCCTCCGCGACGGCCCCGATAAGCTATTTGGCAGTATTCCCGTTGTTCTCTTGATGGGGGATTTCTATCAGTTTGCCCCCGTGCTAGAAACAAGCCTCCTGGTGGACCGAATGGTGGATCTCGCTTATACGGCCTCCCTAGGACAGGCAACTATTTCTCACCACCGCGGCCACAGTCTGTGGCTATTGTTCAAGACTGTTATTCTCCTTGAGGAACAAGTCCGCGCCCGAGACGATCCACAACTAGGCGCCCTTTTGGACAGAATACGGGCTGGAACCCAGACAATGGAAGACCTTGACCTACTCAACACCAAACTCGTGGACCGCTCCCAAATCACCTTCAAAGATGGCTTGCGCGCTATAACACCGCTCAACCGTAACCGATGGAGCCTCAACACGGAAGCCGTGTTCGACTGGGCCCGCTTTCACAGGAGACATATCTCGGTCTTCGTCTCAACCCACGCTTGGCGCAGTCGGGCGTTATCCCAGCAGGAGGTGGCCCAGACCATCGAACAAGGCGACAACTCCAACTGCAAGATCGCTGGGGTCTTCTTCTACGCCCAGGGGATGCCTGTAGTTGTCAACAAAAATACATACACCGGATTGAAAGTTGTGAACGGGGCGGAGTTTACCGCTGCGGACGTCATTCCCGATCCGAAATCCCCGGGCTACCATCTTGCGGACGACGTTACCATCCACTTTGGTCCGCCACTTGGCATACTGTTAGAGTCGCAAGAGACTAAGGATTTAGTGATCCCGGCCCTCCCAACCGGCACCGTGCTCATCCGACCTATCACGCATACCCTCGATCCAGCCAACTCCCACTACAGGTTCCTGTCGGGGAAATGCTCGCGGCGGGGATTGCCGGTTGTCCCTGCATTTGCCCTTACTGACTATAAAGCTCAAGGCAAAACGTTTCTGGACGTGCTCTTAGAGCTGCGTGGAAACCGTATCACAAATGGTCAGCCTTCGAAATGCGACTTTACTAGTCTCTATGTGCAGCTATCCAGGTGTAGGACACTACAAGGAATCAAGCTTCTCAGTCCCCTACGACACCAAGATTTCATTGGGAATAAGCTGGACCAGAGTATTGTTGATGGCATGCAGAGGTTGACAGATCTAGCAGCAGAAACGAGCCGGATATTTGAAAGTCAGCAAAGCCATGCGTAGGACAGCGTGAGATACCATCCAAAAGATCGCCCAACGGCGAGACACAACGTTTCTGTTATTCAGGACACACGCCTAGGGCAAATTACGACCCCTACATCTCATAAGGCGACCTCACCGCCCGCCAATCGTCCGGATCCTTCTCGCCTCCGCCTTCTCGGCGCGCCTTCTCCCTCACCGAAGAGGTCCAGAATGTGGTCGCAGTACATCCACACGCCCTCAAGATGGTGCGGCAGCAACGGCTTCATGTCCTTGCGCGCGACCACCACGGTGCCGACATATGACCGCCACTCCGGCGGCGCAAACCCGGACTCGGCGTCGATATTGAGATACGTGGCGATCTGGTTGTCGAGGTCGGCCCGGTTTGCGGACTGACTGCCTACGCGGTAGAGGACCAGCGGGACGTCGATGAGTCCTGGGACAGGAGGCACGGGCAGTGAGAAGACGGGATGATCTGCCTGGATCGTCGTAGCGGACCAAGGCGCGAATTTCAGTCTCTCAACGTCGCACCGGACGATGACGGCTTGGATGGACCCTGACGCGCTATGAGTTGCCGTCGATGCCGGTGCAGCCGACTGTGAGGTGGCTGGAGCAGGCGCAGGGTTTGCTTCGACTGGAGGCACCTGCTCAGTGGGGGTTTGTGGCTCGGAATCGGTGTCTATGTTGTCCCATTTGGAGTAATCGATTGGCGCCATGGAGAGTGGCTCAGTACTACAACCTGAGGAAGATTAGTCGGTCAAAGAAATAAAGATAAGGATATCATATAAATTTGCTATTTCGGAAGCTTTCAAGTTTGTTAGGGTTAGGAGAATTGATGAGTCAAGTTCTTTCTTAAAAGTTCCCATGGTATCGAATCCCTACGCACACGTCAGATAAGGTTCTGGGCTGTAAGCCACAGTGATGCGAAACGAAAACCTTCGTCCTTTACTGACCTCCCAAAGGACCACCTAACGCCGTATACCCTCAATCAATATACCGAGCCGTCATCGAAGAGCCATAGGTAAATCAGAGGATCCGAGGGACGTTCCGAAAGGCATTGGCGGGCCCGCAGGGACCGGTCTCCTGTTGAGGACGGGAGCATAAGGTCTCCTTTCTCACGTGATGTTACATATAATGCCAGTCTTAAGCACCAGGCCCAAGACTGGTTCTTCACGTATCAGAGCCCCGCGTAATCGAGATTGTGACCATCCAGCACAACCCAGAAACTGGCGACATTGACGACTATGCCAGGCTTCAGTTGTTTGGTAGCATTTCTTCCTGGCTCATGTCGGATCATAGCTGGAGACCTGCAGACTCGAGGCCAGAGAGCCCCAGAAACTCATTCCGGCAGCTCCCTGATGAGAATGCGTATCCTATTGCTCTTTCCATATGCTCAGAGTCTCGGACGCACACACTGAAGAGCTTCTATCGGATGCGCCATTACAATCACCCTGGCTGGTCTTTCTTCAACCCGACGTGCGATATTCTTTGGCTTTCGAGCAGGAGGATGTGACAGAATTAAGTACGTCTTATGGCCGACAACTGGCCGACGTCCAGAATGTGATTCTGAGTGTGAATGGGTGGAGTGAAATCGCAGATCTCGAGATCTTGCGTCTTCTTGGTGGCGTCAATATCATCCAGATACTCCTCGGCGTCAACCAAACGCCAACAGACGTTCTTCAACTCCAGCACAGGGTCCAACTCCAATTTGGGGACGACGAAAGGTGGTGCTTTGTGTTTCGGTTTATGGACCGGCTGTACAATCCCTGTGGTGAAGTCGCAGTAGGGAGAATCAGGCATTAGGGAAGGCGGCGTCCGGGGCCAAGGACGAAGCCACTCGGGATTCCACTACGAAGCACTCTCCATATCTTCCGGCAACCTCATGTACTCCGTGCTTGATTGAGAGCGAGGTCTGTGTGTCATCAACGTTAATATAGCTATTGCGATGGAACGAGTATAGTACTTAAGTATATACGAGGTGGACCTGTTATTGTTACATTGTGATGACCATTGTCGCGTCAAAGCTGTGAGCATCTCTCTTTTCTTTGTCTGCATTCTCCGATGCGCTGCCCTTCCCACTTTGTTCGGTTGCGTTTGTAGCACCTAGACCCCCTCGTGTAATCTCTTGCTTCGTGTTCATACTGCTAAATCAGCCCTTAACTTGTGGTCTCTGAAGGTTGAACTTGGCTGACAGACCATCTTCGACCAGCCTGGCAGTGTGACTTCTCATGAAGTCAGTCTGGCGACGCCTGCACTCTTGTGCTACGACGTGTTCGACTCTTGGATGTGTGATCCTGGGTACTTGAACGCGGACTGCGTTGCCGCTTAGACCGGGTCTCATGAGAGTTGAAGCTCGACGTGAAGCTTGTGGTAAAGCTCATCGACGGATCGTTAATGTCCAGCGCCACAGACGCTTGACTTGGATCTTTCGAATCGTCATCCGGATGGAGATAATGGGAAGGGGCAAGCGCTTCGTTGCTGTCCGCGGCTGTGGTAGAGTCGTCGGTGTTAGCATCACAGACGTCTTGATATGCAACGTAGCCCACACAATCCACAAATTCGTCAGAATTCGAGTCCTCCTAATGCTGTCTCAGTTGTGGTGACGAGGTTCTTTCTCTTGAGCAGCCGCCGTCCCTACTAGAGACGCTCTGGCGTTCGCAGCCTCGACGAAGTTGTCTCGGTGCCGTTGAGCCAAGTCCCTGGCGTTTCTGAATGCGGTAGCTCTGCGCTGAAAGGTATCGATATTGCCGGTCATTCCCCAAGTGTCAATCTGGGTCATGTGGTACTCTGGCCGGTCCCCATCCGTGGTCGGCGCGGTGACGTGGTGGGCGTACATCTGAAGCGAGCCGATTCCGGCGTGGTAGGTCGAGCTGCGAGACGGTGGCTGGCTTGCTATATCATAGACGCCAGCATCTACACGTTGTTTTCTCGTTTCGTGTCTCCATGCCCATCCTGAGCCTGAGCCGCCATCTCCTCTTCAAGGTGGCTAGCTGGCATCAACTCACCAGCCTTCTTATCTCGCTTCTTATCTCGCAAATGCTGGCTAGCGTCATCAACGTTGCTAGAGCTTGGTACGGGAGATGATGGATATGGTATATTTTCCCGGAGGGGGTGTTCGCTGCCAGTATTCACGGAGCCGACGTTGGAGGGCTTATTAGCCTGCGAGAGGGCAAAGTCACCCGAATCGAAATACTTTCTTCCCTGGTATTGATGACTGAATTAGCTTGATTCTAGCCGGCCGGCTAACAGTACTTAAGAGTATTTCTCTACCTCTAACTGGTGATGGAGAAGGTTTCCTCTGGTTGGTATCGTTCCGTACCTCCGCAGGAGGCGCTTATCCTTTTCAGTAGGGGGCTCGGCCTTTTTTGGGGGATCCATATCTGCAATCCCGTGTGTGAGTTAGAAATTATTACAGGAAAGCGATGACGAGGCAGGCCGTTTTAAGCATACCAGGAGGCGACCGTCGTCATCCTTTCGTAAGACCCCGCAATATCCTAGACACACGTGACGGAAAAGGGAGGGGTTAATACTAGCAGATTATGCATTGCAAGCGGATGCGTGGCGCAGATTACGCGTGTCAACAGGAGCCATCATGCTACAAACCGTGAACTTCAACCTGGGGAGCTCTGATCTGGTTTCTCCCACACCTACCTTCCACCGAGTATAACATACTTTTCCGTTTTTCCGTGTGGCACGTTTCTATAATCACGAATATCGCACGAGATTCGTCATCTCGAGTCTGATTCCTGCCCTTACGGACAGCAGATTTGCCCAAAGTTTATGCTCGATTCGAGGGGGTATCAGACTGATGATATAGTTGAAGAGACTCTACGGCCCCAACACATGCGGGAGAATCACGGGTATAAAGTACTGACGAAGGATGTGAGATTCCGTGGTTTGAAATGAAAATAATCATCCAGATCCAGTCAAAAGATACCTAGTCAATCTTTCTCCTCCTTGTGATCCCCAACTCAATGAACACACGATTTAGCTTCCGTGCGAATTTCTATCTCTCAAGAACGTTTTCGTTTGGTTCCCGCCCGAGCCCCATTGGTTGGCCGAATCGAGTTGGCTAAAGTGATTGTGGTTTGCGACGGTCCTGAAGCAAGTGTAGCCGTGGCCGAAGATGTCAAGGCCATGGGTTGGGCTGTCCTTCGACAATGAAGGTGACGACTCATCTGGCTTTCCGAGTGGCTGCCTCTAAACTCGACCTGTTTGGCGAGCTGTTTGGCAGGTAAACTCTCTTTAGGGCGTACTCCCTCATTATATGCAGTTTCATTCCCACACTCCGCCGTCTCTAAAGTCTTGGAATCGGGCATCGTCGACGTGTCATCACCAGGTCGCGTCATTTCTTCGCCACGGTCGACATGTGAGCTAGATTCTTGAGGTGGAAAGCGCGCAGGCTCTGAAGAGGGAAAGAGCACCGCCGGGGCCACGGTATTCACAGATTCATTCCACTCAACAGGCCGGTCTCTCGCTGGAGTGCCGGATAAGCCGGGCGGGAGTATCGAGGATAACGGAGAGGGCCGCCACCTTGTACCGCTGGGGTCGTACGTTCTGGTGCGCTCATACTCCTTGTCTGGTAAATGGGGCATGAGCTCAGTGCTGCTGGTGACAGGAGTAGAGGCATGACACACCGGATGCCAAAGGTGGTCGGCGGGGAGGTAAGAAGCGAAGTAGCGAACAAGGGAGTCGAAGGAATTTGTACGAAAGAGTTGGACAGCATGTTGCCACTGAGGCGAACTGACAAGACTTGGGTTTGCGATGATCTCCAGACTCGCAGATTCAAGAGCGTCGTTCAATTCGCGGAGGCGTTGTTGCCTGCGATTATTGGCCAAATGATGAAATTCGGTAGCGGAGTTGGCCTCGTGGGAGATTTCGAAGATATCGTGGTGGAAGGCATCAGGGTCTTGAATGGGGGATGAATAGGTGTTATACTGGTCGTGAAGCTTGGTGAATAAGTCCCCTCTCTTCATGTCGAACTTCCAGGCCGGCCATGCCCAGGATGGGTCATCCATGTCGTACGGATCACGTGTTATATTGATAAGATCTGCGCGAGGTTGAAAATAACCAGTTTGTAAATGGCAGGATAATGGAAAATAAAACCACTACCAGAGAGGATGAGAGGGAAATCTTTGCAAAAGAAAGTGGGCATGGGCGTCGCAACTTTTGGCTGTGGCAGCGCGTCGATCCACATTGCCTGGCTGAAATCAGGTTATCCCGCCACCCACTACTGCCTTTCAACGGAACCCATGACTTTAGACCCCTGTGCAAGTCAGTTGTTAGATATCCATCCAGTCATGCATGTACAAAGGATCTATGCACCTAATGAATGCCCAGGCGTGCGGGGGTAGAATAAGAGACGCACTTCCGGCCGAACCAAGCAAGAAGAGGAGAACAACAGAACAGGGCAGACAATGATCAATAAGAATCATCAGTTTTGCTTTATAATCTACTGTATTGACCCCTTATTCACTCAAGATACACCCCGCGTATGTATGTATGTATGTATAATTTTCGTCCGAGGGGCCGCGAGGCCCGTAAAAGTCCCCTAATCTAATGGGGGACAGGACGTGATGGGCTAAACTATCTACAATTGCTGCTGCATTGGACCTTACTCAGACCATCTGCAAGGCCTCTTAGCTCGGAGCTATATGCATGCTCAATCCCTCCAAAAGGCACTTTTCTACTCGTAACCCACCCTACAGTAGTTTCCGCTAAAGCACGTCACACAGGACATCAACACAGTTGATCCTAGCAAAGCTTGTGCAGCAGCGCCTCCATCTAGCTCATCCAGCATGGCATCCGCTCAAAGGCGCATTGTTTCAAGAGGGTATCCCGTCAGCGGAACCGTCCCTCACCCAGTCAAGAATTCTCTTGCACAGATAGATCAAGTAGCCATCGACAACCTCGGGTGGGAGGGCTATGTCATCTAAGGTCGCCAGTAGCTGCAACCAAAGCTGTGCATTCTTAGGGAAAACCCTCGCAGGAGGAAAACCCAAGGCAACTGGGACGCTGTTGCAGAGGAGGCGATTGCCTCGATCCGCGGTCTCGAGGCAAGCTTTGTACCATTTTGACCCAGCGGTTTGTGTATGGTGTCTCGAAGCAGTGGGACAAGTTGTCGGGCCTGGTGGCGGTCCGGGTAGCAGCCGAAGCTACAAAAAGAAAGGAGGTTCTCTGGGCAGCGCGCAGCTGCAGAGGTCGGTTGGGGCGGCTAAAAGTCGCAGATGAAGTTGAGGGCGCGAAGCCCGGAATTTCGAGCAGCCAGAGCTGCAGAAGGGAATGGGTCGGGCCACAGAAGCCCGAGAGGTCGAGGGCACGAGGCCGAGAGTGTCAAGGCGGCATGGTCACACGGGTGGCTCTGGGCAGCCGAAGCTGCAGAGGGTTGTCGAGGCGGCAGGGCCGCGGAAGATCACGTCGATCGGACTCGCAAACGTCGGTAGGGCGGAGGGCCAGCAGGATCCAGGGCCTCGCAAGGCACCCAACCTTGCGAGAGCCTGGAACCGGCTGGTTTGTTTGGTGCCAGAACAGTATCTCCTGGCTGTCGCTACAGCTCACAAGAAGGTCAACTCTCCTAATTCCTTTGGATTGTGACCTGCTAAGACCCTGTTAGGTCCTAGCTGCAAAGCTGCGGGTGGTGGCCTGTAAAAATAACACCTGCCCTAACGCAGTGCTAGCAGTAGCCGCGAGGGGGAAATTTTTACAGGGAGAGTTGCACCACACCCCGCGTATCTAACACAGTCAATACCGTTGGCTCCTATGAAAAATATAAGGTTCCCACTCCTGTACCAATACACGATAAGCCAAATAACTATTCTACCTGGTTTCTCAAACCGGGCTTCGGCCCCGAGCTGCGATTCTTCCGATTAGATCTCTAAAATATGATGTAGTATTCATATTGGGTATGACAAGGAATGTGAGGAATGAGTGATTGGTAGTCAGCTGGGGGAGAATTTCTTGGACAGATTACATGCGGGATCGGGATGGGCCTAGTAGAGTTGGATCATGTAACTGCACTTTGTAACATAGCCTGCTTCGTTCAACATCTATCTCCAGAATGAGTGGAAGCTGAAACATACGATTTTGATGCGTACTAAGGAGCAACAGTTTGGTTTATATATCGTACGCACATAATTTTTTAGGAAGCGGCAAGTGGTGATGCAGACCAATGTCGAGACTAGATGATTGTTTTGTCCTGAGTGGTTAGTACACTGGATAAATCTGGTCAATTGAAGAATGTTAGCTGCGCCATTCGCTTATTATTACAGCCTGGAATTATCCAGTATATAACCTAACAAAGAATTATCACAATATATGCAACTAAAGAGGAAGGCACTGCTCAAGACAGCCCCTTGTGGAATGGAGCAGTGACTAATTAGGCTCCAAGTCAAAGAGCACTAAGGAGCAAGGCCTACGTCACGACTTGGCAAAATGCTCGCACCACCATCGAGGCTTTGGTTCCGATCGGACATGCAGTCAAGCCACGCTAAGCCTTTTACTTTGCTGTGACGGTTAAAGCACACTCTACCGTTCAGTGGACATGTCACTAAAGTTTAGCGAGCTATCCGCTACAGTTTAGTGAGTACTCCACTGCAGTTTAGTGGACAGTTATGATCATTTAGTGAAGATACTTGTTAAAAAATTTAAGGTGCTATAAAATTAGTTGCTTTAGCGCTGTAAATTAGCGGATCTTGATACAGCTGTTTGTATAATCTTTAGAAAGTAAGTGTCAGAAAGTGTGTATTCTGTTGTTGTCCTGCCCTGTTTCTTGAGGGTTCAAGGCAGGCTATATATGGATTTGGCAATAGGTGGCAAATTTCATCTCTGATGGCGATATCCGTGTCAGCTTTTCCAGGTGTTTCTAGGAGCTTCCTTTTGCCACTATTCAACACATTTTTATCTTCCACAGTGTTCCAGCGCTATTACAGCAGTGTTACATCTGCGTCTTATCTGACAGTAAGTTACTTAAAGTACCTGTTGGGTGCTGGCTACACAGCAGTGGGTGCTGTACACACGGTCCCTAAAAAATTACACGTGACCCTTGGTACAGTTGGCTGGGGTTTGTTGTGGAGCCCTCGCCAAATTGGGCATGCGCTGCGGTCGTTCAAGCTTCTTGACAGGGATGTCCGGCAACACGCGAGATATATAGTGGCGACATCATCCCAATTTCACTGCCATTGCGCTGCGTTGTCTTGGGTTCCGCCACTGGAGCACTGTCGCCTCGTTCACCCCTTTTTCTGCACGCCGTCGAGCCAGAACACCGCAGCGTGAACTGAGAGCAAGGTTGGTCAATCGGCTCCATTGTTCTTCAATCACTTATGGACATTGTTTTTGACAGTCGTAGTTCCGTTACGGCATCCACTCAAGGAATTTGGCGTGCTCCAGGGTGTACCAGCAGGCGCCATTTATCGGACCGCAATCACACACAAGGTCTCGAGCTCGGGAACCTCCAGCATCGTTCCTCTGATACCACGCATCGATACCGTCGTCCTACACCGGCGAAGTCGCCTATTGAAGACACGCAGGTCTTCGACGTATCTCCCCCTTGGAGTCACTAGCGATGGTTTTGCAGCTACCACCCCAATTGATCCTACGTATCGCAGGATTTCTTCAATCCGAAAATGGTATCAATACCCTTGCTCACACAAGCCGCACGGTGCATCAGATGCTCAATTACTTTCTCTACCAATACAATGCTCAGAAATCGGAAGGGTCAGCACTCACATGGGCTGCTAGGAACGGACAAACTCAAACCGCATGTATGGCGATTAGCGCAGGCGCCACACCATTAGACGAGGCACTTGGCTTAGCCGCGGGCTTTGGACATGCCAATGCGGTCAAGCTGCTTGTTTCTACAGATGGGGTGGAAGTAAATTGCAAAGACAGCCAAGGCCAGACACTACTATCACGGGCAGCTTCTAAGGGCCATGAGTTTGTTGTCAGGCTGCTGATGGAGTCTGACGGCCTTCTTGTCAACTCCAGAAATTATGAATTTGGAAGAACGCCTTTGTGTCTTGCTTCTCAATATGGGCACACTTCTGTCGTCAGGTTGCTCCTTGCGTCTGCGAAAACAGATGCCGACTTGAGTGACAACAGTGGATGGACACCACTATCTCTAGCTGCATGCCACGGTCATGTCTTGATAGTGAAGCTACTCCTGGAATCAGGCAGAGTCGACGTCAACTCAATGAATGAAGAGGGACAACCGCACTATCGTGCGCGGCTGAGTGTGGTTATGACTCCATCGTTGGCCTACTCATGAGTTCAAGTCTCACAAAAGTGGACGTCAACTCGGTGGATGAATATGGAATGACTCCTATGGGATACGCTGCAGCACGTGGTCGTGAGTCCATCGTGAGGCTCCTGTTGGAGTCCGGGCGAACAAAGGTGAATTTGAAAGATGCTCATGGAAACAGTCCGCTAGCCCTCGCGGCAAGAGAGGGTCATGAACCCGTCGTCAGGCTACTTCTCGATCGTACGAAGTCGACATCGATGCACAAAATACAAACGGGCAAACGGCAGTATTGAACACGTCTGAGCACGGGTATGATGCCATCACCAAGCTGATTTTGGACGCGAATAAAGCTCGCCTTGATCCAGCATGCATAGGGTCTACGGCACTACCACCCTTGCCGTGGAATGAGGAATTTGACGACAACCCTTCGTTTAGTCCAACCCCACTAGCCCACGCTTCCATGTTTGGTCATGAATCCGTCGTCAAGCTACTTTTGCAGTCCAGTGGTGCAGATAGTAACTGTCAGGACGGATTTCTGAAGCGAACCCCGTTATCATGGGCTGCGGAGTATGGGCATAGTGGCATAGTTGGTCTATTCTTAGAGCCAAGTCGAGCGAATGTCAATTCGAAAGACGACATTGGCTTCACACCGCTATTATACGCTGCAGCAAGGGGACACGACTCAATAGTTGATTTGTTGCTGAAGTCGGGAGCGCCGAAGTCAATCTCATTCAGCTAGGACCTCTAGGTCAGCTAGGACTTCATCACGGTCTCTAGGATGACAAGACCATATAGATATATAGAGGCTTTCTAGAGCCCCATTCTAGCTAGAAATCAAGAGCTTCCACACACATCTCAATGCACCATTCTTCATCAGATGCAATAGATAATAGCCTCACTACCTTTTGACTCGGAGTCGCGGTACTATTACGCTTGAACTAGGCGCGATGAGGGCGACTACGGATTCCTTAGAATTACACTGTTGTTACTCAATGTAGCTCTTCGATAATATTGAGGTTTGGTACAGTCTGAGACACATTTGGATATTGGCAAGTAGACGAAAAGACAAGCTTCTCCTGGAAGCAGTGCTGTCAGCAAGCCAAGTTGGGCTTACAGAATCATGTGTGGGTCTCTCTTACGGAATGGTTCGACAGGAACAAGGCACTTTGTTACAAGAAGCTCGGCTAAAAGCATTTCTCAGAAGCACCCGGCGAAATCTAAATACATTCCCTCCTCAAACGTCAATGCACTTGACTCTGGTCCTTCAGGGCAGATGGAGGTTGCTAGCTAGGGAGGCGATCTGTATTGTTTCTAGTTATCGTTTCACACCGTTTTTTACATCCTATCTCATGTGCTATCCACTTCGTTGAGCCCACCCCGTGTCGCAAGTTAGTGACGTGAACATCTCTCATCGGGCCCCTAGCACTAACATGCAGTTATCTTTCAACACAGAACCTCCTGACAATATCCACCAACCTTCCTCTCCTACTACTCGTATCAAAAACTTGTCCGTGATCCAAATCTTGAAACCATAGCACGTCCAGCCCATCGCCCTTCCATATTCCATCTTCCCAGTGACTAGTTTCTAATATCCAATTATCTGCGCCTGTCAAGTACGCCCCAATTGCTTTCGTGTCAATTACTATGTCGCTGCTAGCTAGCACAACAGTCACGCGATGCCCCTGGATGTCTTCCTTCCACAAGACGTTATCAGCCCAGAAGAAGCGGCGAAATAATGTATGCGAGACACCCATGTCCTTGGAGCCGAAGTAAGAGAGCAGATGTTCATTAGCCTGGGCTGGCTTCCGACAGATCTTAGTGTCGAGGAGGTTAGTTGGGATTGCGAACAAGGATGCAAAGAAAACTTTACAAAGTTGTATGCTACATCAGGGAGATGTAGCAGGAAAGACACTGGATCAACAAACACAATCGGTCCAATCTTCTGCGCAATCTGTGGAGTGTGAAGGAGATGCGCAGCAACCACGCTTCCGTACCTTCATAGGGCAGAAATTAGTACAGGACAATGACTAGACATAAATCGAGAGAAAGGGAGAGGGGTACCCACGAGTGTGATACGAGGACAATCCTACTCCACCCATGTGCCTTTAATATACGATTAATCTCCTCGCACATCTCATCTTTCAACAGTGCCTCGGCTGTAATCCTGGAGCTTATAGGCATGATCTCTATGGCAATGATCCCCACCTGTCCGTCCGACGGATCCTTGGCATCCGCGGCACTAAGATCGCCCAAGAAATTGATATATGGGTAGAGTCCAATGCCGATGCCGTGGATGAACAGAATGGGGAGTTTCGTTGTAGACATATGCGGCCGGTACCAGTACGTGAGGGTTTTCGCAGGGGAGCGATACGTGGATAAGAGAGTGAGAGGACGCAAAGGAAAAATAGCGAGAAACGATGTGCGGTAGAAGTCGAAGGAGTGATAGTGCATATAGGCGGACGTTATAGTATCAACGACAAACACACACTATAGCATGAAGTTAGGAACCTGACTCTTACTACTGAGGGATAAGCCCATGCGTATCTTGCTCTGGAAACTCACCAGATACCAAGTCAAACTGCGGTGTAACATCTCGACCTTATCAAGCGTCAATCTAAGGCACTGAACGTTGCCGTGCCCGGGTTCCAGCTTCCTCCCTAGCAGCTTCTCCATCTCTCCAGCGTACTCCTCCAGCTCCTCGTCGTGTGCCAGGTCAGAATCTCCAGTGTTCAAGAACGCCCATCGGAAGAAGTCCTTGACGTTTTCCCGCTTGATCTCCGCAGGTGGCGCATTTCGGAACCATTTCTGCAAGTACTGGTCCGGATCTGGGATATTTCTGTGGCAGCGCCAGAACAGATTCCGGCGATCTTCGCGAGACGCAGTTGTGGGATGAGTCGCGACCCTCTGGAGGTAGGCGTTGCGCGGGAGATAGACAGCACAGTAGAATACCGTCTCGAGAACGAGCCATACTTCGAGTATGCGGGGGATACGGATCGGAAGGTCGACTAGCGAGCTGACCAGCGAATAGAATATGCTGAAGGGTGCCACCAGGTGCAGGAAGAATATGGATGTCCGTATGAAGGCGTACTTCCAGACAGACGATTGTGCCATTGGCGATGCGCAGATAGTAGCCTCAGCCGAGGAGCCTATCCTCAGCTATTGGTAATGATGCTTGAAAGAAGAAGATTTCATATCAGTCATGTCTTGAGGGTATTTCCATTAAATAGGCCAACCCAATTTGTTGGGAACCATTGACGGCCGACTTACCCCACATCGCGCCGAAAAATGCGGGTTCTATCAAGACTTGACATGTGAAGAGATAATACCAGCAGGGACGACAGTCAGATGGAAGGTTATCAACCAATGTACGTATGTCAATTACAATTGGCTCTATAGTGTTGGGGTGTGGTTCCGCCACCCATGTTTCCAACTCCTATGAATTGCAGGACGACGTCATGTTCACATGCTTGAATCCATTAATTCATTCACTTAAGATGCAGATAGGAACCTTTACTCAGCTGCGAAGCGAACGGCTCCCTGCACCTGCGACCACGTGTGCCCGAGATGAACGAGACGACCGACAGAAACAGAAGCCGTCTGGGATCCGGCGTCCAAGCGACTGAGCATTCGCAAGAGATGCTCATGCAACAGGGTTGGGCCAAGAACGAAGGACTGAAACAACGTAGGTGACGCCGGGACCCAAAACCTGTCTGTCGCGAGTGATGACTCTCACGAACAATATGGTCGATAGTAAATGGACAATGGTGACATGGTCCGCAGCGTGGGGAGCTTGGCTTCATAAACGGAGAAAAGGTGGTGGCACTGGCGGAGACATAATTCCTGCCAGGGTAGAGCTAACATTCGATGACGAGAGCAGAGACGGCCTCTTGTCGTTATGTTAGCACGAAACCGATCGCCTAATAAGGCTTACCCAGACTGCCAGGAAATGCCTACGGCGCACCGACCCGACGACCACTCGTTCCAGATCCTCCGGCACAAAAACTCACCATGTCCCTGCCGAGCATAACGCCTCGCGGTGGGCAACAAGGTGCGAAAAAGCTGGGCACATAGCGGCCGACGCCGGCCTCATGTGCTGCCGCGATGAGAGCCATCTCTTCCTTGATTTGGATCAACGTCAGGCAAGAGATGACTACGTCTATGCCCAAAAGCTCTTGAACAAGTGCGTCCGATGGCCCACCAAGCTCTACCGGCTTGATGATGACGCCGCGTTTGGCGAATTCAACATACTCGTCCTTGCTAACGGAAGAGGGCCGCGCTAGTGCAGTCACTTCCTACATCAACGTCAGCTATTCCAACCTCCAAACTCTAGCGTCTGCCTCCAATAGTGAAGCAATTCGTCAAAATGTCAACATACAAATTTCTCAGGTTTGTCCAACAGCGCGTTTACAATCGAGGTGCCGGTCATACCGGACGCGCCGGCGATAGCGATTCTGGTTCTGGTCAGGGCTCCTAATAGTGCAGACCATTTACACTATTAGTGCAGACTACAATCCAAGATCAATAATCAATCCACGACGGGCGTTCGTGGATTGACGACTAGGATGATGCGCCCCTTGAAACGAGCCTTGTTGATCCGGATCGCACCAGTGAATTGATCAGAAATATCCAAAACAAAGTGGTTGGCACAGCAACAATCATGGGTACCCTGGTTTTGTAACACCATGCCAACAACCTAGCGTACTTAGCGTCCACACCGGGCGTCCGTATTCCCTGCCCTGATCTGCAGTCTGCACTAATAGTCTAAATGGTCTGCACTATTAGGAGCCCTGTGCAATGCATAGGATACATGCAAGCGTCAACATTCTTTCGCATCAGCTATCTCAACAAGAAGGAATCATGCCTGTGTAGAATCGCTTTTTTAACGGGGGAGTACCAGGGTCCGGTCAATAGTGGCCGGAAACAGCAAGTAGGTGAGTCAAGGGGGCGGCCTTCGAAGCAAATGGCCCGACCAAATGCTACAAGTGAATCGTCATTCGATCGTCATCATACCTTTGTCGTACCGAGTGCGACCCTAACATTAGCTGCAAGATTTCTGAGCCGTTTGACCTAGGCTAAAAATTACTTTGCCAACTCTCGCCTTTCATTCTCACTCAGTCTTGTTCAGTTTGCTTATCGTATACGTTACTCTGTAATTTGATAATAATAGAAAGCACTTTAATAGGCGCGATTTTAACCCTATAAGGCGCGAGGGGTTAGTTATTTCTATTGTCGATACTTAAAAGCGCTCTCTAAAAGATATTTGCTTAAATTTGTAGCGTACTCTCAGTAGTCGGTGGGCCAGACTATCCAATTGACCTTTTGGAGCGGTGTTGCGGCGCTATAAATGGCTGTTGTTTCATAAATTCCTTTCTTGCTGGTGATGATGTTTGGTTACAAGAGGCAGATATGCTTGGTGAAAGGAGGGTTGGCCTGTCGATAAGCATCCGGCCTAAGTGAGCGCAGAGCGTAAAGCAAAGAGCTGTTCTGAAAACCCGGTCCCCACCCCCGAGTTAGCGAATTATGGATGTGCTGATTCTGGAGCGGCTACGACGGTGGCCGTTTTCGGCTCCTGAAGGATCCAACAGCTATTTTAGGACTCAAATAATCCTTGTGAAAGACTCCTTGTACACCCTCTTGCATGGCGGCAGATCAGTGGTCACTGAAGATTCTAGAAATGTAACAATTCGAGAGATGTCTTTTCCTTCCTCTTTACGAATCTCCGCCCAATCGCTTGCCCGCACTGTGGAGAGGGTTTGGGTGGAGCTGGAGTGGGGTTGTGGAAGGTTCTAGATGGCAGCAACACTTTTATATAAGGCTGTGCTAGTGACAACAACGACGTCTATTTGTCTTGATCAGCATAAAAGGCTACCGTAGCATGGAGCGACGAAACGTCTTTATCTTTGATCCTGGCACGTCAGATCCCGCCACGCTGTCCGTGAAACCACCTTTGGAGCATTTGGCGGTTGTGACGGGACCTCCTCATGACTTAAACTCCGCACAGCTGCCCTCAAATTCGCAGAGTAAGCTTGCTCCGGCTGGTATGCTACCTAAGCATCGGACCTGGAGCGGCGGAGTCCTGTTTACATTGCCTGAGGGTTCCATGGTCAGCGCAACTGGAAATAGATGATTGGCTTACAGCTTAATCGATTTTTTCCGCTTTGAGTGCAACCCAGATCGGCGGCGCATTTCAGGATCGTCGCATCTACCACGACCACCGCGGGCAACCATATATGCCGCCAGCTCCATCATTAGGATAAGCGGCTACAAATTTAGGCGTAGATTCAGCAGTTGACACGCGAGCGAGACGATTACCAAAGTGAACGCAACCGGTATAGGCAGATTTTAAAAGAGGCTGGGGTCGCCGATAAATCACCGCCAACTATAGCGAGCACAAGGAGGAGTACAAACGACATAGGATAGCTCTCGCAGGAAGTGGAATGATACTGTCGTCGGCTAAGAAAGGAATAGCCCTGTGCCTCGATATTCTGCTCGTCAATAAAGCATCCACCACCAGATCGTCTAGGAGGAGGTTAGATAGGGTATCAGCAGGGACATCAGTTTGTATTTATTTGTTTCACTCTTTAGATAATAATACTTTACTCTAAGGCCTAGTATCCCTAATAATTGCTCCCTTGCCCAGTTCGTAGTTCCAGCCTATCCTCTTCTCTATCCTAAAAGGCTCTATGCATTGTACTATGGTCCCTGACTCGGAGCTTCAGGGATCGCCCGTCGTCCCTTGGATATCATCCCCGCTAGGTTGTTTCGTCTTGTCGGCCTACTCTATCTTGGAGTCTGCCGATAAACTTCACGTCACTGTGCTGAGCATGTTGACGCACGGTCACGAGTCTCAATTCACACCATTTAACCTCTTTGCAGAAGATCTAGCTCAGTCTGGCCGTCTCCTATATCATTACACGAAAATATTAATTGCTGTTATGCGAGACTCCCCTTTCTCTCAAAAAAGATAGTCTGGCTCTGCAGGCGGCCAGATATCCCCAACATTTAGTATGGGTTAACTCTGGTTCCTTATAGAAGTTGGTGATAAGATCATGCCGGGCGAAGCTTATCAGTGTCAAGCCTGTTGTCTTATCTAAACATTTTGTCTATATCGCAAACATTAAAAAATCGGCTAAGGAGGGTGTCGCTGGATACTAAACTCCCTCTAGATTGATAGTGAATTACATAAGATATTACGGGGCTGGACTCCCAGCTAAGTTAACGGGACATGGTGACAGGTACATAAACATCCCAGTACTACAAGAGCAAGTCATTGGCCCAGACCATGACGACGCCGCATTCTCGTCGGCAACTCTGCGGGATGCAGCAATTTCGGATGACGAACATGAAGGAGAGATTATTAGATGAAACCCATGGGCCGACCAAGATGAGCTAATCACTTTTCAGCATACTGCAGGTCCTGCTTCGTGAGCTTACGGCTTTAGAGGCGAAGCTCACTGAGAGCTTTGATGATGGCATATCAAGCACTCAGCTAACAAGGGAGAAAAAAGACATCACATGTTGAAACACTGCATTCAAACTACATCCTGGCCTGGCTGTCTAGGTTAACCACCTAACATCATTGTTCCTAATTCCCTGCCAACGTCGTCCTGGAAACAACTGCGTAAACCTGGCCCCGTTCCTCCTTCAGCTTGCAGGCCATTCTCCGCCTATTGAACTCCATCGAGACGTAGGGCGACCAAGTTATTAGGTAGAATTAACATCCACCGCCAATAACGTTCTAGAGTCTCTCACGACTCTTGAGTTTCGTAGAGTAATGCACTTGTAGAGACCATGCGTGCCCTTGTTTTCAGGCGGCAGAACTGACCAGCCGGACAGTCTCAGTCCAAGCTGATGCCTGCAACCTGGTCATGAGTCACGCCTTTCTCTCATTATCATGCACCGCAGCTTCACGTCTCCTGCATCGGCTTCCCCGAAGTCTGCCTCGCCGGTGCGTGACGTATGAGCTTAGACTTATGCATCCCTTTGCATGCAGGAGGAAGCAATGCGGCATTTGAAGGGAGTTTTATGCCAGTGAGATGGCCTCAGTTCCCGAGTTGGTTATCCTCATTCCCATATTGCCCGAGTCGCCCCTCATTGCCCAATATCCCTGCCTCCTTTGTTATGCAATATGGGTAAGGGCTCTAATATTAAATGTTCTCTTTCAAGTGAAAGAGGAATATAGGGGTGCTTGGCCAATCACGACGCGTAAAGTCCACTTTTAGTGAAAGTGAGGCACGCCATCTGGATGTAGATGCCAAATTCTTCGGACTGCAGATCCGACCGAATCGTCGTTGCACTGCACTCGAGCGGTTTAATTAAGGGACATTATTCTTTATGATAGAGAGAGAACTGGACCATTTCGTTGATTTCGTGGATTACTATCTTGCTATTGTAATATAAAAGAGCGCAAGCATCATATTAGCAAAGCAAGGTAAATCGTCGATATTCAATGTATTGACAATCTCAGTAAAGACCGGTCTATAATAGAAACCTCAGTCGTTAACATTCTTGATCTTGAGAAGATTAGAAAATAGCGCAAAGCTGTCATGGCTTGGAAGCTGCCGTTGATTGCTTAACTGATAGCGATGCGCTTTGACTCGTGCTTCTTAGCCTTCGGGACCAGAATTTTGAGGATGCCGTCCTTGAAGTTTGCGGTCACCGATTCCTGATCGACCTGAGTAGGGAAGTTGAAGCTGCGAGAAAACTCGCCGACGCTGCGCTCGGAGAGCCAGTACTTAGCCTTGTCAGACTTCTTGGTCTTGGACATTTCCTTCTCAGCAGCCTCAGTGCCGGCCTCACTGGCCTTCTTGCTCTCCTTGTCACCCTCGGTAATGGCACCGCCCCTGGTAGTGCCCTCGATGAGGCCTGCAGGAGGAGTACCGGCAGTGTAGGTGCGCTCAGTCCTGCCACGGATGAGCATAGACTGGGGCTCGGTGAACTCGATGTGGACATCCTCCTTGTTGATGCCAGGGAGCTCTCCATGAAGCTCATATGCTTCCCCGGTCTCGCAGACGTCAAATTTGGGCTGCCAGCTGGGCATATCAGTGCGACGGCCGCTTACTCCCTGGCGAGAGTAGTTATCAAAGTCGTCCAGAAGACGGAAGAGGGGAGTGAAAGAGGTGTCGGGGTCGGCGAGACTTCGCGGGAAGAAAGCCATTTTGCGTGTTTGGTTGATAGTAGGCTTGAGAACAAGGTGCTTCAGGTTTCGTGAAAGTGTTCGAGGAAGAGTTGATCTGCAGCTATACAAAAGAAGTTTGCTCATTTGATTATTGTTGCTTGCTGTGTGTGTTGCGGAGGATGAAACGATTCGAGTTGATAAGGATGTGATGTATTGCTTTATACTCGGTCGGTTGATAGAGTGGACATCAGATCGAAGGTTCCTACGTCTTCGCAAAGCTCATAAAACCTGGCAACGGCGTATCTAGAACGTACCTGAATAACCCAGTCCAGACAGAATCACGCAGGAAAAACACATACTGACGTGTTTTGTTGTGATACTGACGTTTGCACTGACCAATGAATCGTCTTGAGATTCCCGGTGGTGGTTGCGAGAAACCACCTGACATCTGTCGAAAATTCTGGCAGTTGCCACCTAGTACCCCCTTGCCAACAACTCCAGGCCAAAAATAGCTGCAATATGCACAACCAGACTGGAAGCTTCGAGAAATACTGTTGTATTATTCGCACGTGCGAATTTTACATCATTTCGAAATCATTTGATTGATCAGAACCGTTACGCAGGTGCCAATTTGGCCACATCACGTGTTTGGCTGTGATATCCAGATGACGTATTATTAGTACATCCAGGTGTGGGGCTTTAGCAGAAAGCAGGGTTACGGAAAGTATCGAGATAGTCAGTTCCAGGTATTGTGGTGGGGTTGGAAGACTCCCTCCCATCCGCACGCCGAGGAGTGCCTGGAGCTCCAATTTACAACCCGCCTCCGCCAATGCCCTTGCCTATGTTGGCCCCATCGTGTCATAAACTTTCAATGACGGGTCTTCAACGTTCCATTCATGGACGGCAACCAGAATGATGATGAAGCATCATTGACGTCATAATACTTCGGGTAAAGGGCCCGAAACCTCCAATTCACACCGCGGCCCATTCTTCTAACAAGAACACATACGCCTGCCGGACATCGCTTCTCCTGTACTTCGCCATTGTCACAACGACATTCACCAAATCTGTCGGCTTTTGTTTCGTTGCTTCGCCCTCGTCTAGCGGTTACAAATGTCGCTTGCTCAGTATGTAACTCAAGTTGAAGGATTTGACTACGAAGGCCCTGTGAATCCGAGCAGTAATGGGAACCTCAACGGCAACGATAGCACAGCCAATGAGCAGTGCTTGGGTGTTGGGGAAGACGCCCACAGATCGGAGTGGCGACGCATAAGCTTTACGCCAGTTGAGATTACCCAGGACGAAACTCACATCGCAGCGTACAAAGTCTCGAATTCCAAGCGATATGGTACGTTCAAGCTTTTATCATGAGAATGGCTGTCGAGATCTGACCAAGAATCTTCTAGCTCAGGCCGCAACGGCTTTAATAGCCTGCTGGCTTGCATCTAGCATCGTATTTAGCTTTGCAGCTCTCAAACCCGTCTTGATCGCTGAAGGTGTATATCATGAACTCTGCCGGAGCGACGAGACGACGGGATTTGGCGATGAGCCTAGTCTTGACATTCCCTGCGCCGAACAAGATATGCGCCTGAACCTCTTCTTCATCTCTGCCTCAATTACCACCAACATATCATCTCTTTTCGCCGGAACCGCCCTCGATCGGTTCGGGAGACGCTCATGCTGGAGAGCAGCATGTGTCTTTCTAGTCGTCGGCTCCCTACTGATAGGATCTTCCTTCGCCACCCCGGAATTCGATGGTTACCTTCTGGGCAATGTTTTCATAGCTCTGGGGGGGACTTTCCTCTTTGTCCCTAGCTTTGAACTTGCCAATATGTTCCCCAAGCATTCGGGGCTGGTGGTTGCCCTCATCACTGGAGCTTTTGATGCCTCCGCAGCCGTTTTTCTCTTCTATCGCATGGCTTACGATGCGTCTGGTGGCAAGTTCTCACTGGAGAAATTCTTCTTTGGCTACCTTATCGTTCCGGTGCTAATATTTTTTGCCGAAATCTTTTTGATGCCATCTCATGCATACCACACCATGCCAGAGCTTAAGAGGAAGATTGAAAAGGTCCAAGACCGTACTCGCGATGTCCACGACTCGGATGAAGATATCTCGGACGCGGGAGAGTTGACGCGAGTGCGGAGTGCTCGTGCCAATAAACGCAAAGCTAAGCTTGAGAAGATCGAAGAACTTGCCGGTAGTAACGAGCACCGAGAAGAGCGCATCAAGATTGAGGAGGAGCGCCAGGAGGCGAGCGGTGTCTGGGGGGTTCTCCACGGTGTCCCAGCCCACCAACAGATGCTCTCGCCCTGGTTCATTCTCATCTTATTGTTAACCGTGTTTCAGATTCTTCGGATGAACTACTTTATTGCATCCATTAGAGCACAGTACAGATATATATTGGAGTCAGAGATTGCAGCTGGGGAGATCAATAAGTTCTTTGATATAGCCCTGCCCTTGGGAGGTGTTGCTTCCACCCCTTTCATCGGACTGCTACTCAATAACCTGAGTGTGCCTACCACGTTTGGAGTCTTGACGCTATTCATCACCGTTATTGGAACTCTAAACTGCTTGCCTTTTCTTTGGGCAGGATATGCCACCGTCGTGGCATTCGTCCTTTTCCGTCCCCTCTACTACTCTGCAATCTCGTAAGTGTGCCCATCACGATGCTGATTCCCTTGCCGATGCGCTTGCTAGCGATTACGCCACGAAGGTTTTTGGCTTTGCTACCTTCGGTCGCATATACGGGACCATCGTCTGTCTCTCTGGAATAGTCAATTTCGTCCAGTCAGGCCTTGATGCCCTTACCCATGGGCAGGGTGGGGAATCTATCTACATCTATCTACCGACACCCAAGGTAGATAGATGTAGACGCTTAGTCATAAAACGGAATGTAGATAGATAGAGGTAGGCTACATGTAGATATAGATAGATGCATCTATCTACCACTCCAAGTACGATATGCACTAGCCACTAAGTAACCACCCCAGCCACTTCGCCACTCATCTCCTTCAGCAGCCCGTCATATCCTTCTAGAAGCCCTGCCTTCAGCCATGACCTAACCGTCTGGGTAACTGCAATTGTGCTCGCGTCCAAACGAGTCCGCTGAGGAGAGACCATACTACCAGCGGAGGAAAATGCTCTCTCACATTCGGCAGCCATTGCAGGGACTGATAAGACATCAATCGCCATTTTCGCTACTCGAGGATACTCAAACCGCTTGGCGGACCAGTATTCTAGCGGGTTATCGTGCTTTGAAAATGTGTCCTGCTTTGTAGACTGCCACCTTTCGAACTCATCGGCGACCGATTCTTCTTCGGAGTTCGGATACGACATAAGCTCATCTTGGAATGAGTCAAAGGGATTGTACTCCCGTGCCCTCACGGCTACAGGAAGATTGCTGTCAGCGATCTCCCACTGGACGGGAAGATCCCGATACTCTTCCTCCCAAAGCGTTTGGATGAGATGTCGAGCCTTGTCAATCCAACCCTCCCTTCCGCTGTACGCCCTCGTCAAGAACGCCCATTGTATTCCAGGATGAAGAACAGTAGCTGCGTAGTAAATCGGTGTTTCATCGAGCTTGGTGTAGTATTTATTAAGTTTGGCCCACGCAGAGTTGATACAGGCAGAAAGGTAGCTGGACTCTGGCCGATCCGCCGCGTCTGTCTTGGCCCTCTCTAATGTTGATAAGAGGAACTCGTATGCAATGGCGACCTGCCAAACCATACCGTACTGTGCTTCCGCACCTCCTTTTCGAAGCCGAACTTGACAGTCACCTTCAAGTCTCAAAAGGCAAGAATTGAACATGGCGAGAATGTTGCTGAACCAACTCAGAGCTTCCCAATCTGCATCAGTAAGGAGATTGTCTTCCTCAAGGCATGGAGGAAGTGAGCTTCGCGATTTTGCGACTTTGGATCGAGATCGGGTCGACTTCCTGTTCGATTGGATCGTCATGTCTACAAGTTCTTCGAGGTAGCGACGGAGCTTAATTGCACGTTCAATCATATAATATTGCGACAGCCAGCGTGTGCAGTTATCAAGAACGACATCAAGCGTGCCGGGGTAGCTCTTGTCAGGGTCATCGTCTTGTAGACTGCGCAGGATGACTGTTGACTTGTTCGATCGATTGATCCAGACTACAAGGTTGTGTAATTTTCCAACCGGCCCTCTTTTTGTCCACTCATCAAAGTCGTCCGGGTCAAGGTCTTCGAGAGCTTGGGTATTGTGGACGAAAAGCATAGCCGTAGCGACAAGGTGAAGGACATGTCCAAAGCAGCGAATTCTCCGGGCTGCAGGCTCCTGCCACTCGAACTTGTGCCCTAATTCCTCCATAGCCTTATCGTTGTTCGAAGCATTGTCAAGAACAAAACATCCGAGTTTGTTGTGTGGTACAAGCTCGAATTCTTCCAGTACCTCCGTGACCGCTGCGCAGATATTTTCCCCGGTATGGGCCATGGCGACGTTTGGGAGGCCTAGCAGGATTTTTCGAGGCTGGAAAGTTTCGTCGTCGAGGAAGAAAGCATTGATGGAAAAGAAAGAATGCCTGTTCCGAGAGGTCCAGCCATCGAATGCAATGTGGACCTTACTAGGGCTCCGTAGCAAAGCATCAGTAACGTGGGCTTTGTAAGTATTGAACTCATGAATAATCTTGGTCCGAATTGTTTTGTGAGTAAGGTTTGCTGAAGTCTCACGGACCAACGGATTAAGGTAGTCGAAGAGTTCATGGAGCCCCACGTGCTCTGAGAGGCGAAAAGACAGGTTTGCGTCCGTAATCCACCGGACAAGCAGGCGCTGGAATGTTGCTTTGTCAAATCGAGCAACCAGCTCGTCGTGAAAGTCATCCCTTTTCCGTTTCCTTGCGGTAAACTCATGGAGGTTGCATTGATTCAAAGGTCTCTCCGATACGTAGCGCTTTGCTTTTGATGGATCTGGATGGAAGACCTTGTGTGCTTTGCTGAGGTGGCTTTCGATGTTCCGGGTATTTGATGCGACATAGGCTTTTGGTTTATGAACTTTCTGTTGGATGCAATGGCAGCAAAGCCAACTGGATGCGCCCGGTTCGGTGGTGGCAGTTTTTGCTTGAACATTATAGCCATGAGCCCAAAACCACCCAGTGGCTTGTCCAGTTCGAGTCGAGAGATTCCAATGGCCACGGACGGTTTGAGGAACTGTACTCCAGTCTTTCATGGCAATTGAGGTGCTGAGGGACGATGTTGAATCTAGTTTTGGTAGATCTGGCTGACTGGATAACTCTGAGCAGTTATTTGGATCAGTTACCGGTTGACTGAACAAGTCGCTTGGAGTTGACATCGTGGCAGATGCCCTATACTGTGGGTCGACTGTACAGTATGCCACTTGACATTTGAAAAGAAGGAGCTATATCAAGAGATTGACCAAAATTTGCTGTGAGCTTGAGGAAAGGGGGAAGGGAAATGATCTGACAGGGGGTGTTAGTAGGTGGTGGGGTGGGAGTACCGGTACCTTGTTTTCGAAGGAATTTACGCACATGTGTAAGTCCCTCTACTTTCCGTAGTCACCTTGGCGTCTATCTACATTTCGCCTATCTATCTGACGGCAAGATAGATAGATAGATGACCCACAAGGCCGTCTGGTAGATAGATAGATGTAGATCTACATCTATCTACATCTACATTTCGTCTACATTGGTAGGTAGATTCCCCACCCTGTTCTCAGGGGGCCCACGGCACGCACCGAAGTCAATGTTTGGACAGTTGGACATGGAGACAACCAACTCCCAGTCCCAGCGTGTACTCGGTTGACAGTTTGGCACTCAGACACCCCCAAAGCCCAATGCCCCCAACTCGCCGCAAGCATCACGGCTCGCGTTATCTGCCATTTTCTTAGTGACGCCCCCTTCGTCTCCAGTGGCGTCCTCTCTCATCTCGTTCTTTTCGACTTGCCTCTGAACGTATCACGGCCATGGCAGAGGCTCCATCAATCACAAGGCTTAGCGCTAGCAGTCTCTTCGCTGCTCGCTAGCCAATGAGCGTTAGCCTACGCCAAATGCCCTTCTCCGCTATGAACCATGTCCACTTTTATCATCCAACTCGCCGTGACAGGTTGAGGCCCCGGTATTTCCTCTGCTAGGAGGTGTCCTCATCCACAGGACTGCCAACTTCCACAGCACTGCAGCAGTGACAGCACACTCTTGATCTCGATACTCTAGCTTGTCACGATGCCCATGGCGCCTCGGCCGAGCCAGAGTCCACCGGGGACGAACCTTCGTCGAGGAAATATTATTAGGCCATAGTCTCGATCTTTCCACGAAACCTATCATGGTCCGGGCAGGACAAGGTTGAAACGAAATGTAGAGTTCGAGGTTGCTGCTGGGGGTGCATACTAATTTCACATTCTCAATGCAGTGGATTGCCCTGAGGCGAATGAGAAGAGGTCGGTGATACTACAGGCTTCAAGCAGAGTGAAGCAGCCTTGGGCATCTTCCGGCGAGAAAATACCTCTGGCCATTATCAGTCGTAAAGATAAAGTTCAATAGCACATTAACGAAGGGCTGGTTGAATGTCAGCAAATACGAGGACATAAGCTAACACATTCTGGGGCTTATCTCAGCTCAGAGCCTGTCTCTGTCGTACGCGTACTTTCACATGTCAGGATATCGAATGGATGCGAGATTCATTAGAGGGATAGGTGACACTGCAGACTGTGGGCCGGGTGAAAAAGGTCTGAGCCAATCCCGATGAGAAAATAGGTCCAACCATTTTCAGCCGCAGAGTCAAGAATTCGGAGCTCCCTAGTGTATGACCGTTGGACAAGCTGTGTGCATTCCTGATTCTATATCCTTTCGGTCCAGGGGTGGCTGAATGTAAGCACCCAGATTGACACAAATCTAAAGTTCACAGGAGGCCTACTCAGCAAAAGAGTTCCATACGCGTCATCCTTTGAGAAGTCAGCCGCATCAAGCTGACATTGAGGCGTGATAGTTTTGCATGTGATTTTCAGAGACCAAAATGTAGCCTGAGATACGTTGGTGATTGGTGAGGAACCCGGCAGCCTTATATCTTGCTAGGTAAGTTGCATTAGCCCAATACTCAAGGCGAACGGCTTTAGATTGGAATTTATGCCCCACTTGCTTCACTTGCATGAGTCTTCCTGACCGTACACCATAAGATAGAAAGGCTGCCCATTCAGATTCCGAGTGATTCAATCCAACGACAGCGTTTCGTTCCTCAATATTTTCATTGTGGAGAGCAGTTTTTGATCGAGATATGGCCCCTTTGTCTTGTCCCTCACCCCTCACCCTTTCCCTCGTTTGCGACGAGACGCAGCCTTATACGCATTCTCCAAAATTGGCTCCGCTCTCTTTTACACACTTCAGGAGCCTCGACGACAGTGGCCCCCCGATTATCTTTTCAACAAATCGCGCGCATTCGTCGTTATCCCAAGGTCGCAAAACTGCGGTGACCGTAACTACACAATATTCTTCAGCCTTACTACTTGAGAAACACTGGGAAAAGTTGCTGTCTCTCGGCGGCCAAGCTTACCCGATATCGATATGTTCCGACGGAGGTAAGCATGCTGTGTCCTCTAGCAACTTGCGACTGGAAGCGCATCCGGAAATGACCCTCCAGGAGCATGCTCCAGCGTCAAGCTCTCTTCTTTACTCATATAATGACATGATTAACCGTCCTACAGGGAAAGCTCGGCAAAACCCGGGGACGACCTGCTGGCCAACTTCCGACAGCAGTTCCCCGAGGTAGCAGCTGTGAGCACCTCAACCACGGCCCCCGCGATATCTCAAACTACTGCGGCCGAGAATCCCTTAGTCCAGGCGCCACCGCAACCTGAGAGGTATGCTCTTTGGGCCCACCCCGATTTCGCATTCACGAGTTATCGGGACACTTTGTGCCCGAGGCGCGGGGTATCATGATTGATGCTGCCGTCTACCGCCTATCGTCTGCCATTGTACCGCTTCAGCTCTAGGACAAGTTTGCTGATTAGATCCCTCACATAGGGCCCAGGGCATTGCGCAAGATGTCTTCCGTGACCAAGACCCGACTCCTCGGGTCACGAATGGGCAGTGGAGGTTTACACCCTTTGCCAACTTCGCCAATGCGCCTCCTGGCTATTACACGCCCACCCCAGGCGGTGCCTACACTTTGTCCCACCCTCAGGCTGGCGACCTCCATACCCCCACGTTTGGCCTGGGAATGGGATTTGGAACTTCGTTGTCGATGCCAACTTCGGGAGATGGGATGCAACCCGGCCCAGGAACTGGAGTCATGGACATGACCGGATTCCAGACATTGCAACCTCGTCAGTTCCACCACTTCACTCCATTCATCCAAGCGCCCCCTCCTCAGCCGGCTTTTGCACCATCTACTTTTGTTCATCAAGACCCCGCTCATGAGACCATGGACCAAGACATCTCTCAGATGGAGACGGAAGCTCTAGAAGAGCCCATGACATCGATCGATTCCGCCGTTCAGAATCCACTGCCGGCGGTTGGACTCCCAACACGCCAGTTTCCTAGCACCCAAATACCTCACCCACTACCTGCATCTGCAGAAAAGTTCCGATTTCATGCAACTCTCGATGCCCCAACTGCCATAATCAAGCATGCCAATGAAATCCCCATCACCTATCTCAACAAGGGACAAGCCTACACATTGTCTATCACCGATACTAATACAACGTTGCCTATAGTTCCTGGCACCAAGTACCGTACCTTTGTACGGATTTCGTTTGAGGACGCCGAGCAGAGACAACGGCCAGGTATCTATTGGGGCCTCTGGAAGGAAGGCAGAGGGGCCAACGAAGCGCATCAAAGAGGCAGGAAGCTCCAGGCAGTCGAGTATGTTGAGGCCGGACAACCCGCCGAAGGAGACGACGAGAAAACTCTTGTAGAGCTCGAGTCATCTTCATTTGACGGCTTCTCTATCACATGGATGCCCAGGACTAATGGAGCCGCCGAATTCAGCATCGCAGTGCGGTTCAACTTTCTATCCACCGACTTCAGTTATTGCAAAGGCGTCAAGGGCATTCCTGTGAGATTTTGCGCTAAAACTAACCCAGTCCGGTTCGATCCCTTTCTACCTGTTGCTGATGTCAATCCTGAGATATGCTTCTGCATGGTCAAGCTCTTCCAAGACCATGGAGCCGAACGGAAGCTCACCAACGATGTTTCCCATGTTAAGAAATCCATCGATAAGCTCAAACAACAGATTGCGCAAGCTGAGAGCGGGATGAAAGACTTCGGCAAGCGGAAGCGTTCAAGCGCCTCCTCAAAGACAGCAGATATGCAGCGACCTGGAAAAGTCACAAAGCACAAGTGGACATGGTCAATGTCCTCAACTAGCTCCGCTGACAGTGGTGGAGGGCGCATGTCTTCGGAGGAAGACCTTCACTTCAAGCTTCAGACTCTTCAAGACATGTTCACAAGCACCCGGCCTGTCAGTGTTCTATTCCTTCATGGCGACGAGCTAGATGATCCCGATCTATATCCTGTCTCACTTCCCAGAGATGCCTCACCACTTGCCAATACCGAAGGACGAGATGGTCTGAACTGGCAGGCCAGGAGCGGTCACAGCTCAATAACGGGTTCCATGATTTCTCCATCGCCGATTTCGCTATCTCTAGCGTCACAAACCTCTGCCCTTAGTCCTAGCAGTCAATGGCAGAACTTTGACTTCGTCGCCACAGGTGATATGTCGCGCAAAGGCTCGGATCAGCCAATGAAAGTCGACAGGGCGGACAATGACGGGAATCTCAGTGGGTGGATTGAGACTCTTGGTGTAGACCTTTCATATCGACCCCTCCCAGAGCAAGGTCCCACGCCTGTGGCCTGCTTTTACGTTGTCCGCCGTAGCCAGCAAGAACCCGACCAGAAAGAGTACCATAGGGCAATCTATTTGATGCAGCGAACGCTGAAGGAGTTGACCCATCGGATCGCAGCTAAGTGGGATATTGACACATCTCAGGTCACCCGTACGATCCATATAACTCAGAACGGGTTGGAGGTGGAAATGGACGACGATGTTGTTCGAGAACTAAAGGAAGGCCAAGACATGGTCCTGGAGATTGAGGAAACCGAGCAGTCTTCAGGGGTGAAAAGAGAGTGGGAGATGGCCGTCGACTTAGTTGATGGCTCTCCCGATACGGAAGGCTCTGACAAGGTAGCGGGCGGATTTGTCCTGCGTCTCACTTTCTAATCACTTACTTCTTTTCATTTCCCCTGGTGATGGGATGGGATTGCGGCAGACGAGCACCGACGTCTAGACTGGGACATGTATTTGTTATGTTGGTTTCCCGTCCTGTCGCCAGGTTGGGCTCACAATCACATATACAGAGATGGGATTGTTTACGCTTATGATGAGTTTGCATGTGATTTGATGACGATTGGATGCTGCCTCTATGATGTTCACGAGTGAGAATTCTCTGTCAGTAATTGTGACTTAAATCTTTATACGAAAACTTTATAGTGTTTCGCCGCTACATGGAAGCGAAGGAGGCATGGTAGGTTTACTTAAGATGCCTTGGGCTCGACATGGAGTACATGTAATCTGTGGTCGGCAGCCATTAAAACGACTGTTTACAGGTAAGGTGGACTACATGATTATATTTTCCTCTCCGCGGGCTTCCTGTTCCAGGACGAATGGACCTCCTGTCGTTGGAACGCTTTCACATGTTTTGGCCCAGGTGGCGGCGCCTCCACCCAAGCTTTACGGACGTAACTTTCAGAGTCGAGCATGTGGCCGCGTGGACATCTGAGTCCACAAATTTTTATATAACTAGCTCAAACTAACTGTATGCTGTGAACCATAACGCCTCCCCGGGTTAGTCCCTTATATTGTTACATAATATGCATCTCTTATATACACAACTCACCAGCGCCTCCTGTTGGAGTGTGCATTCCACTTGAAGAACACGACGCCGGCCCGGGCGGAGGGACTGGGCAACGAAGGGACGAGAAACGTTTCCAGTTCAGCTCCTCGTGATGCGCCTTAATGGTCTGTGCACAGTGACAGGAGCCAATAGGGGCTCTTGAGGCAAGAGAAACAGGGAATACATGGGACCGGGCTGTCAGAGTGTTGGGACTCGAGCAAGGAGACCTCTGAATTGACTGGTTGCCAAGTGCAGGGAGTTTTGCTGCACCAACACCTGCAGAATCTGCGAGCACCAATAGTTAGGACAAAAGGGCGTTTTCACGCGCGACACGCCGGATTAGACGCGCCAGGTCGTCATTCGCACTGCTGGTGGATGCTTTATTCATTCGCACAAGACTTAGTAAGTTCAACGGCACTGGCGACCTGCGATAGTGGCGATGGCTCAGTGCATTCGATCATGGAGTAAAGCTGGGATCTACACGTCTTCACTGCCGCTGCTTAGCCTCAATAATAACCAATAGGTTGATGCACTTGCGTCGCTGAAGGAGACGAGCGATATCTAGTCGGATCAGCTTAGAACCTGTTTTTAACCAATGACTTATGCTCTGCGGCATCTCTTCCGAAGTCACCAGTTCCTCTGACGTAATTCTACCTACACCGGAATTAGTCATGCGTTCGATCAAGGCTTGGCATTCGATAGATATCGAATCTACGGGAGACGCGTTTGATTCGATTCTAAGTCCACGGGACATGCATTCGATTCGATTCGAATCTACGGGAGTCGCATTCGATTCGAATTCCAAGGCTTGGCGTTCGATTCAATAGATTCGATAGATATCTGACTCTGGTCCAGACGCAACAACGGGCTGCAGGGTCGACTCGATGGATAAGCCGGGTCCCTGTGTGGCTGATGGCAGACATGAAGGCATCGGCAAACTTTGGGCTGCCGCACATGATGACATCGGCAGCTATCCCTAGCTTGCCGGACATAATAGCATCAGTAACTCCCCCCTAGTTTACCGGACATCATGGCATCATAGCATCGGCGGCTATCCCTAGCTCACCGGGCATAACGGTTCGGCAACTTTGGGTTACCGGACATCATGGCATCGGCAGTTACCCCTGGCTGACCTTCTGGGAGGATGTTGCCCAAACGCCTCAGCACTTCCATGACGGGCATTTCCTTGGTGCCCGCCATAGTCTTCTCGTGCTCTCCCCGCTGGCGGAGGCGGAGGGCGCTGATGCTGAGGACCTTTTCTGCCTCTTTGCCGGCGACCGGAACCCACTGCTCGAGCTTGCATATAGTTATACCTAGTTTCTTCTCTATCTATATTCGAGATTAGTCTAGGTTTAGTCTTAGAACAGTCGTTACTAAGTTTCCTTTTCCATAGCTAGTTAACCCTAACTAATAGTAATAGATAGATTAATTAAGTTTCAGCAATAATTTACTTTCAGAGGTGAAATATACCCGAATTTAACTTCTTTGACATTATAAAATTTCAACACTCCAATCCGGGTCTCGACTTGCATGGATTCCTAAGCTGTTGCTGCTTTCACCCTAGCCGGTGGGTGAGCTTAGGCCTGTATGCTAGGGCTCACTCAGCCACGGTTATCTGCGGCTCACCCAAAGGAGACTCCTCCGTCTTGAAGTACTTGGATGTGTTGTAGATGACGAGAAGGACGTTGTCGGGCTTGATATCTCTGTGGATCATGTTCCGGCTGTGGATACACCTTAGGGCGCAACCCAGCTCTGCGATCCAGAACCCGATCGCCTCCTCGGTGAAGGTATTTCTGGAGATGTGGAACCGCAAATCACCGCCGGCCATCAAGTCGACCACAAGGTACCTGTCGCTGCGTGTAAGTTATAAATATGGCAGTCCTCGGCATGAGATTGGTGTGGTCGTACATGTACTCGGTATCATGGAAGCTGTATCTCAAGTTGCAAATGAAGGGGTGGTTGACGTATTCGAGAATCCGCCGCTCGCGGATGATGTTTCGTACGCTCTCGGATCGTACGACTGAAGTCAAGGCATGGCGGTCAGCGTAGGAGCAAATATATTGCGCAATCTAACGAGACGGGGCTTTGAGGCAGAGGGATGGAATGTGTCGAGACGGGAACCGTGGGACCGGAGTCGAGGGGATGGGTGGGACGGAGAAAAGAGCGAGTCGGTGGCATACCTTTATCCTTGCGGATGTACTTGAGGGCGAAGGACAGGTTAGTATCTTTGAGCTCAACGATGCGCACCTTTCCAAAAGCGCCTCGGCCGATGACTCTCAACAGGCGGAAGTCGTTGAGGTTGACTGCGGCGGTGGGAGTCAGCGTGGGTTCGTGAGCGAGGTCGGTCTGATCCGGCGGTCTCGCAAGGCCACAATCTCAATTGCCCCCACCCCCGTGAGGAAAAGTTGGGGGAAACAGGGGGAGGTGGGAGGGTGGAAGGGTTGCCGCACAGACGAAGCCGCATCGCACATGACAGACGTGGGAGGGTCACAAGAAGGGTAAAGGCGGTGGGACGCACGGGCAAGGGCGCAAGGGATGCACGTACCTTCGCCATTGATGACGACGAGCTTTCCTTGGCCGTTACCCATGATGATGGTCTTGATGCAGAGGGCGACGTATATTTATCGTCATCGGTAGCAAAGCGCGATGCTGGAATTTGAGACCAGAGCGAGCGACGAGCGGCGGAGGAGTCAGAGCGCCGTGATAGTAAATCACAGTGCACGAGGAGACGGATTGAGGACCCCTTGCGCGTCGGTACAATCTCGAAGGCACCCAGTATCCTGTGTTTCGAAACCGAAGCGGTAGAAGACTAAAGTGGGACCGACGTTGAATGGTTCGGTTTTTTGGTGAAAGATAGGCAGGCTTGCGGAACGACTTTACACGGGTTATATTTCAAGTTAAGTTCCAAGTCGAATCATATTATTCGAGCGTTGACGGACGTACTGAGTTTATGCTCTACGTCTATCAAAAACTCACTGACGGCGTTCTAGAACTCTTATTAAAAGAAACAAAACGCCAATCCCGAAGCACATTTCCTAAACAACCTGATCTTCCTTCAGTCAACATCTTCAGCACTTCGAATATCATCCTGAATCGACTCCACATATCTGCCTTCGCCATCACTCCTCCACCTTCAGAACCAGAAGAAACCTGCTACCTCCTCCCAGGTCTCCAAGCCCTCAACCCCTCCGTCCCAGAAGTCGACCTCGACGCCTACACCTGGGTCCAACCCACCGCCATCGAAGACGACGAAGTAATGTTCGACAGCAAGGCCCTAAGTACTTGGTACGAGGAGGAGCGTCGGCGTCTGACAAGCGGGAGCGAGGATGGCGAGAAGTCAAGAAGTCGGAAGGCTTGCGGAAACACCACTCGAGATAGGGCAAGTCTCATAAAGAATAAGTCACTGTGAATAAAGGGAAGGGAAGGGAAGGAAGTGGAGGAATTCCGAGACTTGGCGGAACAGAACAGTCTCGATAAAGATACTCAGATTAAATACCGCAGCCACCAGATTAGTATCGCCAGGTTTGGCCGCTAATTTGGTTAGTTAGTATGTTATCCAGTCTGATTTGCATCAAGTCTCCTCGAGGTGCCCATTTTGGGCCATCCGATGCCGCCTTTCCTCTTAAAAAGAACTAAAGTTTCCCATCTTTGCCTGTCCGATCCTTCGCATCCCTCCCCGCGGTGCATCCCACTTCGTGCTCCGGAACAAAAAATGTTCCATCGTCTCTGCTGTTTGTCCACAGTCGCACATATCCGATTCTGCTGCTCCGATCCTGTACAGGTAGCTGTTGATCCTCGCCATTCCCGTGCGCAGCTGAGAGCATGTCTGATTCGCGTCTTTTCAGTCCATCGTACAGGGGGGGGGGGGGGGGGGGGGGTGTCGGCAAACTCCGGCGCGACACAAGGTGGTGAACTCAAGTCGCAGGAGCGCCAGCGGAACTCCACGTCATATCCAGCCCGGATCGAGAGATCGCTCTCTTTTCTTCAATGCTCGAGATCCCGATTACTTCGAATACGATCAAGTTTCTTTCGAAGACTATGTGACTACACTTGTACGCACCTTCAATTGTGCCAAGCTGAAGTCTGTAGAAACCTTAAACCAGGCTTACTAGTTTCGGTCCAGTATCTCCCGTGCGCCCCTTGTTGATCTGTTTTAACGCGACGGCGCCGGTCGGATCATCGGCGAGCTAACGGCGGGCCAAGGCGGAAGAGGAACTAAGGTTACACGGCCCGACTTGATATTACGGAAATGCACCGCAGAGGAGCTCCTCCCTCATCGAACGGTTGTGTATGTTTACTGGCAGACTACCACCAGCGGAAGGTTTGCAGATCTTGTGTAGTTGGATCATCTTACTACGTCGATAATCCAACATACTCCATCTCCACAGAGAGCAGTCGAGATGTTATCGTCATCGAAATATCCCAGCAACGGCAATAATTGTCACTTCCCTGCAGCTTGCATGTGATAAAAAGGCTGTTCACGGAGACAGCCGTCTCCACGAGCATAACTGGGTAAGTGGGGCTCCTTGGAGAACCTCGATGACGAGTGTATTTTACTGCATGGAGCCGGTTGCAGTGACAATTCTGGTCCCAGGTAGCCTGGTGATTGGGAACGAGTTGTCAACACCTTAGGCAAGATACTGAACCAATCCTTACAGTTCAGCTAATGTCCGTGGTCGGCGCTTGCTTCGGAAAGTGCCGTTGTCAAGCCGTATGAGTGACAGCTTGCCAATCAGATCGTGCATATGGAAAGTTCCGTGCACCCCGGCTCATGCTTAGGGCTGGCGTCTTCCCCAAAATAACATTCCCGCAGGATAACCAACCTTATTGGTAGAAAATCCTCCTAAGGGGACGCGGCTCAGGCCCCGCCCAGGGTTCCGCTCGAGAAGGGGCACAAGGGCATAGTTAGGCCCTGGAGGTCAAGCAAGGGGGACATGGAGCCTCATATCAGCCATCCAGAGCTGGAAGATTGAGTTATTCTAGACCTCAATCGAGTTCAATTTAAAGCTATTCGCAGATTGAATTGCGTTGAGCTGGTCGGCCGCCGAATTGAGTTGAATTGAGTTGAATTGGGGCCTCAATTCCTCAATTCAAGCTGGATTGAACTGCGACTTGAATTGTGGCCTGCGCTGAAGTCGTCAGATGTAGCTCAGGAGCTCTCATCCCGTCGATCACTTCCGTCTCCGTGAACGTGCATGACGAAGAGACAGCACGGCAACTTCCGATAGCCGCAAGACTCGTGTCCCTTCGGTGAGATGTTAGGAATCCAGGCCATAGGCCCACAAATCTCTGTCATCCTGTTTTTGCGCAAAGGTACATTGATTCTCACCTATTTTAGGTGGTGCAAGAAGTCCTCGCAATTGTCACTCTACATAAAAGCTACATTACATCCCTGCTAACAGTATGGAGATTCAGCCTGTGCTCGAGGTCTCTGTTTGTACCTCAGCCATAGCAGGGTTGATGTGGGACTGGCCAGGGGGCTGGAGGCTTAAAGACCAGACAGGTTTAGTAGAAGGATGACCTCAATGATGACGGAACAGGTCAAAAAGACCAGTGATGGTGGTTCGAGAATAGAGACAAGAAAGTCGGAGGATGTTTGTAATAGCCAGACGGGTCTTGGCTTGCCTCAATTCTGGTAAGCAGACGAAGTTCACTGAGCAACTTGAGCGATACACCTAACATGCAGAAGTGCGACTTGTGAAAAGCAAATGAACACTACGAACAACGGCGAACTTTTTTGTTCTGAACCGTGAGCGCAACAAGTTGCCACGCGATCACCTCCTATCTAACGGTTCTGAAGATGTCGGCTTCACGATGCAAGATCAGCACTAGGCAGAACGTCAGACAGGCGGTTACAAATCCGAAACAATCCCTTATCAGCGCCCAGGCGAAAGCGGTTTGTCTCGGAGCCATTGACACCTGAATGAAGGAGACATTCAGTGTCTTGTGCTGAGTCCTCGCATAGTGTAGGTACACATTGGTACAGGCCAATGACCAACCAATACAGGTACTTCCATCGGGCACGGCACACTACTAATGTGCGTATTCCGTAGTGTAGTACAACAGCAAAACCCAACCGAGCATGAGGTACCTATGGTGCTGTCTCAGCAGACACACAGCCGGAGCCCTGAAAGTACGTACGTGGTGACTATCGTACTGTACTTGACCCTCCAGCCAGGGTTTTTGGCTCAGGCTCTCTGCACATCGCAAATATACATACTACGTAGTGCGTAGTACCTGTTGACACTGGCATGGGTGGGCTCATCCCGCATCCCCTCCCCGCCGGACCTCCAGCCAACTACGCAGTAATCCCATCTCACGCCCCCGAACAAAAGAGGCTAAGCCTGGTTGGAAGCCACAGTAGGTACTAAGGCTGTCGGGGCCCCGCCTTATCTCCTCTCTCTTGGACTCCCACTCGTTCTATTACCATCGCGAGCAAGACTTTGTAGTGTATGACTGCGTTACCTACCTCACCTACCTACATACCTACCTACTGGGTACCTTTTGCCCACGTCTGCAGCGGAATAAGTACCAAGGTAGACAGTACGTACGCTACAGTGTCTGCCCCTCAGAAGTCAGCCGCCAACCGCCAAGAGGGGCCCGAAGACCCTGCTGCTACAAGGGCCATCTTATGTCCTTGCCCTCATCCCCAATCAGTCTTCCAGCATCTCGCACCGCCCAAGCGCCCGAGTCTCGCCCTACCTCGTTCTGCGCTCCCACGTTTCACCGCCTTCCATCGTCCCCCCTCCGATATCCGATTTCGAGACAATATAACGTTAGGGCCGACCTGCCAACGATCTCTCTCGCCGCATCTCGTTCACTCCAAGCCTGCCACAGCCGCGGTCTGAATCCCTTGTTTGCCGTCGCCGTCTCTCCTTTATACCCTGGTTCGAGAATGCCCTGCCGTCTTCCACTGCTCTGTCTTTGATTTCGGTCGCGCGCTGTGCCTCGTCTCCAAGGCGCCCGCCCCTCGCCGTCCCGATGCGCCGCCGCGCCCTCATTCACACACTGATTTCTGTGCCTCTGCCATCGTCGTTTCGCCGGAATATCCCTCCGCTGACGTCCGAAACGCTCTCTTGAAGCTCCCGTCGCCTAACTGCGGCTCAGCAGTCTCTGCCCTGCAGAATGGTCGACGATGCGGCTCTGGCGGCCGCTGCCGAGATCGTAGCCTCAATTGCCCCGGACTCACGCTCGCTTGGCTCGATCCCCGTGGGCCTTGCCTCCAACGTCAAGCTCCCCGGCCGCGAGACGCCTGCCAAGCGAAACCTCGAGATTGAACTCCAGAAACTCGCACTGCGTGTTGGCAAGCTCGAGGGCCAGGCATCCACCACTACCACCACTTCCCCCGAGACCCCCAACGAGACGATGGACTCGCTGTTTGGCGAAGATGGCCTCTCCCTACCTTCCCGCCCCAAGACCAAGGTCTTCCACGCCCAAGGTAGCTTGCACTCTCCGCATCTGCCGTCTATCCAGCTGACCAAGGAAGCCCTCGAAGGACTTCGTGATCATGTCGATGACCAGTCGAAGCTGCTCGATTGCCAGCGCGACGAGCTCGCGGGTGTCAATGCCCAGCTCCTTGAACAGAAGCAATTGCAGGAGCGTGCTCTCGAGGTTTTGGAGCAAGAACGCATCGCAACTCTAGAACGCGAGCTCTGGAAGCACCAGAAGGCCAACGAGGCCTTCCAAAAGGCTCTCCGTGAAATCGGTGAGATTGTGACGGCAGTCGCGGGTGGTGATTTGACCATGAAGGTCAGAATGAATACTGTCGAAATGGATCCTGAAATCACCACTTTCAAGCGGACCATCAACGCCATGATGGATCAACTGCAAACCTTTGCCAGCGAAGTCTCGCGCGTAGCCCGCGAGGTCGGCACCGAAGGCTTGTTGGGTGGTCAGGCTAGGATCGGTGGAGTTGATGGAACGTGGAAAGAATTGACAGACAATGGTATCTCCCTGAGAACCAACCGATTGCCCCAATAATATCTAACAAATCCTTCCAGTGAACGTCATGGCGCAGAACCTGACTGATCAAGGTAAACTTGCCCACAGCGCCCGCCGAAGCTCTTGTCATTTATCTAACTTGAGACAATACAGTACGAGAAATTGCGTCGGTAACAACCGCCGTGGCTCACGGAGACTTGACCAAGAAGATCGAAAGACCTGCGCGAGGTGAAATCCTGCAACTGCAACAGACCATCAACACCATGGTTGACCAATTACGAACCTTCGCTTCCGAGGTGACGCGTGTGGCAAGAGATGTCGGAACTGAAGGTATATTGGGTGGACAGGCCGATGTTGGGGGAGTTCAGGGCATGTGGAACGATTTAACCGTCAACGTAAACGCCATGGCCAACAATTTGACGACCCAAGTACGCGACATTATCAAGGTCACTACAGCTGTCGCCAAGGGAGATTTGACCCAAAAAGTCCAGGCCGACTGCAGGGGAGAGATCTTCGAGCTCAAGTCGACCATCAACTCCATGGTCGATCAACTGCAGCAGTTTGCCCGTGAGGTCACCAAGATTGCTAGAGAGGTTGGAACGGAAGGCCGATTGGGTGGACAGGCCACTGTCCACGATGTCGAAGGCACCTGGAGAGATCTCACGGAAAACGTAAATGGCATGGCAATGAACCTGACAACCCAAGTGCGAGAAATCGCCAAAGTCACCACGGCTGTGGCCAAGGGCGATCTGACAAAGAAGATCGGTGTTGAAGTCCAGGGAGAGATTCTGGAGCTCAAGAATACCATAAACCAGATGGTAGATCGACTTGGTACCTTCGCTGTGGAAGTGAGCAAGGTTGCTCGTGAAGTCGGCACGGATGGAACTCTTGGCGGACAGGCCCAAGTCGCCAATGTTGAGGGTAAATGGAAAGATTTGACTGAAAACGTCAACACCATGGCCTCGAACCTCACAGTCCAGGCAAGGCTCCTTACCCGGACGCTTACGGGCCTGACGACTCGTTGCGTGTCACTGCCTGCAATTGTTGTGCTAACTATTTCCATAGGTCAGAAGTATCTCTGCCGTGACTCAAGCGATCGCCAATGGGGACATGAGCCAGAAGATCGACGTCGAGGCAAACGGAGAGATTGAAGTCCTCAAAGAAACCATCAATAACATGGTCGACCGTCTGTCTAGCTTCTGTTACGAAGTACAGCGAGTTGCCAAGGACGTGGGTGTTGATGGCAAGATGGGAGCTCAGGCTGATGTGGCTGGGCTCGATGGCGGATGGAAGGAGATTACGACTGATGTCAACACTATGGCCAGCAACTTGGTAAGCTATCGTTCGAAGATGGAGAAGTTAGGTGAATACCAACATACTAATACCGACGCAGACGACCCAAGTGCGCGCCTTCTCAGATATTACAAATCTGGCAACCGACGGCGACTTTACCAAACTTGTCGATGTCGAAGCTTCTGGCGAGATGGACGAACTAAAACGCAAGATCAACCAAATGATTTCCAACCTGAGAGACTCTATCCAAAGGAATACACAGGCTAGAGAAGCAGCCGAGTTGGCCAACAAGACAAAATCAGAGTTCCTCGCCAACATGTCTCATGAAATTCGAACTCCCATGAACGGCATCATTGGCATGACCCAACTCACGCTCGACACCAATCTGGATCAGTATCAACGGGAGATGCTGAATATCGTCAATAATCTTGCCAACAGCCTCCTGACAATCATTGACGACATTCTGGATCTTTCCAAGATTGAAGCCAGAAGAATGGTGATTGAGGAGATCCCGTATACGTTGCGGGGAACGGTCTTCAATGCCCTAAAGACTCTTGCTGTCAAGGCAAATGAAAAGTTCTTGGATCTCACCTACAAGGTAGACAGCTCTGTGCCGGACTATGTCATTGGTGACTCCTTCCGTCTCAAACAAATCATTCTCAACCTTGTCGGCAATGCTATCAAGTTTACTGAGCACGGCGAGGTCAGCCTGACGATCAAAGAACGACAAGACCAGAGTAACGTCGGGCCCGGCGAATATGCTGTTGAGTTTATCGTGGAGGATACCGGTATCGGCATCGCCAAGGACAAGCTGGACTTGATTTTTGACACCTTTCAGCAGGCCGATGGCTCCATGACTCGCAAATTTGGTGGAACTGGTCTTGGTCTATCGATTTCGAAACGACTGGTGAACCTGATGGGTGGTGACCTATGGGTCAACAGTGAGCATGCAAAGGGCAGCGATTTCCACTTCACATGCCGAGTTAGACTGGCCCACGACGACAGCGAGATGATTGAGCAGCAAATTCGACCTTACCGGGGTCACCAGGTTCTCTTCGTCGATGAGGCTCAATCGGGCTCTGGAACCGCCATCCGAGGCATGCTTGAAAAGATTGGCCTCCACCCTGTGGTGGTCGAGTCCGAAAAGGGCACCGCCTTTACCCGCTTGCAGACAGGCGGCGCTCTTCCTTATGATGCCATTATCGTGGATTCGATCGACACCGCCATGAGGCTGAGAGCCGTGGATGATTTCAAGTACCTCCCTATTGTCCTCTTAGCGCCTGTCGTTCATGTCAGCTTGAAGTCGTGCATGGATCTGGGCATCACATCTTATATGACTACGCCGTGCAAGCTCACTGATATAGGCAACGGGATGATTCCGGCACTCGAGAAGAGGGCCACACCCTCCCTCGCAGATAACACCAAGTCATTTGAGATTCTCCTTGCCGAGGACAATACTGTCAATCAAAGATTGGCGGTCAAGATCCTGGAGAAGTACCACCACGCCGTCACAGTGGTTGGTAACGGTTGGGAAGCCGTAGAGGCCGTGAAGGAGAAGAAGTTTGACGTCATTCTGATGGACGTTCAGATGCCCATTATGGTCAGCAGGATTCTCTAAGTGGCTGTAATTCGTATTTAATTGGAAGGCTAACACAACAACAGGGAGGATTCGAGGCGACGGGTAAGATCCGAGAATACGAGCGAGGAATGGGTACCCACAGAACCCCGATTATCGCTCTGACAGCCCATGCGATGATGGGCGACCGCGAGAAGTGCATCCAAGCGCAGATGGACGAGTATCTTTCCAAACCTCTGCAACAGAACCATCTGATGCAGACCATTCTCAAGTGCGCCACTCTTGGAGGCCCCCTACTCGAAAAGAACCGTGAACGCGAGCTGGCGATGCATGCGGAAGCGAAGGCGTCCAAACATAAGGATGGTGGACAGGGCATGTTGCGACCGACTCTCGAGAACCGAGCCTTCACCAGTCGCGAGCCCATCTCGAGCAATGGACAGGAGGGACCTGCCGCCGTGTCACCCGAGCAGGACGAAGCCTTGGCAAGAGCACGTCTCGATTTCTCTGATATGCGAAGCTTGTCGAACTAACAGAGTTGTGTTGCCGGTCTCAGATTCTCATATAGTGGTCTATGGGAGAAAATTGGGGACCACTCTAGCGAATGTGAACTGCCATGGCTGGTAGGGATCATTCTCCCACCAGTTTCTCGACAAACTGTCTTTTGCCTCTTTTGCCATTACCATCGTGATATTTATCGCCGGACTGAATTAATAGCAGATGACACTGGACGAAGCCGTGGCATGGAGGTTTACGGAGAGCGGCACCAATTGACATGGGAGAGGAGAACTTGGGATGGGAGAACTTGGGACGAGAGAACTTGGGACGGGCGTCAGAAGGATGCAACAGGAACTAGCAATCTGTGAAGCAAGAATACCTCGATTCGTTTATTCATCACAACAACCCACGACGCCCGGTGACTCGCATCACAGTAGACGTCATAACTCATGCAGTCTGCCCCGGCTCGATATCATCTTTTACCGGTCCCTTCTCTGCCAGTATTTTACTATTGGCTTTGTCGGGCTTTGAGGTCTTGGGTTGCTCAGGCACGCTAGCCTCGAGGGCAGCTAGGATGGCATCGAACTTGCTTTCGAGATGGGAAAGATTGGCTTCAAGAGCGGTGGCAGTCTGCTCGCCCCTTGAAAAGGGGGAAGGAAAATGTTAGTAAGGCCCACTACTGTGATTACAATTCACGAACAAAAAGAAAAGGACGCAGCCTAGCTGGTGCATTTGTCAAGGGGGTAGGGCCATGTACTGTGTAGATGTTGACGAGCTGGGTGGAAGAAGTTCGAGACCAATATAACGGTTGGTCAGGAAATGGAGTGATTGGGGATAAGGTAGATGGGGGTGGGCGTAGGGGCCTGAATGCGATGGATGGATGGGTGAACGGCAGCTATGCCACTAGTTGGGGATCCGGCGCATGGGCAATTGGCATGTCTTGTGAAATGGCGGAGAAGCGAATACGGATGGGAATTGGGTCGATAAGGTAGAAGTGAAAGTGACTGCCAACAACGTCCTAGGGTCTCTCACGACTCTTGAGTTTCGTAGAGTAATGCACCTGTAGACTCTCGACGGACCGCCCTGGATAGGCCTCACTGAACCGCTGGTGAATCTCGGGCCACGCTAGCATCTCCCTGCTCTCCTTTAACTCGATGAGAAGATCATCTTCCTGTGGGTGTATTTAGCTCTTGGAGCTGAAGCACGCTTGGCCCTGCTCCTCGTCCGTGTGGAGGGTAAATTAACTCGATCCTGAGCGGTGCTGCTAGCATGCCCATGCGTTGTACAAGGAGTCCAGTCGAACTGTACCTGGAAAGTTGTTTTGCCGTTCTTGGTTATGCGCTTGAGCGAAGCATTCTCGAGCGGCCATTCCTCAAAGCCAGGGTTGCAAACCACTCCACTGAATCCACGCGTGGATCCACTGAGTGGATCCACGGTCCATTCCACTCGAAGCGCTCGTGGAGTGGATGGAGTGGATTTGAAGTTAAGTGCTCCCCGCCAAGCTAGGTGTGCGAGCTTAACTCTGGTTGACAGTTACCCTAGAATCACATCGTCAGGAACTCTCTTAACCAAACGGCATTTACTGCCATTTAACGAAAGCAGTGCCGTTAGAACCGCCGAACTTTTCTCATTAGAACGATATAAATCACAATATGCCGGGTAAAGCTTTGCATGATAACAACAAAGTGAAGAAAAAGGTAGGTCATCATTCATTCATTTTCCAATTGTTTTCTCGAGACTGACCGATCAATGTGGGTCCCAAAAACTCACAAAAGCTTGAGAGCTGCAGGAGGCTCCCTTTATTTATTCTTTTCCCTCTTCTCCCCTTTTCCTCGCTTTCTTCCTTAGCTTTAGGATACTTGCTGTAGTGACCCAGCTAGTTGTCAATATGCTCAGTTGGGGCCATTAGAGTAGACCTGTTTTGCCTTCGGCCAAGCCATATCTTATCATTACCGAATTCACCGAAGTGAGGATCCATCCGCTCCCCTGGTCAGGGGTAGCTCTGGCCAGAGCTCAGGGGCCACGATTGAGACAAATCTCCTTTTTCTTTCTTCGTAACATTTTGTTGATACGCTTTGCCCTATTTTCGACGCGATTTTGAGACGACCACGAGCTTTTATTCACGATGGCTTCGTCCGATTCTTGCCTTATTACTCCCCATCTAACGCCGTCCCCAACGCCCTCTCGGGCGCCTTCAACCCCGAACCCCTTCTCGAGACCGACCGAGACCCCTTCCGAAGACGAAGAAAGACACGAAGCAACGCTTCGGCATCATTTCCGTGGCTGGGCACTCTCCGAACGAAGCAGAGATACTGGTTCTTGGGCCTGGCCTTTTGGATATGACATCCAAAAGGACGAGCAGCGCAGATGGGTCTGTCGCGCCTGCATTCGCAAGAAGGACCCCTGTCCAGGCAACTTTGGCTCCGATGGCATTCAAAACGCGTATAATCACCTATTTACCGAACATGGAATTCGCGCTCCGTTGAACAAGACGAAAGGAACTGCGGAGAAGAAAGCCGATTCTACAAGTATTAAGGCGAAGGGGCAGAAGTCCATCGTGGAGGCCATGCAGCTTAACTTGCACAACCCACGAGAACAAGCAATTGCTAACAGTTTTATTAAGCGTTTCGACCGCGATTACTTTCAACAGCTTCTAATAAACTGGATCGTGGCAAGGAACCATTCTTTTTCCATTGCAGAAGAAAACGAGCTGCGAGAAATATTCGACTGCTTGAACCCGTCGGTCTCAGTTCGTGACGCCAACGTTACCCACACGACAATCAAGGAAAAAGTTGCTTCAGCATTCAAACAACATAAGCAGAAGGTTGTCGAGGTACTCCACAAGGCGCCTGGCCTCATCCACATCTCATTTGACGGCTGGAGGTCTGGAAATCGGCATGCTTTATATGGAGTGTGTTGTTTTTTCAGGGACGAAAACAACAAGCCGTGCAATGTTACGATAGGGGTCCCCGAGCTCAGCGTCAGCCACACTGGTACCAATATCGCGGCCGAAATCCTCGACATTATCGAAGCCTATGAGATTCAACACAAGATTGGATATTTCACGTTGGATAACGCGGAAAATAACGATACCGCTATGGAGATAATTGGAGGAGAGCTGGGCTTCGTTGGCAAGGCTAGGCGAGGGCACTGTTTTGGCCACACTCTGAACCTCTCGGCCAAAAGCATGCTGTTCGGCCACAAAGCTGACGCGTTCGAACGGCAGCTATCTGGACAGGCGCCTTTATCAGAAGCCGAGCATTTGCTTTGGCAGAAAAGGGGTCCGGTGGGCAAATTGCACAATGTTGTGGTATTTATCCACAGATCTGACAAGCTGACGTACCTGCTTCGAGAGCTCCAGCAGACCGCCTTCGACCAGTCGCCTGACCCTAAAGTCAAGACTAAGAAGCCTTTGGACGTTGTTTTGGACAACGATACTCGATGGCTTTCGCAATTATACATGATCCGACGCGCGCTTCAGCTGCGTGATTATATTGAACTGCTTATCGCGCGATATCGGGTGGAGTTCGAACAACAGCACAAGACCAAAAGGAGGACTACGAAGAAGTCCGCCAAACTACCATATATTTGCGAGCCAGAACATCAGTTATCTGACAAGGACTGGGATGTTCTCGGGATATTTGCGCAGCTCCTAGGCTATTTTGAATACACGATCAAGATGCTTGAAGGCGATGGCCAAATTCGCAAGCGGAAGCGTGGATGGATGGGATCATATGGTAATATTTGGGATGTCGTCCAAGGCTTCGAATTCCTTCTTGACAAGCTCAAGGGCTACAAGACTGTAGCTGAATACTTTCCTGACCCCGAACACTTCAGGATTAACATCAATTTAGGTTAGGAGAAACTTGATAAGTATTACCAGCTGTTACGCGAAACGCCTATCTATTATACGGGCCTGGCGCTCCATCCAGCGTACCGCTGGAAGTGGTTCGACCGCAAGTGGGTCGGCAACCCTGAATGGATTCGTCAAGCCAAGCGAATCGTTCACGATGTATGGCACTACGAGTATCGTGAGACCAGCTTACCTCGAATGGCCGTGGATGGCGAAAAACCAGCTCCCAAACGGCGGAAGACGTACAGCAATCCGTTCCAAGAATACCTTGAAGAAAACCGCTGCGCAGCACCAGCAACGCAAGGTGACGACAGCCTTGAGCCGTTTGAAGACGAGTATCAACACTGGATTTCGAACCATAAGAGTGGTGATGCCCAGGTTCGTGACCCTCTTGCTTATTGGCACGAGAAAAGGTTCAAGTATCCACGTCTGTCACGAATGGCCCTTGACTTTCTTACAATCCAGCCCATGTCGGCTGAGTGTGAACGCCTCTTTTCAGCAGCAGGGCGGATGGTAACACCTCTGCGAAGTCGGCTTGAAGCACGGGTTATTGGGACCTGTTAGGTCTTGCGTTCATGGCTTAGGGCGGGTATTATTCGAGATTTAGACCCTTTCTTTGTCTCAGTAGCAGAGGAGCAGGACAATCTCAAGATGGCTCACATGACGGACGACGAGCTTCAAGAGTGGGCAACAGCGTGGCTTGAGAATGTGGCGGAGTGCCACCAAGAAGGAAGTAGTTGGGAATAGCTTCACCCTTTCACAACTCCAAAATGCTGACGTAATGGACTCATCCACTAATCCACTACATCCATTCCACGTCCACGGTCGCTTCAAATGGATCCACTACACTGACAAGCTTCGTGGATTAAGGTCCATCCACGTCACTGCTCCCGCTCGTGGATTTAGTGGAGTGGTTTGCAACCCTGCTCAAAGCTGGCGAGAACCGCCCTGACTTCGGTCTCATCGGGCGTCGCCTGGGATGACGCTGGGCTGAGGATACCGCTTGCCCGGGCATACTTCCCCAAGAGTTGAAAGTCTTATTTGGCTATCAGACAAACTCCCTACCACAGTACTAGCACGCTTTGGCCTCAAATCCCTTCACCCTCGCTGGCCCACAAAGTCCAAAGATATGCTAACCCTTCCCAGTATCATTCGCGACTGCTTGCTCATTGCGCTTCTGACTCAGTTGTGACGGACATACCCCGAAGTTGGACCTGGCTCGATGCCCATGGTGAAGATGCTCTAGGCCATGTCCTTTGCAGGAGCCGCGGTAGCAGGCTGGGGTTGGGCCTACCTCTGAAACTCTTCGTCCATAAATTTTCAACGACCGGTATGAGGCACACGAGAAAGTCGTGAGCCCCAAAAACATTCGAAAGAATCTATCAGTGTATGTCGCATTCTGTCTCACTAACTCATCAGACCAAAAGTGGAATGCACACTCCAACAGGAGGCGCTGATAAGTTGTGTATATGAGAGATGCATATTATGTAACAGTGTAAGTTTAGTTTCGTCTAGGGGCTCAGTACGTACCAAGTGTCTACTTGTCGATGACTCTGTTTTTAAAGCCATAACGCTGGCTATCATGGCGAAAGTTTCAATCAGCATAACGGTCTTGATTTTCGTAAACTGCCGTGAGATGCACGATGCAATGAGCACCCACTCTAGTACCATCCAGCACCGGAAAGTAATAGCTGATGCTGCCGAGAGTTCATTGACCACTGCGCTTTGGGAAGCCAGGGGATGGTGCTGACGATAAATGGCACTCCAGTGAATGCTAGGAGAAATGCGAGGGGCCATGGAGCAAATGCACATTGTCCTGGGCTCCAAGAGCCGCCGGCATACAAGCACTTTCGGTTGTTAGAATTGCATTAAGGCTAGGATATACACTCACTTCTCTAATCATGCTGGAGACGATGATGGAAGAGCTTAGGTACGTTGACCAGGGATCTCCACGTTCTTGCATCAGAACTACGAATACAAGGGCGGATCCAGTAGCAATTACGCAGTGCGTAATCACCACTGCTGTGAATGTATAAGGATGCCTTGTAAATAATGATGGAGGGACCACAGACACTGCGTCTCTCGATGGTTTCGTTGCGTGTTTCGATACCGCAGGATGGCTTTGACAGATGTTGATAAATTCGCCGCGGCACTGAGAATAAATGCCGTGGTCAACGCGGTCGATACAGGATATGGGAGACTCATCGTGATAAAGGTTAAGGTCATAATCATATAACGTGCATGATAAGCATGCCGGTCAAACAAGCTTGCCGGTCAGTGGGATTTACACCTTAAATCGCGATTTTAAAAAAAATCTTAAATATTTAAACTAGACCCAAAATGACTAAAAACTTAGAATCAGGTTACTTAGGTAGTAAATTATATAAAGGAATTTTTCTAGGTTTTTAATCTCTTTTTTTATAGAGTTATTAAGAAAAAGCTTATTTACACTGTCTTTTTTTCTTTTTTTATATATAATAAGTTAAATAAATTAATTAAAAATCCAAGAAAAAGATAATATTATGACTTTTTTTCTAAAGAATCTAAAATTAATTCCTTAAAAATATACTAGTTAAATAGCCCGTTTTAGAAAATTTAAAATTTACACTTTTAGCTGTACAGTATAATTGACCGGCAAGCTTGTTTGACCGGCATGCTTATCATATACGTTAGCCATTTGCCTGTCATGATGACAGAACAATTGGGGAAACCGGGCGTATAAATAGAGAACAGTCGGGCCGCGTGCCCTTCTATTTCAAGCCAACGCCCCCTGAGCCTACATCCAGGTTTCGTTGATCCTTGTGTGGGAAGTGTATCATGGTGTAAAGTGATGTAGATGTGGTCGTGCGGCATTTACCGAGATCAACAGCCTCTGTTGTCATGTTCCGCAGGCCCATGTTGTATCATTGGGTAGTTCTCGTCCATGCACCATCGGCATCCCCATTCCACTAGACAGACTGAAGAGGACCACGAACTATGCAAGGCGTTTTCGCCATCTTCATATGGTATGCTGTAATGAGATCCAGCACAGGGGGAAGATCATCAGGCAGTCACACACCAAGGACGTGGCCTTTTCCCGCTTTACCCGACTACTGTGTGAGATCGCTGATGGGACACAGGACAGTATCAGTGCTCTTATCACCTCTTCCTTTCCCAATGCTCTCTTCATCTCTCTCGTCACTGTGCTTTCGCCCCGAGCCCTGAAAGTGTTTCCCCTTTTCGGGATTATGAAGAGAGTTTTGCCGCTGACGAAGCAGATTGAGGCCAAGAGAACTCTCGTATAGTTTCCGGGAGCATTCGGACAGTCAGGCAGAACTCAGCCGTCAGCGGATCCGTAATCCTTTAGCAATCCTGCATGATGACCTGTCTGTCACACATAGCCGCTAAGGTCGTTATGGGACACTCCTCCGGGTTAGTGCCATGGTATCTGTTGGCTGAGACACTGCAGAGCGGCCACTATGAGCATGTCGAGGAGAAAGGGGCGCCTCCTTCATATGGGAAATTCAGGGAGCCACAACCCCTTTGACCTTGCATAGTGGTTGTGTTGTGTGTCACCAAAGAGGGGGGGGGGGGTGTTGGTACTGCATGCTGGGCAGGCTTCACTGCTAAGGGTATATTGAGGAAGGTGTGGAGTAGATAGTATGCCTTACCATCAGTTGCCATCAACAGCTGTCATCCTTGACTCGCTGCATTGGCAATCTTGAGTGCAACTATAAACCCCATGAATTTCCCAGCTGTCCTGATCATTCAACAGCCGTATGTCAAACCTTGCACTTTACACTATCCAACGATCGATAAAATGAGCACTCAACAGCGTCTTATTGCCTCCCTGCCCACTTCCTAGCAAGTCTTGGTGAAGGAGTCATTCATAGATGGAGGGGAGTTGGCAACTAAGATTCTTTCTGGTATTCGGCAAACAGAAGACGCGGATGCCTCCGACGAAGCACTGGACACAAGAAAGAGGCGGAGAGAAAGTGAAGAGCGACGAACAGGTACAAGAGCCCTTTCACCTGTGGTGATGAATCTAATGTATTTAGCAGTACAGCGTTTGAAAGAAGGGCCCTTTAGTGACTCGCTACCTACACCATGGAAGGCGGGCTCCTTTGTCAAAGGGCCGTTGAAAATCATGTGGGAAGAGAGGCAGGTTCGAGAGGAGAAGTACAAGATTTCCTTTGACACCTCCTTACACTTAATCAATGGCATTAAGTACCGAATGTTCAGCAAGGGATGGGATTTGAAGTACACCACTGTTAGCAACTCTGATGATCTCATCGTCAAGGTTTGTGTTAAGGTTCCGTCGGAGTTCGGACATAGCTTTCCACATATTCTAGAAGACTTGAAAGAGATCCTTGCAACAGAGATAGGAATGGATCTGCAGGATGATACAGACAAATAGAGTACGTTTGTGAGGATGCCTTGGCATGTTTTGTCTAACAAGCTGACCAAGTTACCTCACTTAACTCATGCTACTAGATCTCCTCCCCCTATGTGTGTTTAACTTATTGTCTAGAGTTAGTATCACTCGCTGCACCTCCACAAGTATAGGCAAAGCAGACTTGAGAATCAGGAATTATGCCTCAACACGTCAGTCAGATAACGTCATGGAGAGGCTGAGGAGAACATCAGTATGATCATCCTAAGCGAGGGGTGGCAGCCAGAAGAGTCAAGGGACATGTGCCTCGTTATCAACTCGCGTCGATGGCTCAGCCATCGAGACCACCTCTTCACCAACCAAGTAACTCGAGGAATTGCGTCGAAAGCCGAAGAAGAAAGTGTGGTACACTGCCCCGAGAACTCTACGACGTTGGTTTGATCCGCCCATACACGAGGCACATTTTGAGGAGGAGTCCGTCTCAGGATGCGCCGGTTAGGGTCAGGGGCAGGTCGAATGTGATGGAAGTGGAGTCAGTGACGTTGGGGGTGTTGGTGTAAACTGGATGTTGGGGAGGTGTAGAGTAGAGAGTATACCTTACCATCAGCAGCTCCCACCCTTGGCTGGCAGAAAGGTTGAAGGAGGACGCCACAGCCGAGGCACAGATCAATGATCCCATGACTAACTCTTGTCGTGCCGGTCTGGCGGGCCAACAGCACGGAGAGACCGACGGGTCAGGGCAACGCCGACGTGGTCATGCCAAGCGAGGTGTGGTAGGAATCATGGGAGTGAAGAATATTCCAGCTGGTTCAGCCGGCTCAGGGTCGGTGATATATGTGGATGCTGACTTACGCCCAGGGATGTGACCGACTTGCATACAGCAGCACCTCGAGTGGTGAGGATGCCGTCATCAACGAGCTCGGGATGCAAAGTAAAATGGCTGTGGGAGGAGGTTCGACCATCTTGCGGGCGATACCTCATTGTATCAAGTAGCATCGTCATGTCCGGATCCTTTCCGCATGGGGCGAATATCCCTCTATGTATCTCTATGCTGCCTAGCCGGGCATGGCTATGTAGCCGGGCTGAGACGGCCTCCTTCCAGGTTCACAACATCACATATGTGACACGCTATCTTCATGCAGACCGCCCTGATTGACTCGGGGAGCACCAGCTACTACTGAATGATACCATACCTGTTCACGGCTACTAGCAGGGGCTGCCACCGAATGTTCGGTTCTATGTTGAGGACATTGAGCAAGACTGGGTCGAGTCTGAGGGTTACGACCTCATCCACTGTCGCTACATGGCCGGCTCCATCGCAGACTGGCCGGCTCCATCGCAGACTGGCCGGCTCCATCGCAGACTGGCCGGCTCCATCGCAGACTGGCCGGCTCCATCGCAGACTGGCCGGCTCCATCGCAGACTGGCCGGCGCTCGTTTGCCAAATCTATGAGAACCTAAAGCCAGGTGGGTGGGTGGAGCTTCAGGAAACCATCAATGCAATTTACTCAGACGACGAAACTCTCAAACCTGACAACGCCCTCGTCAGGCTGACGGACAACCTCAAGAAAGCCCATGATATGATCGGCCGCACGCTGGATCCCGCTCCTAAATTCACGGGCTGGCTGGAGACGACGGGCTTCTGCCACATTACGGAGCGAAAATTCAAGCTTCCCGTAGGCATGTGGCCCAAGGACAGACGACTGAAAGAGATCGGGGCCTGCTTTAGAACGTTCGCGTTTTACTTAAACTTTGGTTAATTGCAGTACCATACTAGACCCCTCCGCATTTGCGTTGCGGCATTGGGAAAACCCAAAGGGAAAACCAATGCCGAGGGAGAAACAGATTCAAGAAACCAGGGCCATGCCCAAAGTGAAACGACCATCGCCAAGCCAGAAACCTCATAGAAAGGAGTGGTTATAATTCTCCAGTGCCCCAAAGGATCACACAAGATAAAACCCAAGTAGCCCTCAAGTCAATTTCCCAACATCCTAACTGCTTGCCACTCCTCTCCAAGTCGACAAGATCCTAGTCGCGCATTCATAAAATATCAATAGTACACACTCCGACGAGGACATTGTTCTGGTTTTCTGTGTTACCATCTGGGAAACGGAAGTCTGCAAAGAAAAGAACGAACTTACCTGATCATAAGTGCAGCACTGCCTCTTGAAGGGGGTGCCGCCGCCGCGAGCCTCAATATCATCAGCTGGAGCGGCAATGGCAATGACAGCCATGGTGAGGGCGGAGAGAGCAACAGAGGCCTTCATTTTGATTGTAAGAGGTTGGTTTGGTAAAAATTTGTTGGGGGATTGGAGCTTGTGGATGATGCTGTGGATGCTGGTGAAGTGAAAGTTGGAGTCAAGGCGGGAGTCGAAGGGGGTTTATATAGACAAAGTCGAGTACGATCAATACAGGTTTATGTCCACCATGCAAGTGCTGGAGTTACATCACATGGTGGCAGCTACGCCGATGAGACCATAAAAGCTCAATGTTACAATGGCTTGGCAATTTGAAAAAATGTCTTGCAAGAGTTTAAGAATCTGGGAAAGATCTACATTCAGAACGCATCCTTGAACCTAACTTTGGAGGACTAAAAACGTTGACTCGAAACTTGTTATCGTGGCTTGCGATATGAAATAATACAACTATCCCATATCCATAAACTGCTCGGTAAACTCCGTCGACTTATCTATGCATGCATTAGTTAGACATCAGCCACTACAACATTGTTCCCGCGCATATACCGGATATAGGAAAAGTCAACGCGGCAGCAGTCGCTGCTAATTACCAAAGCAAGTTTCCCAACGTCAAGCCTGTCCTTATAGAGCATCAGCGGCGCTATTCCCTTCGGCCCCAAAAGCAAGGAGATCATTCTCGGCAACGTCATCATTAGCATTGACACCGTTCAGTATAATCTTGGATGGCAGTTATTGGAGGCTTTTCTCCGGCAAGACTTGCTGTTACTCTTTAGGGCTCAAACGGTACTAGCGCAATTGAAAAGCTTTCGTGGCCAGCCGCTGAATAGAAGATGATAACACAGGAAGCAGAAGAGATATTGAAAAAGATACTAAACGCACGTATAGCCAAGAACCAATATTAGAAGGCAAGAATGGAATATTACGTCAAGTAGAAAGACCACCCTCCTTTGTGGTGGCCTCAATGGGACCTAATACCTGGCAGTAAGGCATTGCTCTATGAATTCCATAACCAGAACCCAGATCGGCAATTACCATTATAGCGTCATATGAGCTCCTAGCTACGTAGGTGGGTTGTATTGACGACCCTCAATGTAGCACCCAACACACTCCCCGATCCAGTATCTCCTGTGCCCCTTGTTCATCCGTTTTAGCGTGGCGCCACTCGGGTCATGGGCGGCTAACGGCGGGACGGCCAAGGAGGGATCAAGAATGTACGGTCCAACTTACGGAAATGCATGGCAAAGGAGCCAACTACATGGGATTTGTAAACTTTCCGTTGGTGGTATCCACCAGTAAACATGCACAACCGTCGTAGGAGAGGGGCCTTTTCATGATGTGCGAAGTGAAGGAGGCGATAATCATTCCCTTTGCTGGGAAAATATTTCTATGACGGTTACACCTAGCCTGGTCTCTGTAGAGATGGTGTATTTTGAATCCTCTTACACCTCAATGATGGGATAACCGATCCCATAAAAGGCAATGATTATCGCTTCCTACAGCTTGCATGTGATGAAAAGGCTGTAATCTCCACAAGCATAACGTAGTCCCATGTACAGAGGAGCCTTTCAAAAGTCTCTGCTCGCGTGGACGCTAAGGTCAGCCACAAACAGGGATCGTGCCGAAAGCGAATGTACCCAGCCAAATTCTTAGGTACCTCACCCCTCTTTCACTTTTCCTGTTTTCCCCTCATCTTGACCGCCAAAATGCGTCAAAATACCGATATTGCAACCCGGGCTCTTGTGGTCGTCTTCAAGAGCCCATCGGGCGGGAAAACAACAGCTGAAGTTGCAGAGATAACAGGTCTTTCGCCCCGTACAATCAATGACATCTACGCACGCGCTATTTCCCGCGGATTCGATCCCAACCACCGACCGATGACCCTCCATGACGAATTCCTTCGTGATGCGCACCGCTCCGGGCGTCCCAAGAAGCAGACGGACGAGGCACGAATAGAGATCATCGCCAAGGTTCGCCGCGATCGATTTGGCAGGGAAAAGACGTGTGCTGATATTGCGGGCGAACTGAGCAGCGATGGGATCGAGATCTCGGCCGTCACTGTATGGCGAATACTGAAGAAAGCTGGATTCCGAAAGACAAAGCCAACGAGGAAACCTGGATTGACGAAGAAGATGAGGGAGGCACGTCTGGCTTGGTGTCTTGAACACCAGCACTGGACCCTAGAGGACTGGAAGAATGTCATTTGGTCTGACGAGACCTCTGTTATCCTGCTCCATCGACGAGGAAGCTATCGCGTATGGCGAAAAGCCGATGAGGCATTTGTTCGAAGTTGTATCCGGGAGCGATGGAAAGATGCATCTGAATTTATGTTCTGGGGCGCCTTTTCCTATGATAAGAAGGGCCCCTGCCACTGTTGGGGTCCAGAGACTGCTGCCGAAAAGAAGGAAGCCGAAAAAATCATTAATAAAATGAATGAGGATCTTGAAGCTGTTATGCGAGAAGAGTGGGAAATTTCAAATGGAATACGACGATTACATCTACATCAACTACCCGGCCCGAAGCCAATCTGGCGATGGAATAAGAAGTCCGGAAAGCTGACGAGAGGGTCCAAGGGCGGTATTGACTGGTATCGCTATCAGAAGACAATCCTGATCCCTAAGATGTTTCCTTTTGCTTTGGAATGTACCAAGGACCGCCCGGGCACTTTGGTCCAAGAAGATAAGGCTCCTGCTCACAGCCACTATATACAGCAACAATGTTATGATGCGAATAGCATCAGCCGGCTGCTATGGTGTGGGAATTCCCCGGACCTCAATCCTATTGAGCCGGCTTGGCCATGGATAAAGAGACGGACTACAAGGAAAGGAGCCCCAAAGTCAAGGCATGAGGCAGTCAAAGCTTGGAAAGCAGCTTGGAAGGAGCTTCCGCAGGAAGCTATTCAGGCTTGGATTGAGCGCATCCCTCATCATATTAAAAAAATCATTGAGTTGGAAGGAGGAAATGAATACAAGGAAAGTCGGACACAGCGGTAGGTACATTGGGAATCCTACTATACATTTTGGGTGGGACCCTGCTCTTTCCCGTGACGCTAGTGTCCTTAGCGTGAGCAGAGACTTTTGAAAGGCTCCTCTGTACTAGCAGCAGGGCTACCGGTATGTGATTTGATTCCCTGTCGGGATCCAGATGATGGAACAACACGATTTTCTCTTCGGAAAGTATGCTTTGGCATTACATTAACACAATCTGCCCCTTAATTAGCATATACATACATACTATTACTCAAAATAATAACTTTTGTCACAGCAGAGGTTTGCCCTTTGGAATCAGAGTGACTTGATCATTAGGGAGGTAGGGCTTCCCGGAGAAGCCAATAAGGAGCGTATTGTGGAGCCAGTTGCAGTGGCAATCCTGTTTCAAGGCAGCCCGGTGGTTGGGAACAAGTTTTCAACATCCCAGCCAAGATGCTGAACCAAATCTCAACGTTCAACTGATTGCTGTGGTTGGTTCGGAAAGTGCCGTTGCAATGCAGATGGCTTGCTGACGAATTCGTGCACCCGGCCCGTCAGACACATGTCCTTCAGCGGCAGCACTTGCCGACCGCCTCAACCAGTGCCTGGCTACTGGTCATTTTTGGTGGCCAACATCCAATCATAATTTTTTGTCTCAGCCTCAACGGCAACTATTCAAACCTTAACCTCATGCCTGCTTCTCCCACGACGATCGACTCACCCACGGAATTATCCTGCGTCGTAGCTCGTCTCAAGTCTTTAAGTTGCCAGGCCAGCGCGTGCTATGCCGAAAGGTACCCGCGAGATTCTGATGATTTGTGACTTCGCGAATCCATTAGTGAATGATCTCCAATTTACTCTACCCTGGTGCATTCGTCATTCATTTCTGCGAGCGCATTCGGGCCGGCCGAAGGCATGCGGGCGCCTCCGTGGAATATGTCTTTCGGAATGGTGTTCGTGGAAGCCGACCTCGCCAGACCTGGCAAGTTCGTCTGTACAGGTCCGAAAACTCTGTGATAGTAAGTTCCCGCGCGAATTGCATGGACGAGGATCACAGGCGACGGCATGGCGATCAGATGCTCAACAAAGTTCATGTGCTTTCTCGAATACGGCAAACTCCGTACGCCACCGAAGGACTAGCTCCCCCAGTAATCTCCCCAGAAAATGGGGACTATTAGTGCGATGATCGTACGCTTCCTCCAAGCCTAGTGCGACAAAGGTTTAGGTACCTGCCTGGCTACGACTCCACCCGCTCCCCGAAGTCAACCTCCCTGTTGCGTTGCGCTTTGTCACGCTAAACGCAGCGGTACTTGGGACTTTATGCATATTGGCATTGTGTGCACCTCGCAAGATTTGCGAGAGTCGAGCTTGCGTTTCAACAGCTTGTGTGGTGAGGGGAGAGGGAACTGCAGAAGGGTGCCGAAGAGGCTTCGCATGTTGCAGCGCGGCTGTGTTGCGGCTTAGACTTCCGCTGAGATGAGGGCCGCAGCCAGAGACGCTTTCGTGCATTTCGAAAGGATTGGTGCGATACAGTGCATCCATATTTTGGGAGACAAGCAACAGTTGATGGTGAGAACGAGCACGAGAGTTTGTTTCGTTGAGCCGCTTGCTCCTATCACTTTCCGCTACCAGCAGCGGTCTTCCATGGCCGCTGATGTGGGACGCCCGGCGGGCAACTATTGTGAAAGGGCACAGCGGGACAGGTGTAATTAGTGCGCAAGGGACGGGCCGCTCGGCCCTGCTATCTGTTCGTCAGTATTGCGCTCTATGACGGAAGAGGCTGAAGACGGCATCACATTCATAACGAATTTGCACAAAAACAGGATGAAAGAGATTTGTGGGCCAATGGCCTGGATTTGCATGTGATTCTAACATCTCACCGAGGGGACACGAGTCTTGCGGCTATCGGAAGTTGCCGTGCGTCTCTTCGTCACGCACGTTCACAGAGACGGAAGTGATCGACGGGACGAGAGCTCCTCGGCTACGTCTGACGACTTCAGCGCAGGCCACAATTCAAGTCGCAGTTCAATTCAACTCAATTCAACTCAATTCAACTCAATTCGGCGGCCGACCGGCTCAACGCAATTCAATGTGCGAATAGCTTTAAATTGAACTCGATTGAGGTCTAGAATAACTCAATCTTCCAGCTTAGAGTGGCTGATATGAGGCTCAATGTCCCGCCTTGCTTGACCTCCAGGGCCAAACTACAACCAATTCGCCCCTTTTACCCCTTATGCCCCTTTTACCGTCGAGTGGAACCCTGAGCGGGGCCCTGAGCCGCATCCCCTTGGGAGGATTTTCTAACCAATAAGGTTGATTGTCATGCGGGAAGGTTGTTTTGTGGAAAGACGCCAGCCCCAAGCATGAGCCGGGGTGCACGGAACTTTCCATCTGCACGATTTCATTGGCAAGCTGTCACTCATACAACAACGGCACCTTCCGAAGCAAGCGCCGACCACGGAAATTAGCTGATATGTAAGGATTGGTTTAATATCTTGCCTCAGGTGTTGACAACTCGTCCCTGACCACTAGGCTACCTGGGACTAAGATTGTTACTGTAACCGGCTCCATGCAGTCAAAATATACTCGTCATCGAGGTTCTCTAAGAAGCCCTACTTACCCAGTTATACTCGTGGAGACAGCTATCTCGGTGAGCAACCTCTTTATCACATGCAAGCTGCAGGAGGAAGTGACAATCATAGCCTTTGCTGGGGTATTTCTACGACGATAACATCTCGACTGCTCTCTGTGGAGATAGAGGATATTGGATTATCGACGTGGTATGTTAATCCAACTACACAAGATCTGCAAACTTTCCGCTGGTGGTAGTCTGCCAGTAAACATACACAACCGTCGATGAGGGAGAAGCTCCTTTGCGGTGCATTTCCGTAACGTCAAGTCGGGCCGTGTAACCTTAGTCCCTCTTCCGCCTTGGCCCGCCCCGCCGTTAGCTCGCCGATGATCCGACCGGCACCGTTAAAACAGATCAACAAGGGGCGCACGGGAGATACTGGACCGAAACTAGTAAGCCTGGTTTAAGGTTTCTACAGACTTCAGCTTGGCACAATTGAAGGTGCGTACAAGTGTAGTCACATAGTCTTCGAAAGAAACTTGATTGTATTCGAAGTAATCCGGATCTCGAGCATTAAAGAGAAAATAGCGATCTCTCGATCCGGGTTGGATATGACGTCGAGTTCCGCTGGCGCTCCTGCGACTTTGAGTTCACCACCTTGTGTCGCGCCGGAGTTTGCCGAAAGCTCGTGTATGGAGGGCATCGAGCCAGTATGAACCGTAGCGCTGCCCTCAAATCAATCAAATCAAATCCAGAGTCATATTTGGAATATTTGATCAAATCAAATATTCCAAACAGCAATCAAATATTTCAAATCCCAACATCTGTGCTCTCCATACTACTCTCAATGTTTCTTGGCATCCTCCGGGTGGGTGGGGTGGCTTAGACGCTGATGGTTGGATGCCGCTTAGCCGCGGATGTGTTGATGTCGCTTGGACGCTGATGTGTTGATGTCGCTTTAGACGCTTGGGGAACTCAGTGTGGAGGGGAACTAAATGGTGTCGGGACTGGCATCTCAGGTGTGGCGCATCGCTCTGATTTTCCTTGTCATCCGCGGCAGAAAACAGAATCCGTCCGCCCAGCGGCTCCACAGGACGTTTTCAGTCTTCTGCTTTCTGTTTTCTGTCTGCATGCGCGGGTAATTTACCAGTATACGAGTCTACAGCTCTATTTTCTGTGAACGGTTCCATCCTCGGCGCTTACCAGTAATCGCCGCCTACCATGGCCGCAGATTACCAGTACTCAGCCATCGTACTACATATAGTAAGGCAGGAATGGATGCAAATCCCGAGCGCTTACTGTTTTATCTACAACTTCCACGGCCGGTCCTATACGGACGAGGTCATTCTCGTCGAATTTTCATAAGGCACTTGGCGCTTTTATTATTTAATGCCTGGCATGTTCTATTGCGCGGACGAGACTGGCGATCGCACAGCAGCAATGGCAGAAGACTCTGCCCGGTAAGGTCGGAAACTATTCGAAGCGAATCGATAAAGCGTTACCAGGCACACATACACGCCCCCTGTACGATGGACTGAAAAGACGCGAATCAGACATGCTCTCACAGCTGCGCACGGGAATGGCGAGGATCAACAGCTACCTGCACAGGATCGGAGCAGCAGAATCGGACATGTGCGACTGTGGACAAACAGCAGAGACGATGGAACATTTTCTGTTCCGGTGCACGAAGTGGGATGCGCAGCGGGGAGGGATGCGAAGGATCGGCCAGACAAAGATGGGAAACCTCTAGTTCTTTTTAAGAGGAAAGGCGGCATCGGATGGCCCAAAATGGGCACCTGACCTACAGGCGGTGCGGGCGGCGATTAAGTTCGCCATGGATACGAGGAGACTTGATGCAAACCAGACTGGATAACATACTAACCAAATTAGCGGCCAAACCTGGCGATACTAATCTGGTGGCTGGGGTTTGATCTGGGTATCTTCATCGAGACTGTTCCGTTCCCTCAAGTCTCGGAATTCCTCCACTTCCTTCCCTTCCCTTCCCTTCCCTTCCCTTCCCTTCCCTTCCCTTCCCTTCCCTTCCCTTCCCTTCCCTTCCCTTCCCTTCCCTTCCCTTCCCTTCCCTTCCCTTCCCTTCCCTTCCCTTTGTTCACAGTGACTTATTCTTTATGCGACTTGCCCTATCTCGAGTGGTGTTTCCGCAAGCCTTCCGACTTCTTGACTTCTTGCTATCCTCGCCCCCGCTGCTCAGACGCCGACGCTCCTCCTCGTACCAAGTACTTAGGGCCTTGCCGTCGAACATTACTTCGTTGTCTTCGATGGCGGTGGGTTGGACCCAGGTGTAGGCGTCGAGGTCGACTTCTGGGGCGGAGGGGTCGAGGGCTTGGAGACCTGGGAGGAGGTAGCAGGTTGCTTCTGGTTCTGGAGGTGGAGGAGACATGGCGAAGGCAGATATGTGGAGTCGATTCAAGATGATATTCGAAGTGCTGAAGATGTTTACTGAAGGAAGATCAGGCTGTTTAGGAAATGTACTTCGGGATTGGCGTTTTGCTTCTTTTAATCCTAGGTCCGACCTGCGCGAGATATAGAGTTGGTCGTCGAGTATGCAGCCTTTGTTTGGGATGAGCAACAAAGGATCAGAAGATCAGAAGATAACTGAAGAGAGCGTGTCGAGATCAGGTTTTTTTTTTTTTTTTCAAAATCCGGATCTGGAACTAGCACTGTGATGATGCATAGCCAAGGTTGGCGTGGTGACTTCATCGACTCGCTGTGCCTTGCATCTGAACCCCCCCTTTTTTTTTTGCCTCCTTCGTTTTGATGTTTATAGTGGTGATTTACTGTGGGAAGGTACCGAGCAACATCCCCTATTCCACAAAACCGCGTTTTTGTGGATGTTTGCCACAGTTCTTGATGTAAATTGGGGCATCATGCACGTTAGGTGGCTTGCATCATCGGACCAGACGTGGGACGGTGGGTGTGTGGCCAAAGTGGTGACGGAATACTGTGTTCAACTACAGTTCTGATCCCATGGAGTTAAATCTTGGCGTCTGAGGAGTACCATGCAAATATCCATCCCGTGCCGCTGCTCGATCTTTAGAGGCATCAGTATGACTGGCTGCGTTTATGTGATGACGTAACCTCGTTGAACTGCCAACATGGCTGGTGTTGCCAAGATGCGACAGAGGCTAGCCAAAGGAAGTCTCTTGACGACGGGGAATCGCTCGTCGATGCGGTCGAGCGACTTGTCGCCGATAGAGTCGACCTTCTGGACGTAGAGCGAGACGTACTGGTAGGGCTTGGAGAACCAGGGAAGGAGGGGGGCGGTGAGGGTCTGGTAGGCGTCGTCGCCGAGCTGGAATGGACTTTGGCCGTACTTGTTGGACTTGGGACGCCACAGGCAGACCAGCTCACTACCCCCAACTTGCACGAACGGAAGCGATCCATACTAAGCGACAAACAGAGGAGGTTGCAGCATGTACATACGTCCATACCGAGATCAAATTACTCCTACGAATTCCCTGCAGATTGAGGGAGCTCCGGCTCACCACTGTCCGAAGACGACCAAAGGGTCAGGTTGTCACGGAGGAGGTGCATGATGAGGATACTGTCGCCATCAGACTCCTCGGCCAGGGCGTCGAGCTCGGCCATGGCATCATCAAAAGCATGCTTCGCAAGATGCCGGGCACGATCAACTAAGTTCAGAATTTCATAATAGAAGACGGAGAAGTTGAGAGCCAAGCCCAGCCGCAACGGGTGAGTGGTTGTGAGCTCGGTCTGAGCAAAATCAGCTGCCATCTAAGAAGCAAACCAAAATCTCGGATCAGTACACCTTGGCTGATTGAATTCTGATCAACAGATTTGAAACCCACCTAGTAGGCCTTGTAGGCAGAGGTAACTGCAACATTACGCTTTTCACCCGACGTGAACTCGGCCAGGTAGCGGTTGTAGTCGCCCTTCCTAGAAACATGATGAGTCAGCCCAGATGCTTTTGAGAAGGGGAGACCATTAAAGTAGGCGCACATCTTGTAATATAAGGCCTTCGACTTGCCAGCACCGGCATTGGGAATTAGGCTCCCGTCTAGCAGATCCAAGACGTCCCGGCAGACCTTCTCGAGCTCATTCTCAATCTCGTTGCGGTATCCACGGACAGCAGCAATATGGTTCTCACTGCCCCTTGACTCCTTTTGCTCGATCGAGGAGATAATGCGCCAGCTGGCACGGCGGGCGCCAACCACGTTCTGATAAGCAATGGCGAGAAGGTTCTGCTCATCAGCACTGACCTCACCACCCATCTTGACGACTTCCTTGAGATGGGGGACCATATCACCGTAGCGCTCAGCCTGGCCACAGAGGCGAGCAAGGAAAGTCTGGCTACAGCCACGAAATCAGTGCTATGGCCCTGGAGAGGCTGATCGAGCGGATAGACAAACTTCTTACGCTGCATGATAGGTATAGGTTAGCAACCGTTGGACCAAATATTTGACCGAAGATGAGGCGGCAAGTTGTGGTGAAAGGGTACGACGTGTAGGGTAATTTGGTGTGGTGAGGTGGTATGGTGGGCTCTAAAAAAGAGAGAAGCGTACTTCGGACCCAAACATTGTTGGATAATCAAAGAAAAATGTTGTGCTAGAATGGGAGGAAATGACGCAGCGTCAAGAGTGACAGGAAGAAACGCGGGGCGGGGGCACTCCAAGGGGGTTTATTGTTCGTTAACTCCTAAGTGTGGTGAATCAGTTTTGAGTTTGTTGAGCAGAAATTAAGTCGGAAAGTCAGCCACAGAGCAGCGCAGCAAGTGATTTTCTTCTCCATTTCCAACTGGTAGGTGAAGTCGTGGTCCCCGAGAGTGTGGTGTAGGGGATGGAATTGCCCGGCATCATTGGCAGTCGGCGATCCACTGACGAGAATGACGGGGAGGTTCTCTGCATAGGCGCTACCTCTGCGAGCTATTCCGTCGCCAAAACAATAATATACTCTGGAATGTTGAGATCTCTTCCTACCAACTAATTGAAGACCATTCTTTTACCTTTTAGAGGCCCTGCTCCGACCTCTACGTTGCATTCAGCTGAGTAGCATCCATTGCTGCCGCAGCTATATTCCAGCCTCCTTCTGATAAGGTGCTTGACAGGCTTTTCAGGGGGAAATGGTGTGCCTCAAGAGCTGGAAGCTCGGTTACCCCCTCGAGGTGTAGCAGCGTGTTCATGGCACACAAAGACACCATGGGCCATTTCAATTTAAGAAAAGGATCTTCACAGTGCCCCATCCACATCTAAGGTGTCAATATTTCTTGTCACGTCAGAAAACCCTATGTCTATTGGACAGAATGACTGAGGTAACAGCGCTGCTAGAGTCGCTGACATCGCTGCCACAAGAAAAGGTCGGAAGCAGCTTGGTCTTTCACCATCCAAAGAAACTCGAAAGGGGCAGGGTTGGTATTGGCTTGTCGGCATGTGATTCGGTAATTGAAAAGCGGGCAGGGCTTTTGATGATCGCAATGCTACGTCGGTCACCGCTCGATATGAGCTAATATCGTGTTACCTGAATGGATAAGGACCTCCTCGGCCCTCGGGTTAACTGCGCAAAGAAGCGCTTGGTATTCCGGCCAAGAGACACAGTTGAGCGGGAGGCGGCGGCGCGTGATCAGCTGGATTTGGGCTTCATAGAATGCGTCAAGCTTGATCGTATTCCGCAGGACCGATTGTTCGTCCCGGGAGAGCATCGCTCGGTTCTTCTCTTCTGCTCGTGTGAATGCTACTTCAAGAGACTGTTGGAGTGCCTTCTTGGCTGGCCTTTCTTCGTCATCAATGATAATGCCGTGGTCATGTTGCATATGTCGTTTGGCGCTTGTGGTCGAGACTGTTCGCCATGGCGGATTGTGACATTGATGACAATACCAGAGTCTCTGGTTGTTCTGATGTGTCTCTTCGTCTCCTTGAGGTACGCGAAAGTGCTTCCACGTTTCAGGCGCGCGTAGTTTACGCTTCTTCGGCTGCGATTGACGCGTAGACGCGGATGACGCGGAGGAAGAGGGCGCAGAGAAAATTGACCGTTGTGACCGAGGCTGCTCGGCTACGGAGATGCTTGATTCTGGCGCCGGTGAGCTGAATTGGCCGTATTCAGTGTCTCCTACAAATAGAGACGACTCGGGAGGCATGTTGACGCGTGTCTACACGTGGTATTAGTCCAACCTAATGAAACCTTTGCAGTTGTGCGTAGGAGACCGTCGCTCCAGATGGGCCCCGACGCCGCACAGATCGACCAGGCCCAAACAAGTCCCACCCTTGTCCGCGTCGGCTTCGCGCACATTTCGCGCCACTTCGGGGTCTGATGAGAGCTGAGTCTCTGAAGGGAATTTATCGTGTAGGTACGGAAGCTGGGCGGGTAGGACATTCCGAGGTTGAGCCTCAATATGCAGTCATAAGGAGTCTGCGAAGTTGATAGTACGTCGAGCGGCGTATTTTAGGCTGAGCGTCTTTCTCTGTTTTGGTGACAGTGGGGTTTAGCGTGCAGTGTTGGTTGGATGGCTTTCTTGACACAACACGACACGACAACTGGCTGGGACATATCTCCCTAATCAAGTTAAAATCAATGCCAAGCAGGAGATCTCAGCAGAAGAAAGCCATTGACCATACATTTAAATTGTATGAATGTGTGTTTTCTGTAGAAGCTAACGCGTTGACTGGGAAATCGACTGCCTTGTTACGTTAGCCACCCTACCCTATACGAAGCGGATAAGGGCTACCGCATAACCCACCCATTTATTATGGTGGGGCTAGTACCTCTTAGCACCACTGGCTTTGGTTTCCCAGGACGATAACAGCGGCTTCGACCCTCTCCCACGTTACAAACGCTCGTTTTGGAAACCAGCGAGATAGCTCATTCAAAGCTGCAAACTAATCTGCCGTTGAAGGTGTGGAATATATCCAATTCTGGACCTTTGTCAGAACGATGGCTTCTGTTGTCGGTGCCCACTATCACATTTTTAGCTAACGAGGGAGGTCGATGAAATCCCCCACTACGCATGAGATTGAATCGAAGCTCTGTGGCAGGCAAACATACCATATAAATCTCGACGCCAAATATAACATTGTCACGTGAGTTACTGATTACTGATTGATTGATTAGAAGCTTACTGATACTGATATGATATCAGTATCAATCAGTAATCAGTACTACTTGATAACTGACTGCTTGTTGAGAAGTCTGAGTGGGGCCCTTCCCGTTTTTGCCAATCGCTACTTCAAGACACGCCATGTCATGCTCGAACGACGAAGTCTGAGCAACCTCATTAGCATGTCTTCACCTCGCCTACCTCGTATTTGACATCCGGTCGACGGCTGCCTACACTACCGGGCCAAGTGCCTTGCCCGCTCCGGTGAACCAGTGCGGGGGATATAGACGAGGTTGCCCCCTCCGTTGAAGTCGGCTGCGGACAGCGCTCCGTTCCAGCGTTGCCGTACCTCCTCGACATGCGGGAATTTTGAACCATGGGCAAATCCCATTTCGCGGTAGGCGGCAGGGCTCCCCTTGCCCGGGGTCGCAACAACCCAACCTCTTTTTATCCTGCCTTGTACAGTTCACCTTTCGCCAAAGGGACATCACCTTGACCATCATCTGCATGTAGAGTTAGGACGATAGTCGTCCTGAACGAGAAGCGGCTCAAGGGTTGGGGAACCATTCAGCATCGACAAGGGTGACTTTGCTCCGCCCTTGTGGACCAACGATAGGGCTGTTGCAACACGAAGTGGCCACCACCAATGAAGGTGCCATGTGGGGCAGAGTACGCTGGGGAAACAAACTGACGCTCAGCCAATTTCCGACAGTTGTGGCTGATTGTTCAGTGTGAATTTTAGAGTTTACGGCGTACCGATGCAATGCCTGTGTGTTGGCGGTTGACTGGTGTCAGCGATTACCTAATGACGACTTATGTCCTTTTTTGGACTGAAAGCTCGTCGCCTTATTTTGTGAGACAACGGTACAGTAAGACAGGTACTATGATACAGCATTTGAAACAATGGATGGGGCTGTTACTGAGCTAGGCAGCAGAATTAGCGCCCACCCGCTCGGGACTAAAGCGGCATGTTCTGGGGGCTCATGCTTGCGGACCCGCCTTGCTTCACCGCAGTGACATCAAGGGCGGGTCGGAACATTCCGATGACGAGGGCTATGGATCGACACAGTTGGCGCTACGTGGATGGGGGTGGATTCCCTGCAAGGCGATCTGTGGCTTACCAATGAGGGTCATACATCATACACCGCGAGAACGTCAAGGCTCACTTACAGGCGGCAAAGTCACAAGTCCACTTCAGCATCGATCTATGGTCATCACCGCATCGCAAAGCCTTTCTCGGAATATGTGGGCAATGGGTTGATGAAGACTACGAGCTCCGTGAGGCCCTGTTGGGTCTGCCGAACGTAGAGTACAGTCACTCCGGAGAGACGATGTCGCGGCACTTGCTGGACACCATACGGTATTTCGATGTCGCTGGCAACATTGGCTACTTTACATCAGACAACGCTACCGCAAATGACACTTGCCTGCGTGCTTTATCGACGGCATTGGTGAACGAGTTTGGGGTTGGAATGGACCCCACGGAGCGCCGTGTTCGATGCGGAGGCCATATTGTCAATCTCTGCCTCCAGGCGTTTCTCTTCGCCTCTAGCAAAGAGGCACTCAACGCGGCAATCGAAGAGGCAAATCTTAACGCAGACACCACGGTTGTTGAGTCTTTACAGGCACAATTGCAGCAAAGGAACAACAAGGGCAAGCACCGGAGGGTTCCGGAGGATCAAGCTGGATGGCGATCGATGGGTCCCCTTGGCAGACTGCATAATATCGCCGTGTTCATCCGGAGTTCCACAGTGCACAGTGATGCTTGGCAACGCCTGGCAGGCCGTGCACTCGGCATTGACAATGCAACGAGATGGAATTCGTGGTACATGCTACTTCGGACTGCTCTCGAGAAGAAAGACAAGCTTATGGTGTTTCAGCAAGAGCATCATAAGGCCCTGGGCAGGGTGGGGAATCTATCTATATCTATCTACCGACACCCAAGGTAGATAGATGTAGACGCTTAGTCATAAAACGGAATGTAGATAGATAGAGGTAGGCTACATGTAGATATAGATAGATGCATCTATCTACCACTCCAAGTACGATATGCACTAGCCACTAAGTAACTACCCCAGCCACTTCGCCACTCATCTCCTTCAGCAGCCCGTCATATCTTTCTAGAAGCCCTGCCTTCAGCCATGACCTAACCGTCTGGGTAACTGCAATTGTGCTCGCGTCCAAACGAGTCCGCTGAGGAGAGACCATACTACCAGCGGAGGAAAATGCTCTCTCACATTCGGCAGCCATTGCAGGGACTGATAAGACATCAATCGCCATTTTCGCTACTCGAGGATACTCAAACCGCTTGGCGGACCAGTATTCTAGCGGGTTATCGTGCTTTGAAAATGTGTCCTGCTTTGTAGACTGCCACCTTTCGAACTCATCGGCGACCGATTCTTCTTCGGAGTTCGGATACGACATAAGCTCATCTTGGAATGAGTCAAAGGGATTGTACTCCCGTGCCCTCACGGCTACAGGAAGATTGCTGTCAGCGATCTCCCACTGGACGGGAAGATCCCGATACTCTTCCTCCCAAAGCGTTTGGATGAGATGTCGAGCCTTGTCAATCCAACCCTCCCTTCCGCTGTACGCCCTCGTCAAGAACGCCCATTGTATTCCAGGATGAAGAACAGTAGCTGCGTAGTAAATCGGTGTTTCATCGAGCTTGGTGTAGTATTTATTAAGTTTGGCCCACGCAGAGTTGATACAGGCAGAAAGGTAGCTGGACTCTGGCCGATCCGCCGCGTCTGTCTTGGCCCTCTCTAATGTTGATAAGAGGAACTCGTATGCAATGGCGACCTGCCAAACCATACCGTACTGTGCTTCCGCACCTCCTTTTCGAAGCCGAACTTGACAGTCACCTTCAAGTCTCAAAAGGCAAGAATTGAACATGGCAAGAATGTTGCTAAACCAACTCAGAGCTTCCCAATCTGCATCAGTGGGGAGATTGTCTTCCTCAAGACACGGAGGAAGTGAGCTTCGCGATTTTGCGATTTTGGATCGAGATCGGGTCGACTTCCTGTTCGATTGGATCGTCATGTCCACAAGTTCTTCGAGGGAGCGACGGAGCTTAATTGCACGTTCAATCATATAATATTGCGACAGCCAGCGTGTGCAGTTATCAAGAACGACATCAAGCGTGCCGGGGTAGCTCTTGTCAGGGTCATCGTCTTGTAGACTGCGCAGGATGACTGTTGCCTTGTTCGATCGATTAATCCAGACGACAAGGTTGTGTAATTTTCCAACTGGCCCTCTTTTTGTCCACTCGTCAAAGTCGTCCGGGTCAAGGTCTTCGAGAGCTTGGGTATCGTGGACGAAAAGCATAGCCGTAGCGACAAGGTGAAGGACATGTCCAAAGCAGCGAATTCTCCTGGCTGCAGGCTCCTGCCACTCGAACTTGCGCCCTAATTCCTCCATAGCCTTATCGTTGTTCGAAGCATTGTCAAGAACAAAATATCCGAGTTTGTTGTGTGGTACAAGCTCGAATTCTTCCAGTACCTCTGTGACCGCTGCGCAGATATTTTCCCCGGTGTGGGCCATGGCGACGTTTGGGAGGCCTAGCAGGATTTTTCGAGGCTGGAACGTTTCGTCGTCAAGGAAGAAAGCATTGATGGAAAAGAAAGAATGCCTGTTCCGAGAGGTCCAGCCATCGAATGCAATGTGGACCTTGCTAGGGCTCCGTAGTAAAGCATCAGTAACGTGGGCTTTGTAAGTATTGAACTCATGAATAATCTTGGTCCGAATTGTTTTGTGAGTAAGGTTTGCTGAAGTCTCACGGACTAACGGATTAAGGTAGTCGAAGAGTTCATGGAGCCCCACGTGCTCTGAGAGGCGAAAAGATAGGTTTGCGTCCGTAATCCACCGGACAAGCAGGCGCTGGAATGTTGCTTTGTCAAATCGAGCAACCAGCTCGTCGTGAAAGTCATCCCTTTTCCGTTTCCTCGCGGTAAACTCATGGAGGTTGCATTGATTCAAAGGTCTCTCCGATATGTAGCGCTTTGCTTTTGATGGATCTGGATGGAAGACCTTGTGTGCTTTGCTGAGGTGGCTTTCGATGTTCCGGGTATTTGATGCGACATAGGCTTTTGGTTTATGAACTTTCTGTTGGATGCAATGGCAGCAAAGCCAACTGGATGCGCCCGGTTCGGTAGTGGCAGTTTTTGCTTGAACATTATAGCCATAAGCCCAAAACCACCCAGTGGCTTGTCCAGTTCGAGTCGAGAGATTCCAATGGCCACGGACGGTTTGAGGAACTGTACTCCAGTCTTTCATGGCAATTGAGGTGCTGAGGGACAATGTTGAATCTAGTTTTGGTAGATCTGGCTGACTGGATAACTCTGAGCAGTTATTTGGATCAGTTACCGGTTGACTGAACAAGTCGCTTGGAGTTGACATTGTGGCAGATGCCCTATACTGTGGGTCGACTGTACAGTATGCCACTTGAGATTTGAAAAGAAGGAGCTATATCAAGAGATTGACCAAAATTTGCTGTGAGCTTGAGGAAAAGGGGGAAGGGAAATGATCTGACAGGGGGTGTTAGTAGGTGGTGGGGTGAGAGTACCGGTACCTTGTTTTCGAAGGAATTTACGCACATGTGTAAGTCCCTCTACTTTCCGTAGTCACCTTGGCGTCTATCTACATTTCGCCTATCTATCTGACGGCAAGATAGATAGATAGATGACCCACAAGGCCGTCTGGTAGATAGATAGATGTAGATCTACATCTATCTACATCTACATTTCGTCTACATTGGTAGGTAGATTCCCCACCCTGGCCCTGGGTGAAGACTGTCTCACACAGGATGACTGGGATGTCCTTAGGCTAACGGCTGACTTCCTCCAACCCTTCTGGCAGGCTACATTGGCGCAGCAGACGAAGTGGTCGTCGTTGGATCAGTTACTTTACCACATGGACATCTTGCTCAAGCATTTTGAAGATGCCAAGGTAAATTATTCATTCGACCTTGTTTGGCATGATGATTGACGGTGCTAACTGTGTTATAGAAGACGTTCAGCAATAATCAACGTCTCGTCCACTCCATCCACATGGGCTGGTTTGTGCTTGATAAGTACTACTTTAAGACTGATGAGACGCCTGTGTACTCCGCGGCATTACTTCTCCACCCATCAAAGCGACTGAAATACCTCCGCCAGAACTGGCACGACGATTGGCATGATGGTGCGATCAATAAGGCCAGGCAGGTCTGGAGCCAGTATAAAGATCTTCCCGTTGCCAGTGCTCCAGAGGAGGCCCCGGAGATCCAGATGACAGCATATGATAAGCTGGCGCAGTCGCTCGACGTGACGGAGACTCATGACTATGAGGATGAGCTGGAGAAGTTTATTAACGGTTCTCCCTGCAAGATCGCAGTTAGTCCCCTTGCGTGGTGGACCAGAGAGGAGCAACGGATCTGCATAAGATGGCTATTAACGTTCTCTCGATTGCACCTATGTCGGACAAGGCCGAACCTGTCTTTTTAGGTGCTCGTCGTACTGTTTCGTATGATCGTGCACGCCTCGGGGCAGAGACAATTGAGATGACAGAGTGTCTTGGGAGCTGGAACAAGAACGACCTTATTCGAAAGGTGCATGTACCGCGAGCTGCTGCCACTTAGGCTGAGGATTATAGGAGCGGCGAACACATTCGGGCTGAAAGCACAACTACGTCATATCTTGGCAGTTACTGATAAGCTAATCAATCAGTATCAGTCGCATGGTAATCAATCAATCAGTACTGATTGTTGAGAAGTCTGGCCCCACTGCTAATCTCTTTGCACGTTTCGGAAATGAAAGAAATCCTTGGATGGAAGATGTTGGGCTATCGATGCGATGAGTTTTAGAGCATGATCGCCTTCCATCATGGCATATAGAGCCTGCTGAGTAGAATTGTTGATGGGACATCAAAGATATTAGGGCGAATGACAGCGACCTCCTAGAACAACTACCCATTGATAAATTGACTTATCCATTGATGAATTGACTTATAATCGGTGTCGGCCACGGTTTGCCCGCCCCCATGTGCTAGCAAGGGTTGGCCGCCAGCCGACACGCCACAACTGTTGATCCGTTGGGCAATAACTCCTATTGGGGACGCTGACTTGCTCTTACCCTTGTAACGCACCCACGACGTGTGAAACACGGTCAATACTTGGTACTAGTGGGATTTGCCCATCATATCGGGCTGATGAAGCCAAGAGGAAGAGAATGGACTGTCGTCATGTGAGAGTACAACGCAGAATTGCTACTGTATACTTGTGAGCACCGCCCTTAGCTCCGGTAGATTGATTAGCTGGCGAGGGCCCCGGCCACATCCGTCTATTTGTGCTCCTGGCTAAGACACCAGCGAGCCTATCGAGACAACAATTGAACCGGATGGCATGCGGGCCATGAGCCCACGGATGACAGGCGAGGATATTGAGCGTTGGAACGTGAAATGCATACTGAACTACGCCGATTAGTGTAGACTATAGAATCTGCCGTGAACGTTAGATGTGTTCGATGGTGGCCATCTTAGGAGCTGCTCACTGACGTTTGGTGCTACTAGGTATAAGGAGGCGCAAAAGTGGAAATGAGCACTCATAGTAGATGTAGCTATTAGTGGTGTATATATGCAGAATGTGATAGGCGGTCTCTCGTACTCCATCGCCAATCCGCTGAGTGCTCATATACACGGCCCGTAATTTCACAGAGCTCGTGTAGCCGAGCGCGGGCAGGATTGATAGTTCGTAGGCAAATTTAGAAAGCGCACGAGCAGATAGGTAAGGGTGATAACTCTCCAGCTAAATTTTCCGGCAACCTTGGCCGAGCAGGGAGGCCCTTGCGGTGTTAGCGAGTTTAGAACCTGAGGACGGCTTTGTCCAGCAACAGCTCCAAGCAGGCCGGGCTTGTACGCACAAGAAAGACCCATCAGCGCCGAACCCAGCCTGTGCACCTTTTCGGAGGATGTTCTTACCCCGCCTTTTGCCCTCACCCATGTTCTTACTGCCACAGTTGGACGCCTCCAGACATTTACATTGTCTAGTGAGGACATGGGCTCAGCGGCTGACCTGAGCATGGGCAAAGCACTTGTGGCGGCCTGGCAGCAGGATGGAATCTTGCAGATTTCCATGGACGCTGAGCAGCAGACGCTCTATAAAGCAGCCAATAAGGTCAGTAAGCGCTTCTTCCGGAAGCCTTTTCACCAGAAAGCTGCGTGCATCGATAGCTAGAGCTATTCCGGTTATATTGCGAGCGGTGAAGAGCTTACAGATGGCCTTACTAATTACAGTGAGATCTTTACCGTCACGAAGGACCTCGACCTTGACGATCCCAGGGTGTCCGCCAAGTGGCTATGCCATGGGTGTTGTCCTTGGCCTGACGCAGATCTGCGGGACCCCGTGAAGAAATACATGGACAGCCTCGGGCAGACTGGCAAGAAGCTTCTCTGGCTAATTGAGCTGGGTATCAATATACCAGAGGGATCTCTGACCCGCATTACGAAAGACAGGTGGCATCACAATGCGAATTCTCAGGCATGAACCTATGGCTTCTTTTTGAGATGAGACAGAGCTAACGTGTTGGGTTCAGATTTCCCGCAAGCAACGTTATCCATGGGAAAGGCGGAGACGGCCGAGGCATCGACTCTTATACTGATTATGGTTTGCTTGTAATTGCGGCTGCTGATGATGTTGGAGGTAGGCGAGCCCTCTTGACGCAGTTCTAACATAAGTGTACCTGCTGATTCTATATCTAGCTCTCTTCGTTCGTCCTCCCCATAAGGACGAGTCCGTTGCGAACTGGGAGAGGAGTGTTGCTGGCATGAAGGAAGACAGTGTGGGTTGGGTGTTTATCCCCCCAGCCGAGAATATATTTACGGGTTTCCCAGGCAAGCTTCCCATCTCTAACCCAACAGGCGTCTTGCTGATAATAGTTCCTAGGTGACATGATGCAGTACATAACCAACTCAGTCCTCCCCTCAACGCTCCATAAGGTGGGGCTCAATACAAAAGCGAGGTTCGACTTTGCTTACTTTCATGAGCCCAACTTTCAGACAGTCATTAAACCTCTTCCGGGGTATAAAGCCGGTCAGAGCCCAGAAGAGGGGATCCATTACGGGAAGCATTTTACCAACATATTCATGAGGAACTATCCCGAGTGCATCACTACTCACCGGTTGGTCGATAAGGGCTGGTACAAGTTGCTAGATACGGAGGCACTTCAAACCATAACTGATTGAGAACCACGTGCAAATATAATATCCCCTCCATTACCTCTCCATTCCGCCGAGTACTTTACTCGCCATCTATGGGACCCGATTACTCTAGCATTCGGGTAAGTATAGCTTCTTCACCCAGCATGAAGATTGGGGTGCGAATGCCAACCTAGACCTAAGCTATTGGGCCATGTTCAGCGCCTTCCGACCCTTTGAGAAATATGCGCGGAAAGGCAGTGTAATCCCGGACGTGGGCCAAAGAGAAAACATCTTCATGCGGTGGAAGGAGCGTTTCCCGGTCCCTGACCACAAAGTGGGGGCGATAACCAGTATGAGCTTTAAGGGTTTCTACTATATATACTTCAATTAGATGAAGGGGATGATTAATAGGATATACTTTCATTCTGAGTGAAAAAAGTAAGCTATTGCAGCACTATCGGGCTATTTTCGAAGCTTATTGTTGCATCAGAAGGAATCCACAATTGGCATTAAAGCATATGTCGGACCGGGGATGTTTGAGTGTAGTGGAGTTTCGGAGAACAGATACTATCTTGGGCAATGCCTTGAGAAACGCAGCTCACTGCCTTGCATCGTGCTTCACGTCTACCACAGATTATACCTCCTTCCTCGTGATCGCAGGTATGCCGAGACGCTCGTTTTCAACCTCGTCATTGGGGAAATTATATTCTGTTCGAGATACCGGTCAAATGATGGTACAGGGCGACCGTCGTGATTTGACTTAAAGTATTTAGTAGGCGTATTTATTATGGAGCGTCAACCCAATCATGTAGGCCCAAAATGGGTACCATCCAAATCGGGGGGGGGGGGGGGCAAGAATCAGGCGCCTCTAAAATAATGCTGAATCAACCTGGCACTGCGCGCGGCAACTGGCGGTGACTGTTGTTTCCACCGTGGAGAGAGGAGGCGGTTTGCGAGCCAGCATTAAAGCCAAGGGTTTGGTTATTATTCTGCGTGCTCAGCCCCAATACGACGGACGACCTATTAGCTCAGCGAAGATGGCGGTGTAGACAAGTGATCATTGATCTTTTGAGAAGTTGGCTGAGGTGACAAAGTGGTCCCATTCAAGATATCCGGGATGACCGAACCATCTAGATCCATCGCAAACGGGCTCGGCACCTGTGGAGTGCCTATTACCGAGGGTTGCTGTATGATACTCGTAGCTACTGGTGGCTCTGGCATCCAGGTCAGCAGGACGGGTGGCTCTTGTGTTTTAAGTCAGCGAGGGTGGATTACTAATAACCTATAACGACAGTAATATGAAACTGGATAACAGCGGGTCTTGTGTATAGCTAACGTACTTGATAAGCGTGCCGATCAAACAAGTGTACCGATCACTTAATTTTGAACCTTAAATCGCGATTTTAAGATATTTATAAAAAATTCAAACTAGGCCTAAAATGGCTATAATTTAGGGATTAGGCTAACTAAAGAAAAAACTATATATAGAAATTTTGTAAAATTTTGTTTATTTTTATTTATAGAGTTATTAAGAAAAAGCTTATTCACACTGTGTACCTCCTTATTTCTCTATAAAGCAAATTAGTTAAAAATCTAAAGAAATTATTTCTTCCCAACTATTTTATAAGAAGTCTAAAAACCCTTTTTTTATATTTTTATTATTTATATAACAAGTTTTAGAAAATCTAATATTCCTACTTTTAGCTGTACAGTATAAGTGATCGGCATACTTGTTTGATCGGCATGCTTATCATATACGTTATCCAATTAATTTAATTATAATAAACCACACCTGCCCCTCGATGAGGGAACCTAGTGTTTGAATTTACTGCATTTTCGTTGCGCACGTCACAGTTGCCAGGGCCCAAGTTTGGGTTTCAAGCTGCTTTTTTCTTCTCTGCCGGAATCCTGTCTAACTTTTTCGACCTGTAACCATTCTAACCTTGATACAATTCCCACGACTCGACCTAACGCCCCACGACTCGACCTAACGCCCCAAGATCCCCAACGCCCATGATGACCCAAGTCATTCGAATCCCCCCTCCCCAGCACCCTAGGTGGCTAGCATCCGTACCAACCCAACGCAACACAACAACTCCTCGAACCAGGGGTTGTATTGGGCCCCGGCGATATCCTGGAGGAAGACTTGACCCCTTGGATCGGGATTGTTGATATTTTTGGCCAAGTCGTAAAGCGCGGCCATTTCTATTCGGATATATGGGACAAGATTGCCGACAAGAATTTGATTTCCTTGCCCATTAACCCTAGTCCTGTTGTCAAGAAGCAAATGGCATCCAAAAATAGCCAATGCGATCCGTTGGCTTCCATTTAAGAGTTGCAGATGGTGTGGCGATAGCTCGAACAGATTTTCTTTCTCAAGGAAGCTCGAGAGGAAATTCAGCTTCTGTCTTTCTGATTCATCCTCTAGATTCCAAGAGAATCCAAGATCATGTCGGAGTCCGGATCTATAATGCGGATACAACAGGTTACCGTTGACAAGAGCTTTTCGAATGAAATTTGCCATGTTGAAAATTGGTTGTGATGGGATGAGTGTCAGAAGGGAAGTTGGTCCCTTGACGATGGGAGACGTCAGTCTCCCTTATATCCTATTGCTCGGAATAAGGTTACTATCTCAAGGTTGTTGACTGCAGACAGCAAGGTCGTTGACTGCAGACAGCAAGGTCGTTGACTGCAGACAATAGGGTTGAAGTCAGAGGGGTTGAATGGAAGCTTCAGGCAGAGACCGGTGGGCAACAACCTTATTGTTCAGCTACTGTTTCTTCTGGTGCTGGGTGTAGCACTTATTGTTTATTCCTACTGTTTGAGATTACTGTATGGCTTTGATCTATCTGATGATATTGAGTAAAGCTAAAAAAAATCAAATAAACCACAACTGGTGGGTGTGACCACGAGCCACGACCATCTCTACGAAGTACTGTCGCCACTATTATCTGTTCTTGTGGCTAAGGATGGCTGACGCGCCTTCTGGAATTGACCAATGCGTCGTTTCAAAGTCTTCTGCCCACTTGCTCAAGTCAAGGGTAGCCTGTCGACGCTCCTCCTGCCCGTGCATCCACCGTTCTCCTGGTGGGCCGAGGGCCATGAGGCTGAAAGCTAGATACTGACCCACGGCCGTACAGACGTGGAAGTGATTTGGATGGGCGGACACCTCGGGACCGGGTTCTGCTAGGTGGTAATATAACGTTTCCGGTTCCTCCCAGTCGACCCTGAGAAACACGATCGCTTCGCCAGTGGTCAGAAGACCATACTCAAGGCCGCCCTCAATCATGTAATGATAGGTCTGCGTGCTGGAAATCGTCGTTCTAATCTCGGCCACCTTCAAGAGATACGCTGAATGGTATTTCTGGAGTCTTTTGTTTGCGAGCTTGGGCATGATCGTCACCATAATCAGCTTCTCGACCTACTTCTTTAACATCACCTAAAATAAGTTCGCTCAAGGTGCCGTGACCATTGCCGGCTGGTGGGCCTTCATCGTTGGTCAATCGCTCGTCCTTTGGTCGCGCCTTCATCTTGTCCTCCAGAGTCGGCTTGTCCTTCGCAGTGTTCTCGCAATGATTATTGTCGATGCCATCGTCCTACTTATTCCCCTTTTTCTTGGCCCGACTTGGGACATGACTTTTGAAAGAGCCCTTCGTACATTCAGTGGAATCTTCGATACCCCACTTAGCCAATCCCCCCTAGCCCCGACAAGACAGCTCTGGGCTGTTATGCGGCCTTCCATGAGGACCAGGAAAGGCAACTTGAACTGTATTTGTTCGTATACTCCCGTCACTCGTTGGGCATGAAACGGCAGCACTACGGCCGACATCAGTGAAACCCCCATTGCGATTCCCAAACCATTCCAACCACCGGCTGGGCCTGTGGCCCTGAGCTACCAAAAACTCCCTGGTCGCATCTGGACAGGGAGGGCACATTTGAAATAGATTGGCTTGGCGCCGGGAGTGGTTCTTTTTGGAACGGCTCTAATACCATATCAAACAAATCGTCCCCGACCTCCGACGACCTTGAGTCTGGCCGAAATGGGTCGGTCCATGTCGGCGGGGCACTTTCCATCTCAGGCGTTTGGATGCTCAAGGAATCTGTTCCACTTGTTCTTCTGCCGCTCGAGCACCCATGGTGTGGTGTGAGTCCGTTAGGGAGTTGAAAGGCCGAAGAGAGAGATAAGAGGCTATTGACAGACTTTCTCGCTTCGTTTGCGATGTATTTCTGGATGAGAACGCAGTTACAGTCAGTATGCTGCAAGAGCTGGGTCTTTAAGTGGTAGATCTCGGCAGTCAACTGGTCGAAACAGGTTGAGAGGTATTGGTTCTGATCCTCCATGGTCTGCTCACGGGAGGCAAGTGCTGACGCTTCATCCCGTTTGCGTAGACGACACTTAGTAGCAGCGATTCTATTGCATTCGAGGTTGCGCCGTCGCCGGAGGTCCCTAGGAAGATCCTCGTCATCATTGCTCTTCCCCTTTTGCCTCCAACATGCCTTTACGGGCTCTTTAGGTTCGACTTTGGGTTTCCGGCCTTGTTTGCTTGGTTTCAGTACATCCGAAACGAGTACGGAAGCACCGGTTTCTGACAGACTTGAACTTTCTTGCGATTTCCGTCGGTTTCGGGGTCGGCGGGGCGGTTTCTTTTCTCGTTCTACGGTCGGCAATGCTGTCTGGGAGGGTTCATACTCCTCAGGGATCTTGGCTGCCATGACATATTGAGGTGTAGGTTTGGGAAACACGAGACCGATCTCTGTTGAGATCGGGGATGTGCCGATTGCTTCGTCAAAGAACGAGCCCTCGGTGACTTGGTTCATCGCTTGTTGATAGGCCATGTGGCTTTGAGATGTGGGGGAAGATATGCTGATGTGATAAGGTGGAGGGGTCATCAGGCATCCTGCCGCTGGTGTTGAGGCGATCCCGTCGAAGTATTGGCCAAACGCAAAATCTCCCGCCATCTGAGGGTAAGAATGGACGAAGGCTGCCATCGATGATCTTTCTGCACAGATGGTGATCGTTCTTCGGTTTCGATTTATGCTATCCCGGGGTTGGGCGGGTAGGTGATTACAAGACCGACTGGTTGGGGCCGGGTTTGCCTTGAAGGCTGATCTCTGGACGGTCCCTCCTCTTCTTCCTGCCGTTTGCCAACGAAGAAACACGCAGGGCTGTAAGGCTTCCCGGTATTGCTTATTCGTTTGCTGGACGGCAGCTGAGTGAACCAGTTGTGTCTGGATCAGGCAGGGCTGAGAGGCGGTTGGGGAGAAGAGTAGGTCTGAAAGTGGATTTGATAGGTTAAGGAGTGGGCCAGCTTGGTAGTTGACAAGTAGAAATTCATAGGCAGGGTTTTGAAGGAGGGGAATCCAAGAGAATGAGGTGATCGCGAGAGGATTGAGGGCGACGGGACAATCAAATATACATGGCATCTCGCAAACCACCAACTGCCAAAGTCCTTGGCTCTCAAGCTATCAGAGCCTTGCTAAGCCCCCAGCAAGTCCAGGACGGCACACCCACATGCTATGTGCTGCAGGACGCCGGGAGGGAAAATAGACTTTTCCTATGAAATCTCGATATTCAGACATCTTTCTGCTAGGCGAAGGGGTCAATAAGCCCTCAAGTCAGAGTTCACGGAATTCCGATTGGGCCACCCTAGCGGGATTGCTTCAGTTGCATTGCATTTTCGAAACCCTGACGTGCCGGTGCAGCTTGCGCAGCCATGTCCATACGTAGCAGCAAAGGGCAAGAACATGATAAACGAAGGTCAAAGCGCCGCAGTATCTCCTTGCGCTGCGGGTGGCCTGATCGGGCACAAGAGCTCCAGATACATCATACAATGGGAGAGGGGAACCAGGTGCGGAGGCTGACAGGGTGGGACCCTAGACCCTTGCCACGGAGAACGCCATGAACTGGGAACCGGGAGCTGCGAGACGAGGTGTGTGCGTTCTAATTACCGTACCCAAGGCTGGGGGACAGTGGCGTTTGTGTTCCCCTCCTCCTGGAAGATGCAATCGTAAGTGTTGCCTTCTCTAGTACAAGCGTGACGACAGGGCTCTCGCGAACTTTGGGCTCAGAAACCACGAGGATTTACAACTCTTGGGTTTGACGCGTTCTTTCTGCGAGACTCCCATGATCCAACGTGGCAATCGCCGTTGTGGCTACAAGACGAGGCTGTGGCACGAACTCCAGCTCCAGCCACACCGTAGGGAGCTCGGCAGGGTTCAAATCCACTCAACTTCAGGCCTCAGTTGAGTGGATTCAGGGGTTGCACGTGGCGTAAAGGGATCCGTGCACCAGCGCCCGGATCATTAAGTGATCCTAAATCCACGGGAAGAGCTCGTGGAGTGTCGTGGATTTGAACCCTGGAGCTCAGTGAACTCCGTTGCGCTCGGTTCCTGCTGCGGGTGCAAGATGGATTTCAACGTTCAAGGATCGCTCGCGATCCTGACCAGCTACGGTTAGAGAGTGGAACATGAGCCGATACCGAGCTCAAGGGCACTAGTCATCATCTCCTAGAACGGCTTCTTGCATCGATCGCTCGGACGTCGACTGCAACTCCCTGCCCCCAGCACCACTCGGCCGAAGCTTTGCGCTTCTCTGCATGGGGTCGTTGGGAAGAAATCGTCGATCCAAATCAGAGCTATGTGTCAAGCTAGTGGATGCTGGCTAGCGCAAGACGCACAGCCCTCTACAACGTGGTATCATCAGACGACGACGTTGGACAGTTCGGATTTACCTGGCTAACTCCTCTAACGTACATCTAAGTAAGCGGGGGGTCCGTCTTTCACCCTCCCGGTCCCGGCCAGTGATGTGATTCAAAGATTTAGGGTTTGGGCTAGGCTCTGATACGATGATATCAGCATCGTAGGGCTCTCGAGATTTGCCGACCCGGTCTAGGCCAAGAACTTCACCGGTTGCAGATCTAGAGGGGAATAAATGGCGTCCTTCGTGCTAGCCCAGGCGCAAGGGTCTTTGTTTTTCAACAGCCCCACCCTCACTCGGCGTTCCATTGGGGATGGCGACGTTGGAGAATACTGGGCCCCCTCCACGCTGATTTCACACGTTCGAATGACGTATGATGAATAGCATGGGCAAAGAGAAGGCAGAGAATTTACGAAGTTACATAGACCTGATGTAACGGGAAATTCCGTTGACGCAGCCCAAGTGTGTCACTCCATCACAGGTGGGTGATGCTCGTGACAACATTCTTACCATAATTGCTCTACTCCGTCACCTAGGCCCGATGAATGAGCTATTCAGGCTGCAGTTATCCTTCACATGCTCGACCCAGCCCGTAGTGAGCCCGTAGCGCGAGGCCTCGAGCGAGAACTCAACGAGATCGAAACCCCACGAGAACGTCTCCTCGACTCATTCACTCTCATTTGTACGATAGGGAAACGATAGGGAAAAAGGGGTGTTGGGCTCGCCGAGCACGCAGCAGTGGACAGGTCCTGCCGTCCTCAGCGTCTAGCGCAGACGGCGGCGGCATTGACCGAGCTCAGCCGGCATATGGCCTGGAAGAATGGAGATGTGTCGCAGAGCTTATTTGCTCCGAAACGACGATGTTAGAAGAGACGCGTCTCGGTAGCAGAGTTCGGAACACCACTTCCATAACACCAATTTCCACTTTCTGGTACAGAGCGCGCAGCAAGCAAGCAATTTAGGGTTAAGGGTTAGGGGTTGTCGTCTGCTTGCTTTTTTTCCCACCCCCTGTCCGTTTTTTCTACGGTCAAGGTCTTTTTTTAAAGCGCTGCAGCGTGAGGGGTGGGAGCAGCATTCGCCATCCGTTTCTTGTCTTATGAATGTTTTCATTACTGGAGTAAGCGCATGCATGTGAGCAAATCGAGGCGTGTGAGGAATTATTACAGTCTGAAGTAAGTAAAGGGTTCGCGTCCCGAGGTTGAGCCCCACTTCCGTAAGTAATATGGATATGAACTGGGTTCTTAGCTTGACCTTGGACCCGGAAAGATAGATAGTCGGGCTGTGGCTGACTGGTTGATTCGAATCTCCACAGCCACTTGAGGGATCGGCATACCGAAATCAAAAGTAAAGCCCGCAACGTCATCATCTCTCACTACGCCAGGCTCAAGCTGCAGGTGCCCTCCAGGGACGACTCCGCCATAGGCCGGCAAACCCGACCGCAGCCATCGAAGGCCTGCCCATCATCCTCCGGGGCCTTGCCTGCGCGGACTGTGGATTCCTGACCGCCCGCCAATCCCTCACCACTCTTCTATTGCACTCCTCAAACACCACTACCTTTCTTTTTATGTACTACCGCAATCTCTTCTCGTTAGCTTTAGCTGCAGTCAACATTCCTATCACAGTCGCTGACAAGTTATCGACTATTGATCCCACGTCTACCTGGGGAACGTGGGAGGGATGGGGTATTTCCCGGCCGTGATTAAAAAACAACCCCCCTCGCTTAGCTAGCACCTATTTTGTGGCTGGACCCACATCATTGAGGCTGGACACCGATATCGGATTTTCACACCTAAAACCCTTACTTTATGTCCAGCCTAAGTCTTCCTTGTCCACAACACATTGAATATCCAATAACAGGTGACCGGTCCCTACGGGCACGCCAATGCCGTTAGGAAGAAGCTTACGGCCTGGCTTGGAGGGCATTGGGCGTTAGGTGATCCGAGCGTCTGGAAGACCCATGTCTCTTCAACCTGTCGCGTAGATTGAATTCAGTCCTCTTCATTCAACCATTGTGAAGTGTGCTAATTCCATGGCACCTATAGATTACTCGAAATGGGACAACGTAGACACGGATTCCAAGCCAGAGATGGTGTCTCAGCAGGCGCCTGCGCCTAAAGCAACCTCCTCACACTCGTTTCCATCCACTTCGACGGTAACACACAGTGCTTCGGGGCCCATCCAAGCCGTCATCGTCCGGTGCGACGTCGAGAAAATGGAATTCCCGCCTTGGTCCGCCACCACAATCCCCGCAGATCATCCCGTTTTCTCGCAGGACATTCCTCCCGTCCCAGGGCTCATCGAGGTACCGCTGGTCCTCCACCGCGTAGGCACTCGGTCCGCCAACCGGACGTACCTCAACATCAACTCCGACTCCGGCTTCGCGCCCCCGGCGTGGCAGTCACATGTCGGTACCATCGTGGTCGCGCGCAAGGATAGGTCCAGTTAGCTTCTGGAAGGCAATGGCGTTCAACTCGACGGATGTGATAAAAAACATGTGAAAGGAACGTCGATTGGGCACGAGACAATGGTGGCATTCACAATAACGGATTCCAAGGCTTAGCTTGTAAACGGGTAATACGTTGCCGACTTACGTCATTGCTGAGGTTTCAACACGTTCGTCGTATGACTCTGGCGCCTTTGTGTACGGCTGATTTAACGTCACGCTGAAATAACCCTGGCAGTGGTTGTTAAGCCGCCGCAAACACACTTAATTATAAATTGCATTCATCTCCATGATAGCCGCTCAATATCGCTACACTCAAACCCCGAAGTCATTCGGTTGCACACACCACCACGATGGCATCTACCGAAACCACGACAGTTGCGCCATCCGCGGCCTCTCCCCGACTCTTCCAATTCGACCGAACCGCATTTTCTGGCCACCACTATGACATCAAATCCGTGACCGAAACCCGTTCATTCTATGCCGGCATCTCCTCTTTCACCCGTAAGAAGCCTGACCTCACTCTACATGAAGGAACAAGCGACAAGGGCGCCATCAAGGCTGTGTGCCATATGGAGCACTTGCGGGGCAACTCCAAAATCGGTCTGGGGGACCCAGCTAAGCCAGATTCAGTGCAATGGGAAGACATGACGAAAGAATCAGTCTTCAAGGCTTCCAAATACCGCTGGGAAACGGCGCTCACCAACTCAAGCACACCCAGACGAGGGAGGGAGGTTCTGTTATGGAAGAGAACCCAATCAGTGGGGGTAGGGGGCTCGTCGCCGTCGGGGCTGAGCGTGCGGAACTGGAAGCTCGTTCACGAAGGTACTGGAGAGATCTTAGCGGTCTTTACAAGCGATGGGCCATTAACGAAGTGCGAGGGCTTGGAGGTGAGAGCAAACTTTGGAGACGCGTTCGACCAGATGGTAATGATCACTTGCCTAACTCTGTATGAGGCGGCCAAACGTCGCGGAGGCGGATGTTGAGGCTTTAGTTGAAGTACCAGGAGGCGACGGATCCAAATGTTCAATGTATTAGTATTCTCTATCAACAGATGATGCACAGTGAAGCAAATAGTGTGACCGTAAATAAGACGATATCATATTCAATATCGTATTGCCTGCACGGTATTTTTATACCGTGCAGTGCAAGCAATACCGTAAACCGTGTAATATAGTGCAAGGTTATTCAAATATCATATAAATATGATATTAATATGATATTATACAGCGCAAGTACTGTGTAGTACGAGTAATACTAGGTCTCTCCCCATAGGCATATCGGGCATTATGAAGATCCCAACTTACAGGACTTTTTACTAATGAAGTGTAACAGGCTGGGCCGTTGATCTGCACTCAGCTGATGATAATCTTATACATGTTAGCTGTGAATAGCTTCATCTAGTTATGGTCAGCGATACGATCTTGAATCTCAACCTTACTCAATTTGGTTAGTTATATGCTTAGGCCATGCGGCTCTTTGCACGTCGTGCGATATGATATTACGATACGATATTGCTTAAATACAGTGTAATACCGTATACCGTGCAGTGCACCGAATTCTTAAACAATCCAGTGCAGTGTGGGGTTGAAAAAATATCGTATACGGTATTTTGCACTATTTACTTCACTGCGGCTCTGGGGTTCGGGTAGGCCGCGGTATCGACAAGGGTAACCTTGACGTTGCCCTTCTTGATGAGGGACAGGGCGGTTGCGCACCAAAGTTGCCAGCCCCAATGATGAGGACAGAGGAAGAATAAGAGGCCATGTTGGGTATCAAAGCTGTCTGGTCAGCCAATTCGCGGCACACAAGATGTGAGAGCCCCTTGGGAGTAGGAGAAAGGCTCTTCCAGCCGACTATCAAAGGAAAACAGCCAATGCTACTCCACTGGACCGCAATTTCAATAGTTGGCTGGGGAAAATGGACGTTAATGCATGGCTTTATTATTGTCACGGCCCAGGGCCCATATCCTTGCAGCTGTGCCGCAAGACGTACTAGGCTCGTGCGCGCCAGGGATGAGAAATCATCCCACAACTCAGGGGCACTTAGGAACTTCTTTCTTTCTTCTTCATCTTTGATGTAAATAGCATCCTGGACTAGATAGCTGGAATCCAGCTACTAGAGGCCGTTCACAATTATTACTGACAAAGCGTCAGAACTTTTCGAGCATTGGGCATGAAACCCGGTGGATTCCGGGTTGCGGGGGTACCCGTTGGTCATGCAGCGCTGTGGGGCACGATCCGGAAGGACTTGCTTGCCACATGCTTTTGTGGTACCCCAGTGCATGGAGAGTCAGTCATGTGCACAGAGGCCGAGCGGGTGGCATTCAGCGACAGCGGATAGCCTCAGTGGGTGGTAATGAAGTCCTTAAGTTCCGCGGTACGTTGCACAATGGGAGGTTGGGCAATAGCCCCAGGTGATGGGAGTCCCAACTGGAGATAAGGATCCCGACCATCGGGGGGTTGTCTAAACCGTAGCCGCGCTTCGGTTCCCTCAAAGTCACTTTCATTGTCATTATTCAAATGCATCTTGTGCATCGTCCCAATTTCACATTTAGTAGTCTAGCGCCATCAAGCACAGACGGCAAGGCAATTCCGTTGGCTTTCTTTTTCTAAGCTGTCCCGTGGTTTTCATTTTCTCATCCGTTTGTCGTGGAGAACGGGACAGGCACAGGGTACTACTAGGTCACCGCGTTGCGTAATGATGAGCAGGATTCTGACCGGCCGCACTCTGGGCGAATTATGTGCCGACGAGTCGGTATCCACTCACAATGCGTTTTCTTTATGAGGACGGCCGTGGATGGTGGGACCAACATGCCCGGGCTCATTTTTTTGCGAGGCAGTGCTTGCCACAAGTGCTACGGGACCAATGGCCGAAGGGGATGGCGTGGCGTGGCATTCACCCTCCACTCGCTCTGGGCCTTTCGATGTGCATGGACGGCACAGCGCCGGTCGTCGTGAGGCGTATTACATGTCAGACAAGACCAATCGCCCCTGCCGCCGCACTCCTTGTCTCGAGCAAACGTGGAGCCAAGTCTCTCAAGCACCCTCCCCCAGACCTAATAAAGGGTTGCCTCTTTCCCCGCAAATTGCACAGGGCAAGTCTTTGAACGCGAACCGTTTTTGCTGCTCCAGTTGTCGCTGCCTTGTTACCCCACCCCGAGTGCATGCGTGTCCATGAACTCGGTTGAGCTAGGCACGGTCAGCACTGAAGGCTCGTCGAAAGTTCTCTCTAATGCCTCTAGCAATCTGGCCCGAGCGCGCGGGTCAAGGCTGCTCGATGATGGAGGACTCATCAGGCTCTGATCGTCCACTGAAGCGTGTCAAGTATGAGCGACCGGAGGACCACTACATTCCCATTCCGACCCTTCCAGGGAACATGGCCTTGGGGATCACCGGGCCTGTCAACAACGTCCCCGGCCCTTTGACCGATGCCCCATTGTTTGGAACCCCGTGGCCATTCCAGTCAGGCCTCCAGTCAGGCTTGGCGTCTCCGCCCCTCTCCGAGGATCTCCCTCCATGGGTCGCAGGTCTTCTTGGTGAGGAAACATTCCGGCAACCGTCGATCGACCATCCCCATCCGTATCACCATCTTCACCACCCTTACCATCCTTTTTCTTTTGTCTCCATTGTCTCTCCATCTTCTCTCTGATTCGCCCTGTCTTGACTCGGTCCCAGGCCCTTGGTGGTGTAACCAAGGGGTAGGAGACCAGAGACAACATCAGCAACCCCACTCTCGCTTTCACCTGGTCGCCCAGCATGTCTCCATCTCGTCTCAGCCATCTTGTCCAAATCTCTGCCCACTCCCCCTGACCATTGAAAGATGTTAAGATCGTTTAGTGCCCTGATCATGCCATGGTGGACTTTCAAGTCGGTGAGCTAACATTCCATGCAGCACCGCATTCTGCAGGGCTGGACATCGAACATCCCTCTGCCACACCCAGCCAACCTCAAACTTTGTCTCATCAGGGTTCTCATTCATCCCGCTTGCCTCGCCTACTTCCCGCCATCCCGGCTGATCCTCTAGGAGCCATTCTTCATCCCCAAGACACTTTAATACAGAGGCCACCCGCAAGGACCCTCTTTAGCCCCTTCACCGATGGCGAAGACCGCTTGGTCAAGTCCATCGCTCCTCGATATGTTCGTCCTAAAAATGGCCAAGTGAATGGTTATGTCAAGTTTAATTGGCCATCAAGAAGGCCCTCCATCCGACCATCCGGCCCCGACCCTCCTCCTATTGCCGCCGTGGAGGAAATTATGGACTCGACACCGACGACGGCTGTCAGTCGTAGATCTAGCATCGTCAGCCTCATCGGACCACCAGCCGCCCCCTCCAGAGCGGGTACCGTGACAATGTCGCCAGGCGATTCAGACCTCTCCTGGAGCGCCTTCTCATCATCACCTATGGACTCAGTGTCACCAGTGTCTTCTCAAGTCTTGACAATGCAACTCACAACTGACGAGCCACGGATGCTACCCCCACACTTTGGATTTCAGGCCAAGATGGATATGATGGATAGGCGGTTATGGGATTTCTGTACGTTCGCTTCCTTGTCTCTTCTCAAATTGTCCATCACCTCTGGAAATTCTACTTAGGACGCCTTTTTTTTCCTTTGGCAAGTTCTGACGCCTTTCTCCCTAGATATCAAAAACTGGTGCCCTGGTAGGAGTGTTCTCAGCAACACCAACCTGTGGCTGAAAGACTTCGCCCAGATGCATGAAAATGAAGGCATTCGATGCGCGATCCAAAGCTTGGCAGGAGTGTATATCTATGATTATCTTCCAGACGAACGTATTCGACAGCGAATCAACGAGCGATACGTTCTGGCCGATGCGCACTTTAGCAATCTCCTTGCCTCCCCAGAAAGCTTTGAAATTGGGAAGGGTAGTGAGGTCATCACTATGGCTGTCATTCTCTCGATGCAAGATGTGAGTTTTGACATGCCCAAGAGACTCCCCGCACCTAGCCCTGACTTATTCTGAAGATCATCCTCACAGAGCGCCGTCTCAAAAATCCGTTTACGCCTCGTTGGTTGGAGGGCTTCAAGCAAGGCGAGCATTTTCTCCACGTCACGGACCCGGGAGGTCGTTTCTGGCGAGATAATAACATCCAGCTCACCAACCTTCGTATCTCGCAGTCCATTATCGTGGGCCGGGCTGTTATTCTCGCTCAGCCCATGATAGCGTTTCCTTCGCCCACTGATCTTGACCCGATACAGGAGGCGTCGAGGTTTGGATGGCTCCTGTATGGCACCGAGAAGACCATGTACGAGATCCACGGAGGGTGCGGTTTCTCAAAGAAGTTGCTGCATACCATCAGCCAGATCACATGCTGCGCAGCGCGTCTGCAGCAGGAGCCTGAGAGCGCCATTGTGCCCATCACCGCTCGCTACTTACTACGCGAGCTTCTGGAGATGCGGCAGTGGAGTAGCGAGTCTATACCATTTGAAACTGCCCAGCAGTGTCCACAGCCAATCGAATGGATACGATCGAGGCCTAACGACTTTGTTATTGATACAGATCAGGATATGACGGATGCAACGGCCGAGGCATGGAGGTTTGCTTCGATTATCTATTTGCAATGTCGACTCTTGAGGTAAGGATACTACCGTCTGGCAGGGAATAGTTCATCTTAAAGGCGTTCCTCCCCTCCACCTAAGAAAACGTTTGTGTGAGGACTTGCTGACTGGAATTCCAGGCTACCTCGAAACCACCCGGATGTCCTCAGCAATTTGACAGACTTGGCCAAGTGCATACGCATCATGCCCACCTCCGGTCCGCATTTCACCGCTCAGGCACCTCTGCTACCAGTTTTCTTCCTCGGCTTGCTTGCTACGAATCCGGATCACAAGAACGTGTCACAGGCTTGGTTCGAGGAGGTAGTGCGGACGCCAGTGCGAAGTGTAGGTTCTTCTCATTTTCTTTTTATTATCGTCGGCAGTCCGGTTCTGCTGCGCATGACTCTACCACTATTACTTGTACAGATTATGGCACTAACTGTCCTTACAGAGCGTGCCACCCCTGTATCAGGCTTTAAAGCGGATCTGGGCCTGGATCGACGCCAAGGTCGAAATCCCGTCTATGCCAACTGCGTTGCAAAAGTCTATCGGCATAAGGTACCCATGGTGGGAACACCTCGTCGCAAATGTCCACGACAAAGAAGAGACCCTGTGCCTAACATAGACGGCCACAGTGTCTATCTATCCTTGCTACCCTCCCATGTCCCACGTGGTATCCTTTCAAAATCAACCATCGCAGCATTGGCTGCCCGCCTTTTTGGTGTAGTATTACTGGGTTATTTCGGAGTTGATGGGGCTCGTTCCCGGGATTAGTTCACGCCCGACACCGCACTATCGGCATCGTCGCGCTGGTCCTTGTCAGCGTTTCGGCGGACAAGGTATTGCCATGTTATCAGTCAGCATAATATTCGTAAGCACTATCATCGGGTTGGGGGAACGTACGGTACGGAACTCGGAATTTGGCGCCTGCTAGATGTCGACGACGCTCAGTCCCGCCTTATAGCACATAATCCGAACACTGTCTTCGTCATGCGAAGCAGTCGAACTCCTCGCCCTCCTTGATCAACCTCCCGATCTTCTCTAGGTTAATGCCCCGCTTCGCCTGAAGTAAAAGCGGTGCTGGGTTGCTGGGTGGTCCTCCAATACAGCCAGGAAATCCCGGTCCGCCTCCTTGGACCATTCCTCGCCTGCGAGTCGGTTCGCATGAGCAAAACCATGCAGGAAGAAGAATCGATACAAGTCGTCACAAGAATGGCACCGGTCAGATCTTGGCAAGGCTGTTGGGAAAGACACGGCTATTCATGTCGATTAGTAGAGTCTTCTGTGCGAGCCCAAATTTTGAGGCGATAATAGTGCTTCTGACCCAGGGTCGTTTCACAGTACGGACCAAGTGCCTGGCATGGTTTAGAGTGAGTGCTCTTGGCCACTTCTGTATGTGTCAAAATGGCACCGTGGCGAAACGAACAAGTCTTATTTTCGCATTCTTGCCAGCTGAAGAGATGCAAACCAGTGTCCGTTTTCAAGATCCTGAATAAGGAACAGGGCCCAAAAAAAAGGAACAGATACAAGTCAGTGTCTGTTTTCCAGGACCTGAAGAAGGAACAGGCACGTAAAAATGGAACAGGTGCAAACTAGGGTTTAGTTTTGGCAGCTCTAAGACCTTACTGAGCGTAGCGAGAAATGAGATAGGTCCAACAACTGACCCGGTTGGTTGGGATTGGTTGATTACGTAACAACCAAGCAAAGCAAGACCCTTTCGCCAGTGTTGCTAATAATATGGCAATAAAGTAGTATATTGCAATATGCCCCATATGATATGGACTTTCTCATATGGTGACAATATAATATGAAGATTTTGATATTGTGATAATATAATATGAGGATGTCCATATTGGCAATATATTATTTATATTGGGTTGTCAGTCCTGGGGCGAATTTGCCTCTTGACAGTAGCCGGACAGGTCTTACCCTATACCAGAGACAGGGATATTTGGCATTTTATTGGCTGGCATTCACTTTCGACACGCAACTTTGTTGACAATCATTCCTAACATGCGACCACGCGTTTCTTCCACGCGTCAGGGAAGGCACAGCCGGTACGGACCACGTTGGGGCTGGGCCTCCCGGTGGTTGCCTGTTAACATTGGCCATCGTCACCTCTGCCCATTTTCTTTATCACTGTCGAGCCTACTGACTAACCGTACCGCCATTACTATCGCCTTACTGATGAATCGCCTGCGTATGTTGGGTTTATGGCTTTACAAGCGCCCTTGCACGGTGGCTAGAGGAGACGCAGCAGAAAAACTACCCGAGCCTGAGCAAGATGGCCGTGGATACACTGTCGATTCCTGCAATGTCTGCGGAGCCCGAACGACTCTTCTCTGGGGCAAAGATAACGATTACAGACCGTCGAAATCGGCTTGGGAGTGATGTAATTGAAGCATTGGAGTGCCTGGAGTCATGGTTTGGGATACGAGATTTTCAAGGTAACAAGATTTGTGCAGAAGCGGTTTAACGATGGGGTCACGTGGAATATATTGGATGTATTGTCACACTGCCAATATATTGGGTTCTTGGCAATACAATACAATATGGGTCATGTTCATATTGCGTAATATAATACCACCTCTTGACAATACAATAATATTGCAAGGGGGTCCATATTGCCAATATACGTATTGTTTATATTATGAGCAACACTGACAAAAACTGCTAGTTGTGACGGTACAAGAGCACGAACGAGGTCGGGTGCGACTTGGGTAAAATGATTGTTTACGAGGAGAGAAAGAGATTCCTAAGGAAAACTCTGACTTAAGCTATTTACACAATATTCATAAAGTGAGACTATTCATAAAGTATGAAAGTCACATGATCGTTCCCTCACACCAACTCAACGTCAATCCATTCAACGAAAGCGTTCAGTTGATCAACTCAACGAGAGGTCGGCAATTACTAAGCCAATTCACTCAATATAGGTCGTCCGTTGAGTTGGTTGAGTTGTTTGGGTCTCTGAACACGGATGGTCCCGACTTACTTTCTCCACGTCAGGCTTCCTGAGAAACATTCAACACCCTTCTTAAAGACACTGGCACCGATGGCACTGTAGGATAAACTCAAGGTAGCGGTGTTCTCCCGTTGAGATCGTGTTGATTTCTTGGCCACTACATAGGAAGCGTACGTGTCAATAATTCGACACGTCAACGGAATGCTCGACCAAGCAACTGGCTAGAGCGTAAGCAGGATTGAAGCAGTGTGAGAAATAGGCGGTCCGCCCAGTCCGAGGTGTCTGGACTGGACCGCCTGTGTATCCGGAAGCACTGGACTGGACCGCCTGCCATAATTGGACTGGTACCAAGAGTCGGACCCAAAACTTGATGCGGCGATGTAGTTAGAGTGTAGAAATAGTTGATTATGCCTAGTTAGGCTTCAGCAGTTGCCTGCGCAGCCAGGCTGCCATACCACCAACATTTTACTCTGCAATGTCTGCTTCGTAGATTTCGAAGGTATGTAGGTTGGTCAAATAATCATATTTTCCACCAAGCTCAACCAATCAGATTGCACCATTTACACACATAATAATGGGCCTTAAATGGGCGGTTTAGTCCAAGAGCCCATTATGGGCCGCCTATTTCTCACACTGGCCATCTGTTCGGTCGGCCCATAGTTGCTTAATTTTCTTCAGCCGGAGTTGAGGGTGGAGGGCCACAGCGGTTACATAGACTTCAGTGTCGTCGAGCTTCGAATAATACTCGTTCAGCTTCTGTCATCTCATAGCAAGGCAACACCTCCCACATAAGGCCGTTGCGGCCCTGCCGTGGATACCCTTCGAGTTTCTTTGTGACCAGCATCAACGGTTTTAATATCTCCATATATCTTGTGACCGTGACCCAGTCCTCAGTTGACATCTTATCTTCCACAATCAAGGGTTTGGTTGGAAGCTTGATATGCTTATCTGACGCTAGTCGTCTATTTTTCTGTGTAACCCACTCAAGACGTGTATTGTGAGCGTGCTCCTCCTCAGAATAGGCATCGATTGGGGCTTGATTGAGGACGGAAGGCATAGTAATGTGAGTTCCACCGAGTATCGTTCGGCCGTTTAAGCTCGGCAGGGGGTCGGCGGGGCTCATCGTCTAGAAGACAATTTTGGGTCTCGATTTGTAGCGCTTTAAACTCTCTGGCGCGGCGGCGGCCGGCGTGTCTATCAGTAATCCACATAATGATGTTGCGGAGCTTGCCTAGGGCGCCTTTGCGCCTCCAAAGCTGGAGGTCGTCCTGGAGGGCGCGAGGAGCATCACTCTCCGTCTCGAATTCCCTTAGATCCTTGCCATACATGATCTGCGTGGCCATTTGAAGCCAAATATTCGTCCAAGCGCCTCCACGCCTGTGTTGTTATTGCCCGCGTTATCCAGGACGCAGTAGCCCACGCGCTTCTCGAGGCCAAACTCCTTGATGATCTCCCCAACGCCGTCTGCAAAAGCCTCGCCCGTATGGCTCCCGTTGATTGACGGTATAGACAGGAGGATCTTCTTCTTGCCAAGGGGGTCGAGGAAGTGTGCGAACACTCCATTGAGGCTAATGTGACGGGACAAGGGCACGAACGAGGTCGAATGCGACTTGGGTAAAATGATTGTTTACAAGGAGAGAAAGAGATTAAGGAAAACTCTGACTTAAGCTATTTACACAATATTTATAAAGTGGGACTATTCATAAAGTATGAAAGTCAAATGATCGTTCCCTCACAGACGAGTGCCACTGGAACGTCGGCGGCTTTATCGTTGCTTGATTTTCGGGCGTCGCGATACGGGCTGGTGGTGGCAGCAATTCTGGTTGCTGCCTTCGCGGGATTTTAGATCGGAGGTCGATGCCTCGGGGGGTCTAGGCGTTTGGGCTTTCCGATCTCAAGCCAAGTACGCTTGTGCGTCATTCATCAGTATCTTGATGCTTCTTCGCGAGTAAGATTAGAGTTAAGATTAGAGAAGCTCGTTCTGTTTCTTACGCTCGTCGAACGGCGACATCCAACCAGCAGGAATCATGGCTTGGAATGCGCAGGCTCACCGTCCAAGGTGGCAGGAGTAGAACGAGGATGGTTCTGGAAGGGTATAAATCGGGGCTACCTGTTTCCCGCGAGACTCCTTTGGCGGCTTTAACCAACAAGAGTGCCACCGTAAGTTGGAACATATCGTTCACGACAGTTCCTGACCTCCAGCGGGTTTTCCTGAACCTCCCTCGTTCGGACTCGAAGTGTTGTTTTGCATCGGCGCCGGAGTGTGGTTTGGATGTTTCGAGCGCAGATGCGAGGAACGGGACACGGCCTCCATTTGTCTCTTGATGTGTTGATACATGCAGCGGGAGTAGGTTGGCAGGTCGATTGGAGTGGGCGGGGAATTGGGGTTGGATACGGAGTAGGTGCCTTCTTGTCTGGAAGACATGGTCGCAGAAAACAGGGATGGACATCGAACGAACGGGAATCGAATCGATAGATTCATTCGATGCCAAGTCTTACGAATGTCGAATCGAATTTCTTGGCATTCGATTCGATGTCGAATCTGCGGCGTGCCCATTCGATTCGCATCGAATCGAATGTGACATGTCCTGTTCGATGTTCGAATACATCGATTCGAATGTGGGGCATCCTATTCGACATTCGAACCGTACAGGTCACCATATGATTCGACATCGAATCGATCGCCCCCACCCGTTCGATCGAAAATCGATCGATTCGGTCGAACAGAGAGACGCGATGTGCGAATCATGACCAAGGGGTGGATTCAGCGCGATTCGCAGACGCGTTAAGAGGCCCCTGGCACTCTCCTCGACGCGAGAAGTGCAACGCGATCAACACTGACAACAATTCATCTTAATGCTAAGATGTGTTAGCAAGTACATAACATGACCCTAAAAGCCCATAGCATACTAGGTACCCTGCAACTACAGCAATCATCCCTGTCACGACCCTGTCTAACCGCCCCCCAGCCCGGAACGGATTAACGCGCCGGCCACCGCGAATTGCCAACAGGTTTACCAGTTGGGAATGACTCCCATGGTCACAATCCCGACAAACAACCCACCAGCAGGTGCTTTACAGGAATGTAACGGACAACCCAATTTAATCTTGTAATAAAACACTGAGTCGGTTTCTATGAGGAATATATATTTGTCGCGTGGGGGGTTGAAGTATGAGTTATTGTTGCTGTAAAATACAACCTCCCAAGTTAGGAGGTACCAAGGTCGTCATATAAAGTAGGTGGGGCTTACAGTAGTTTTTAACGCAGGAGTATAGGGTATGTTTGTCCCAGTAACAGGCCGCTATACAGAGAGGGGGATCACCAAAAACACGCCGCTTTTTCTGCAGAATAATAGGAAGGAAGCAAAAAGAAAAGAAAAGGAAACCAAAAAAAAACTGTCTCCGTATTTCTCTCTACTAAAAAGTTTTTACTGATGCCAGCTTTGGCATGATCAGATGAATATGTCCGGCTCGAAGTTTTCACGCATTGGCGAGTATGGGATTCATGATCTTCCTGCCCCCCTCTTTAACTTTTTGGTTGTCTCGGGGACCTGCGCCTAAAGCCAGCTTTGCCTGTGAACCGATGTACCAGCGACTTCACAGGTGCATCCACTTAGAGCCTCAACTTCAAGTCCCCACCGTTCCGCCCCCTCACGTGAACGGTTTACGAAAATCTCAAGAATCCATTCTGAGTTGACGCCAGATTGGAATGAGCACAAATGCAAAGCCGGTATGGGGACTCGGCTGAGGAACGGGATGGCTTTTTTTCAAGGTTGGCCCGTAGTGATGCGTCTGTGCTTGTGGCATGAGCCAATAGGAGCCTCTGACGCAAGTGGAACAGGGAATATATGGAATCTTACCCCGCCGTCTGTGGACCTAATCAACGAGACCCCGATTTGGCTGGTTGCCAAGTACTGAGAGCTTGGTGGAGCGGCACTTGGGAGAATCTCCGTACACCAATGGTCGGAACAAAGTTTGGCTTCTTACATACAATGGCGGCTTCACGCGCGACTCTCTCGCCTTGGGCGCGCCAGGTCGTCGTTCGCGCTGCTCGCGAATGCATCATTAATCGCACAAGACTTTGCATGTTTAGCGGCAGTGGAGATGTCGCGAATTTCGCGTTGACGACAAAATGGGCGTGATATACGCGTGTTATTGGCCTCAATGCCTGTCCAGTCAGTGATGGATGGATGGATTTAAGTTGAGCCTCAGTGCAGTCTCAATGGCTTCCAACAACCTCGACCCACGCGACCCATCTGTCCGACTAGCTAAACTAACTGCATCATGATGTCCTCCGAACCATTCTCTTTGAGCCCTTCGTCCTGGAATCAACCAGGTGTGATGGAGCGCGATGAATTCTCTTCTTCGCCAGCCGCCCCGTCTCCAGGAACCTCGTTACCAACGACGCCATCGCTCCGTCCTCGCGGGACTGCCGCCGATTTTATTCAGGTCGATTGGACACTCTGGGGCCGCCAAGAGTGGGCCAAATGGCCCGGATTCGAGCGTTATACTGGCGGCCAAGACACGAGGGCATGGTGGCAACAATATGGGTATCGCGTTAAGGACCGTTCCACCTCGCGGCAGGGAAATAAGCTGAAGTGGATCTGCGCCGACTGCTTTGCCCGAGGTTTCAAGAAGAAGTCGGACTTCTGTTTCGTCTGCTCGACAGGAGTCGCCATCAGGAAACACCTACTCAAAGCCCACGGGATTCTTGTAAGTGTGTGCCTCTCATCTACGGTTTGATAACGTGCTGATTTGGCAGGCCCCGAACAAAGTTGCCAGCCCCGTGGGGGGCTCATTTCTAAATGACAGGACCATCACCGACTTCATCGATGCCGACTTCAATAATCCCCACGACCAGTTTCTTCTCAGCAAGCTGCGTGGAAGATTCAGCAGCAAAGGCCTCCGAGTACTCCTCCTCGACTGGATTACCTACCATAACCTGCCGTTCAACATTGTCAATACCGAGCGGTTCCAGCGGATCCTTCTCTACGGCAATCCCCTCCTTGATGTGACCCACATTCCCTCTGCGAAGACGCTGCTTCGCATGCTCGAATCCGAGTATAGGGGTGCCGTTGGGCCGGTAACCGAAGTATTGCGCAGCGCTCGATCCCAGATTCATTTCTCCTTCGACGGTTGGACATCCAAGTCGTACACTTCGTTTCTTGGGATCAACGCTCAATTCATTGATAACCACTTTGTCCAACACCGAATCCTCCTTGGGCTTCGACCTCTCTCGGGCAGACACAACGGTGCTTCACTTGCCGATGAGGTCGCTGATACGCTCGCATTCTGGCAAATCAACGACCCGGACAAGGTTGGCTACTTCACGCTGGACAATGCTGCCAACAATGACACCTGCATGGACGATCTTGCCTTTGAACACGGCTTCTCAGCTGAAGAGCGACGGATCCGCTGCGCTGCGCATATCTTCAACCTTTGCGTGCGGGCAATGCTATACGGTTCGAAGCGAGAGAACTTCGCGGCAATCATCGCTGCCGATGGTGACGATCAAGATGACGATGAGGAGCTAGTTGATCAAGCTATCGACGAGGCCCTGGATGTAGAAATGGAAGACGGCACGGATGAAGACTTTGAAGCGAACACTGCCGTTGGTATCCCAGAAGAGGACTTCCTATCATCCCACCCAGCCCCGGAGGAGATCAATGGAGCCACTTTCAGGGAGTACAGCCAGAACGGCGCCCCAGGAATGCTTCACAACATCGGGATTCAGCTGCGAGCGACTACACAGCTGTACGAGCAGTTTCTTCAGTCTCAGCGCAAGGAATCCGGCCATGAATCAACACTTCACTGGGTCTTCAACAATGCCACCAGATGGAACTCGGATATGCGGATGATGGAGAGGGCCCTTCGTCTCCGCCCGGCTCTCAATACGTTCTT